CTTTCCTTTGACACACCCCTCACTCATGATGGCACTTCTGCCTCTGAGATCCGACGAGCTGCAGCTCTATCTCCTTTAAGAAACTCCTGGATTTATGCATGAAAGACCGAAGAAGATGAAGAATACTTGAAAACTAGCAATAAAGCTCAAGAATTCACTCTCAAAGACGCCCAAGAAAAGAAAAAGAAGACTTTTGAAGAACTCGTCCCTAACTATCTTCACAACTTCGCTGATGTTTTCGCCAAAGACGGCTTTAAACAAACTTCCTCCATCCTGACCAGGTGTTGATCATAGAATCGAAACCAAACCTGGATATATTCCGAAATCTGCAAAAACTTATCCCTTATCCCCAAAAGAAACTGACGCTGTAAAAGCTTTTCTTGATGAGCACATCACTAAAGACTTTATCCAACCTTTGAAATCTCTGCAAGCCAGCAGGTTCTTCTTTGTAGGAAAGAAAGATGGATCTCTATGACCTTGCCAAGACTATTGTTACATCAATGAGTGGACAATAAAGAATGCTTACCCCCTTCCTTTGATTCCCCCTCTCATTGCCAAACTAAGGGATGCCAAGTATTTCACCAAGATGGACGTCCAATCCAGATATAATAATATCTTGATCCACCCTGATGATCGCTGGAAAGCAGCGTTCACCACCTCCTTCAGACTCTTCAAACCAAAAGTCATGTTCTTTGGCTTATGCAACTCCCCTGCAACGTTCCAAGCCTATATGAATCAGACCTTCCAGAAAGAAATTGCTGAAGGTTGGATGATTGTCTATATGGATGACATCCTCATTTTCTCAAAGACCCTAGAAGAACACCAGAAACGAACACGCCATATCCTTGACATCATCTGAAAAGAGACCCTTTTTCTGAAACCCAAAAAGTGCACTTTTGATGCTCAAGAAGTTGACTATCTCGGAATGATCATTCACCCAGGACAAGTTGCAATGGATCCAGCCAAACTATCTGGTATCAGCCAATGGACAATTCCAACTTCAGTAAAAGAAGTCCGCTCATTCCTTGGATTCTGCAACTTCTACCGCCACTTCATTTCCCACTACTCCGACCTTGCACGACCTCTGATAGATCTAACAAAGAAAGATACTGTCTTCACATGGTCACAATCATGCACCGATTCCTTTGAGAAGCTGAAGCAGTGCTTCTTATCAGAACCTGTCCTCCGAAACCCTGACCCTTCCCGACAATTTGCCCTCACAACCGATGCTTCACTTGTTGCCACTGGAGCAGTCCTCCTTCAGACTGATGAGAATGGTGCTTACCACCCATGTGGCTATCTCTCTCAATCTTTTAATCCTGCTGAACAAAACTACCAGATCTATGATCATGAACTCCTCGCTATTATCCGTGCTTTGAAAGCATGGCGACACTACCTTGAAGGGAACCCTCACCCTGTCATCATTTTCACTGATCACAAGAATCTCCTCTACTTCTGCTCTGCACAGAATCTCACTTGCCAACAAGCATGTTGGCAGTTAACCCTGAATGAATTCGATCTTGAACTTCACCATGTCCCAGGAAGCAAACTTGCTGCTCCTGATGCTCTTTCACGCTGTCCTGACCACTCTTCTGATCCCTCAGATAATTCCGATGTCACACTCCTCCCAGACACCATGTTTTCCCGTCTTATTGACAATGACCTCACCAATGCCCTGAAATCCACGGACCCTCTCTCTGATCCCATCATTCTTGCTGCGCAACAAGCCCTTGATGGGTTAAATGCACCCCCTATGAAATCTGCCCTCTCTGACTGGAAGTTCAATGATGGTACTTTGTTTTATAAAAACCGTGCCTATGTCCCCATTCATCTCCGACACCGCATTCTCCACCTTCATCATGATCACCCCACCACCGGACACCCAGGACACTTTAAGACTGAAGAACTAGTCAAACGAGATTACTGGTGGCCCAGAATGGGCACATTTATCCGCAAATACATTGAAGGTTGCACCCTATGCCAGCAAATGAAACCTGACACTCACCCTTCCACTCCACCCCTGAACCCTATTCCTTCCTCTGCGCTTTGCCCCTTCTCGCAGATCTCTGTAGATCTGATCACTGACTTGCCTGAATCAGGCGGTTTTGATTCGGTTATGGTCATGGTAGACCATGGCCTTACGAAGGGGGTAATTCTCTCACCATGCAAGAAAACCATTACGTCAGAAGGAGTTGCCCAACTCTTTTTAAGAAAGTCTTTCTCAGATTTGGACTCTATGACAAGATCATCTCCGACAGAGGACCCCAATTTGCCTCTAAATTTGCCAAGGAACTCGGAAGACTCCTAGACTATGAAGTCACACTTTCCACTGCCTACCACCCACAAACTGACAGACAGACTGAACGTCTGAATCAGGAACTTGAAACCTATCTTCGCATCTATTGCCACTCCACCCCTCTTGATTGGGTAAAGCATCTACCCATGGCTGAATTTGTCCACAATCATTGAAAACATGATGCCCGCAATTTCTCCCCTTTCCACCTCATGATGGGTTATGAACCCCGAGGAATCCCCTATATTCTCCCAAACTCAGCCGTCCCTGCAGCAGAAGATCGAGTCAGATACCTTCAAAAGATCCAAGAAGAAGCCATCTCTTGTCACAATCTCACCATGCAATGCATGTCTGATCGGACCTTTGGAAAGAAATTTGAACCCTGGAAGATCGGTGAGAAAGTCTGGTTATCAGCAAAGAACCTTATCACCGGACTACCCTCAAAGAACCTTATCACCAGACTACCCTCAAAGAAGCTTGCCCCTAAACATTATGGCCCTTTCACAGTAGAAGCCGTCCTCTCCCCTATCACATTTAAGATCCGACTCCCTGCCTCCTGGAAATTGCACCCTGTCTTTCACACTTCTGAGTTATCCTCCTATCGGGAAACAGAAGTCCACAGCCCGAATCACACTGAACCCCCTCCTGACATCATCAATGGACAAGAAGAATATGAAATAGAAGCTGTTCTCACCCATAAGGGAAACGTAAAAGGAAAATGATGCTTCCTCATATCATGGAAGGGTTACCCTTCCTCAGATAACTCCTGGCTCCCTGAAAAAGAACTAGTCAATGCCTAGGAAATCCTCAAAACCTATAAAGACTGCCTTCAACTCTCTCGACTCCTTACCTAGAAACCTGATCCCAGAATATGCCTTCTTCACAATCTTCGAACTCCTCTCTTGAACTCCATCATTCCCAGCTCGAACTTCACCACAAGTGAGCTCTCGTTGAATCGACTCTTTCTTCTCTTCCTTGTGTTTTACCTTTAGACCATTTCTTCTCTGAAGACATTGATTCCCTTTCTTTGATGACCATCCACCGCAGTGCAGACCTGGCATCTAGCTATGCCCATACCATTGCAGCCCCTGCTGAAGAAACCACCAAATGTTCCATCATTTATCATATGACCAAGATCAAAGCACTTGCCGCAGACAGACTTATAGAAAAAGGGTTCAAGCAAGCTCTCACCCCAGATATGGTCAAACTGGAACACTCCATTTCCACTGAACCCCTTTGTTTCACTACCCAAGAAGTCCCCAAATCCTCGTCAGAATCTTCCGATGATGACACTCCTGTCCCTGCTCCTTCTCAGCTCACAGTTCACTCCACAGGAAACCCACGCCATGCTCGTGGTAACAAAAGAAACACTGTTGCCTTTGGAATAGGCCTCTCTCGTCCCATTATACCATCCCCTGCACCACCCATTATCATTGATGAAGACAAACCTGTGTCTTCTTCTGATTCTCATGCTCCTTCTGAGGAGACTTACTGAGACCGAAACAGTATCGATTATTCCACCATTACTTGTCGTTACTGCCAGCAAGAAGGACATCATCAGGTCCATTGCCCTCGCTACTTCTGCTGAGAATGCCACCACCATGCTCCTAAGCACCTTACCGCCTACTGTCCCACTCTTCGTGGACGTCGTATTATCAACGCCAAACCTGGCTCATGGGCCTTCCACCATCAGCTTAAGATCTACGAAAACAGAAAAGATCTTGAACAAGAGGAGCATGAGAAGCAGTTTGCAAGAGATGCTGACTTCAACCCTAACAACTATCAGAATCTCAGTGATTAAAGTCAGTGACTTTAGACATTGACAGGGGGGTAATGTTACAGTGCCCCACTCTTTTTCTCATCATCACTGCAGACTCCTATATGGCTGTACTTCTAATGCTTCCTTTTCACTGTGCTGTTTCCTCATGGTCTCCCTTATCTCTGACTCATACCTTGTTTTCCCATGAACCTTCCTTTCTCAGTAGTCATTACCCTTTGCCCAGCTTGGTCTGTGCACGATTTCCTTATGTATATAAACCCTAGTTACTACTTGTATTTTCTCTAACTTGAATCTACTTGGTTCTCCTTGATACTTGAACTCTAGCTCCTTGGGAAGGAGGCTAGCCATTGTCCCATTTGAATCTTAGATCCTGCGGGAGTCTAAGTGATTGCTCCTGAGGGAGGCATTGACTCGATAAGGCTTAGTCCTTGATCAACCTTGATCTTGATTCCTTTATTGGAACGACACTCTATCCGAGTTCATAACACATTCGCATTGCTCACAGACCCCCATGTGTACTTTCATTTTCTCGCTGTCATTTGCTACTGCGTTGTACTACTGACCTACTCATAGATCACTCATTTCCCCATTTTGTTGTTTGCTCTTGATTACCTGCATTCACAGACATAGGCTTGGAACTGTTGTACCTCACTGCTTTGTACTACCACTAATTCAATGCATTACATGGTTATATCTGAATGCAATTGCAATGTCTGATGAATCTGAATGAAATTCAAATGCATTATGTACATAGCAATGTTTGATATATCGGTACACTAGCCTAATGCCAGACTACAATCATATAGCAGTTACCATGTAGGAATTGAGTTTCCTAACATTGCCCGACATTGAGACCTTGCGCCGGATATATATAACAGATATAGTAGCTCCGACATGGCCATATATAGCCATGTCTGAGTTGTGTAATTTTGGTGATGATCGTCTCAAAGTTCAAACCCTGAACGTTCAACGTTCTGAACCTCGAACGTAAACCAATTGCAGGCTTGCACGCCTTCAAGTCGCCCTTGTTTCATGCCTCCAATGGCAAATATGGGACTGGTCCAACAGACTTATCACGTCGAAAGACCGTGTGATTAGCGTACGTCACGGCAAATACCATCCACACCTACATGCATCTTCTCATCACTGATTATCGTCACAATGCTAAACAGGTTCCATGCTGATCCTGATTCTCAATCCAGCGCTAATAATTGGCATAAAATATAAATATCTGTGCTAGCCGTGTACATCCTTCCCTTCCCAACTGCATCGTCAAGTATTTGCTGCGCGCGACAGTTGAGATGCGTCTCGATGCAGCCTTTGGAGTGGTCACAGATCTACGTATTTTCCTTGTCGGTGGCCTCTTGCCTACGATTCTCGCAATCTGGCGTGCTCCCTCGCTACTCTTCCAACCAATTGAAATCTCCCGCATTTTCATGTCTCATGTATGGGATCTCTATGGTAATAGCGTCGACGAAGCCGGAAGGGACGTCAAAAAAGGGCTCATCACTCCGCACGCCTATGGTGTTGTGCTAGAGCTCGGTGCAGGTCTGTGTCTTCCTCCACCGAAATAATGATCTGTTCATGCAAAAGACAGGACACGGCCACACTGTCAACTACCTGGACCATTCGCGTGTTGCAAAATACGTAGCTGTAGAGCCTAACGTGCATATGCATGCTGAGCTGCGCCGTACTGCCTCTGCTGCTGGATACAGCGAAGATGCTGGAACGCTCCTCATCCTCCCATGCGGTGCTGAAAACATCTCTAGCATCCTTTCCTATCTTCCTACGCCACACCCGCCTGTAGACACGCTCATATCTGTCCTCACTATCTGCTCCATCCCCTCGCCGCAATCCACCATCTCCGCATTGGTCACGGAGGTGCTGAAACCTGGGGGGCAGATGTTGTTCTATGAACACGTGCTTAGCGACAGGAAGGATGTTGTATGGTGGCAGCGTTTTTGGACGCCGTTGTGGAGTATCTTTTCTGATGGATGTCATTTGGATCGCCCGTCTCATCGGTGGATTGAGGATGTGGGTGGATGGGTGCAGGGAGAAGGAGGTACTTGGGGAAAGGAAGGAGAAAGTGAAGAACATCTGTTTTGGCACCGAGTTGGGAGATTTGTTAAGGCGTGAGTAGATACATGTCACTCTTGTCCTTCACAATCAGTGTAGCGCCGCCTTTCAACAACTCTTGTTAGCGAGTGTTAGTTTCAAATTAGGGTTTAATATTTATTCACTCGCTAGTAGCTACGCGGATCATTTTGTTGAAGCAAACAATCGACGTATACCACGTACGTTCAATATTCAATGATGCTCAACGTTCAACAGCGGAGTATTTCCGATACGCGCTGCATAGTTCATTTAACGGTTCGACATCTCTTGATACCGTTTACTCCCGGTCAACCATAACGCATCGAATACATCCACGATGATCTGCAGTGCATCAATCATCGATGTCTTCCTGGGCCGTGAAAAGATTGAAGCACCGTCTGCATGTTGTATACTAGCGCGAGGTTCAAGAGAAGAGACGTTCAAGAAAGATGAAGAAGAGTCACGAATGACTACCTGAATGCCACGTCCTCGTATTCTTTTCCTGCAAAGTTCAAATTCTACGACACATATCTTCGCCTCTCTCAACAGTTTCAGCAAATCAGTTCTCTACATCGTCATTGAAGACTGGGGCATCGAGCCCCTCATCGAGCCCCCAATTACGATATTGGAACTACAGGACTGTGCGCCATCTTTTCCGGCCCACTTCTTGTCCTCTTCCGCCCTCCAAATGCACCCGCATGGCCCTCTGAATGCTTCAAACCGTACTTGTCCTGAGTTGTTCTCTAGATCTCTGGCCCGCGCGGCACATCTAATCCGCCAAACATGCCTCCAACCATCTTTCCTGGCACCTTCTTTCTCTGTGGAGCATTGGCTCACCACCAACCTGGACTGCCTGGCTTACTACTATTCAGTTCATGCCATATTGCTGACACTAGCCTACAACAACTCCTTCAGACTCCTACTGCTCGTACCATGTTACGCGAGAAACTTTCCGGCGAAAACATACATATTAACACTCAGACTCCTCGGGAAATATCGAGGAGTAACAACGCTCACCTGGTGGCACTATCAGTTCTCACCTGCGGGACGCGCTGCTTGTCGTCGCTTCGCAGCAAGTGGGGCATTTGCAGCCTGCCACATATACGAACTCGTCTGTCGATCACATTCGTAAATGAACGCGTTCCCGTCGTTAACATTCATGTCCTGTGAACACCCATAGCCACCTGCAAACAACCGTAAGTATATTGTCAATTATCCACACATCCTGGAACATATGACTCTATAGAACGAGCATTTACCGTGAGTGTCGCAGGATTGGCCGGTAGGGTTGTATGCGGTAACGATGCTAGCCATCACTGCGGCAGACATAATCATAGTGCTGAAAAAGATTTCCATGTTTGTGATGCATGAGAGGGCAAAAGCTCGATAACTTTTTTTGGTCGAATCTAAAGCTGGTACTGGCCCCTCGAATTGAATCCTTCATCTGGGTCCTCACTTGGGTCTGTCTTCGATATGAAAGTGGCAAGCTGCCCACAAGGGACGGACCACTTGATGAATGGTTGACAGTGGATGCCATGGGGAAAAAACCAGCTATCTGGGAACAGTGGATGAAATATGTCCAACGCCATTGCACGAAGGAAACTTCAAAATCGCTATGCATTTCTTAGAGGTGATTCACAAATATACAGGCCCATTCGCGTTCGCTCCGGCAGACGATGAGGAAGTATTCTTGATATGGCTCCAGAACCATATTCCAGCGCTTTTGCGTGAAGGCAATATCTTTTCTGGTCAGTAGGGTAGGTATACTTGCAGTTGAAGCAGCGTGCCTCCGAAATTTGGTGTTACATACCATCGTGTAGATTCAGTGTAGAATGAACATCATGCTCGGTGCCATCCTTGCTTCTGTATTTGCGTGTTCAAACATTCAAGTCCTTTCCAACCTCGTGTAGTAATCGGTACCAGGCTGTGAGCACACCTTTGCTCAAGTGGACACTGCAGCACACTGGCGTACGATATCCCCACAGACATTGACACCACTAAAGCTTTTGACCCTAGCTTTTGATCCTAGAACGAGTGTCGGCCTTTGTCAGGACTCGCCAATTGCAGGCAGTTGCAATCAGCAACAGATCAGTAATTGTTACGCCTCAGGGCTGTTCGTGCTCCACTATTGGAGAGCAACCTGGTAGCATGCAGTCAGCACTGCTAATCGGTAAAGATGGAACATTGGAAGTTCGTAAGAGAAAGCAAGGACTGCTACCGACCGAGTCACGGGACTGGAGGGAGAGAATTTCTATATTTGTATACCGCTTACAAACAAAGGGAACTGTTAGTAAGAGTATACGGTTGTGTTGGAGGTTTGATCAAGTATCACGGCACTTGGGAACTCTGATGGAGTCGATAATATGGAATGAAACCGTACTTATGATGTATAGTTGTTGATAATCGACTGCAAGATAGCTGTGATGAATATTCCACTAGAATGAAACATTGAAGTATATCTCCCCGCGTTACGAACAAGCCCAGCTGGGACGTCCATGCATGTGCATGATGATCGGATCACGATCACTTTCAGAGACCTCAGTGCCACGCCTGCGCGGCACGTCTAACCGCTGGGAATTTCCAATCCTCGTGTAATATGGTCCGTCCCCTGAGTAATTTTTGGCAAGGTATCCGGTGGCTGTACAGGACGCGTCGTGGTTCATTATATCACATGCCTTGTCTGAGTCACATTCGATCGAGTAAAATCTGCAGCTGTTTATGTGATGGGAGGGTCAGCTCGGCCAAATTATCAGTGTCGACTGAGGTTCAAGAGTCGACTCTCATATTTGCACCCTATTCCGAATCGGATGCAAGGACCCCCGTATCCTTTTGACGTTCATAAGGCGGCGCACGATCTAAAGACCGAAATATTGAACGGCTCACACAAAAAAAGAGCGGGTATATACATATATCATTGTATCATGACAAGACCACTGCTTTGATACATTATCCCTCCGCGTCCATCGCCTCGGATAGGTCATGTGGAGGGGTACGCAGCATTTCAAGATCAGTCCTCTTGCCCCGTATGCATCTCGGCTGTTGAATGTTGCGTCTATCGGTATTACTGTTTTGATAGGAATGCCGTGCAAGGTAACCTGTCGTAGCCCGTCCTACGTCGGACATGAAATGTAGGGATGCATCGTTGTCTGAGGCATGCTGTGGACTGCAATATAAAAGCGAGAGGAAAGTGTTAGATTTCCACTCAACTCAACAGAAGATAAATCATCTTAGCACTCTCCGCCCTACAAACATGAAATTCATCTCACTCACTTCTATGATCGTGTCTGTTGCGGTAATGGCTGGCGTAGCCACCGCGTACAACCCTATCGGCGAGTCTTGCGACACCCCAGGTGAGTGCTCTTGCCATTGATAATGTGTTTCGGTATGTGGGGATACTTGACGATGTACTTACGGTTACTTGCAGGTGGTTATGGGTGCTCACAGGATGCGAGTGTTAACGGCGGGAACGCGTTCATCTACGAATGTGCATCGACAGATGAGTTCGTATATGTTGCAGGCTGCGGTTGCCCCACTTGCTGTGAAGCGACGACCAGCGGTGCATACTGCACGTAAAAGCAAGAGGTGAGCATTGATTGCCTCGGTACCTCTTAAATATGAATGCTGATGTTGCTTTTGCAACAGAGGTTGTGCGTGGAATAATACATGAGAGAGATAGTGCTAGAGTCTGGTCAATAGATACGTCGGGTCTGAAACCAAGTGCTGTGTAATGTCGTGATTTAAGGCGTGATTTCCAGTGGAATTGTCGCCGATCCCAATTCGTCGTTCCTAAATGGGCGGTCAAGGATACTCACTGAAGTGCATGAGAAGGCGTTGTCAATCTGCCGTAACAGTGTTCAGCGCGGATGCCAAAGAATAAACGAGCCCTTTCCGTTAGACATTGATGGATAGGAGAAAGAGATGATACGATAGAACATACAATGCGGTGCATGTCCTGTTGAGCCCGCGGTCTGAGCTACACGATAGATGCATGTCACTGTGCTTCGTCGCCAAACAGGGTGCCAAGAAAGGAACGTACGAGAAGGACAACAGTAGCGATAACAAGAAGGCTAGCTGCCCTCGTCTGGAAGCACACAACGTGGCTATACAATTGAGCATGATGAGTGATAGATGGTGTGGGAATGAGATAGTCTCCTAGGTGGATGATAAGCCTAAGTTTGTGTTTGATGCCCCAAGTGCGAATTCGCACGCCGGATCTCATTAAGGCAGAAGAGGAGGGCCGACTTGATCGAGCATGCTGGCTTGTTATGATTTGAGCCTTGCAAGCCCAACAACCCCATTTCCGTCTCCTCAAGGCGACTTATCTTGACTCACCATAATTGGAAGATTACATGTACAGCCGCCGCAACCGGGATTCACCGCGCTTACGTAGACCAAGTTGATATAAACCCGATGGTGAAACGGAAAGGCAAGTGAAACCAAGTCAGTTTTGCCATGCGCGGACTGACAACAGTAACCCTTGCTCTCCTCGGCCTCGCTGCTGCAATTCCCGAACCGCAGCGTCGCAAGTCTCTCTCTTTTGGTCCTGTTCTCCCTCATGCCCGCTTCGATAGTAGTGCTCACCAGCCTGTACCCGCTGTACTATTCTCTACTCAAAACAGAGTGAGGGTAGATCCTTACGAAGTAGCCAAGACATTCCTTGACTCTATCGTAGACCACGACGACGGTGTGAGCTACATTATCCGCAGCGATAGTTATACAGATCGTGCGACCGGTGTGACCCACGTCTATGCACGCCAAATCATTCAAGGTGTCCAGGTGGCCGACGGAAATGTGAATTTGAACATCAAAGACGGCGTTGTCTTGAGTTACGGCAACTCAGTGCGTATACGTATTAGATGACGCGTCAAGCGCTAACACTCACCGTGTAGTTTTACCCCGGTCCGACTCCCGCATCACACACCCGTGGTGCACACCCCCACGCAGAATATTGCGCACAACTCGATTCCGCTCGTTCCCCCCGGTCAGACCAAATACACCTTGACGGTGCACACCTAGAGCTAGAGCACATCCACTCCTCCAACTGCGCAGCTCTCCCTAACATCCACTCCATCTCAACCCCCTCCTTCGATAACCATGTTCCAAGTCCACAGGATGCACCTCGTGCACTTCTTACTTTCCTTCTTGCAGCTGCCCCATCCCCCGCTCTCACACAGGACATCCATGCCCGTTTCGATGACTATTTGGCGAGCATGACTATGGCTCACATGTCCGGCTTCCTCCCTAACGAGGCCGAGCAACTCACCATCGCTGGTGCACCTGGAACCATTGGCGAGGTCAAGGCCTCCGTCGTTTGGGTCCAGGTACCCTCTGAAGATGGCACCGTGCATCTCGAGCTCGTACATCGCGTTAGTACTCATTCTCCTGTTTTCTCACCCAATATTGACCATCGCACAGTTCGAAGTCGAGATGGAGAACAACTGGTATGAGGCCACAGTCTCTGCATCTCTTCCCCACCGTATTGTGTCCGTCGTCGACTGGGCCAGTGATAGCCCCATGCCTCTTTACTCCCCCGAATCTCACTCCGAGGATGCTCAACTTCCTCCCCTCTCCTCATTCTTCCCTGCAGACTGTTCCACCAAGAAGGTTGGTGGTCGCTTTAGGAAGGGCAAGGCTGTGGCAGATCTTCGCAAGAGCAAGGCTGCCAAGGAGGCCGCCAAGTGGCTCAGCGGCCCTACCATTCCTATCTTCCCCACAGCATATTACAACGTCTTCCCGTGGGGCACCAACGACCCTGTTGAGGCTGTGGAAAGGAAGGTGATGAGTGAGGCAGATGGTAAATTTCGCTACGTCCCCCTCGTGATCCAAACTTCAACTTACACCTCCTAGCACCTGCAGATTTCCTCCCCCTCTCTTACGGTCGCGTCCTCTCCTCTGAGCTGGGTGACAAGCTCGCAAGTCCGGCAGGGTGGCACGCCCTGCCGTGGGGTGTAGACCCTAGCGTTGGTGAAGACGACAAGGCTGCACTTCGTGCGCAAGGTTCGTCATACTCTAGTTGATCTTTTCGTACTGTAGACCTCATGTGGAACGGTAGGCGAGTTCTGGCGCACGACAAACACCACGTGGGGCAACAACGTCTTTGCGCATGAGAACTGGGACGGGCGGAACTCATGGATATCTAACCGCCGCCCAGAAGGAAGGTCCGTGGGTGGTGAGTACTTGCGCAGCTTGTTTCTAGTTTTCGTTTTTATGATGGCTGTCTGTTAGGAGATGCGAACGAGCTCCCAGCCGTCCACTACAACTACACCTACTCCCCGACCCCGAAGGACAACACAGAGGAGAACATGGCTGATGCACGCGCCCACATCGACGCAACGGTGACTCAACTCTTCTACACAAGCAACCTGTTCCACGACTTGACCTACCGGTCCGTTTTACTCGCGTTTACGTCTTATTTTCCCATGTGACGAATTGTGACAGGTACGGCTTCACCGAAGAGGCTGGGAACTTCCAACAGTACAACTTTGGGCGTGGCGGTGAGGAATCAGACGCTGTGATCACGAATGCACAGGACGGCAGTGGGTTCAACAATGCTAATTTCATGACGCCTCCCGATGGCCAGAATGGGTGGGTTGTTGTTTTCCTTCCTTGCTCTGATCAATACTTATGCTTTGTGAACCAGCCGATGCCGAATGTACCTCTGGAACACAGCTAACCCCTACCGCGATGGTGACATGGAAGCTGGTATTGTTATCCATGAGCTTTCTCATGGTCTCAGCACGCGCTTGACGGGTGGTCCCAAGAACAGTGGATGTCTTGGTTGGGGTGAGGCTGGCGGTATGGGAGAGGGCTGGGGTGGTAAGTCGCTTCAATGTCAATTGGACGCCTAAGAACTAAACAAACTCACCGTCTACAGACTTCATTGCCACGACCATTCGTAGTACTGCCACTTATCAGGACTACCCCATGGGCGCATGGGCCGCCAACCGGGCAGGGGGTATCCGGAACTACCCGTACAGTCTTGACAAATCGGTGAACCCAAGCACGTACAAGACCCTAGACAAGCCCGGATACTGGGGCGTGCACGCAATCGGGGAGGTCTGGGCACAGATCCTATGGGTGGTCGAGCAAAGGCTGATCGCCAAGCACGGGTTCACGGATAATCTGTTCCCTCCTCCACACGATGCTAACTTCGCCGACTATACTGCTTTCTACCGTGCCGACAAGCCTTTCGTCCCGAAGCACGGTAACTCGCTGTTGATACAGCTCGTATTGAACGGGATGAAGCTGCAGCCATGTAGCCCATCGTTCTTCGATGCGCGTGATGCGATCGTGCAGGCTGATCAAGTACTTACGGGTGGAGAGAACTTCTGTGATATCTGGGTGGGCTTTGCCGAGCGTGGGTTGGGTATTGATGCCAACGTTAAGGGGCGTACGCCATGGGGTGGAGGTGTTAGGGAAGATGTAAGTTCCTTTGACCGAGTTGCGGATCTGTGCTGACGCACAATTATTTCGTAGGGCCACAAAGTCCCAGTTGCATGTCAAAGCGAGGCCGAACCCTCGCCCTCACCTGAACCAATTCCTGATGACCCAGAGGATGACTGTGGTGTATTTGGATGCTGGTGGAAGCTGTGAGCGTGGACGTTTTAATATTCCGAACATCATAATATCCATATACACGATTGGAGACGCACGGCTAGATGGTGGTGATATCCAAACTCTGGATAGAATATATCCGTATCCTGCTCGTGTAGATGCCAGGTAATCATGCGCTAGTTTTATTTTGGTTTGGGATATTTCTGTTGCGGCCGCGGTTGCGCATAGTTTTTGTATGATAGTGATAATTGCGTATAGTTGATATATCATGGATTGCAATGCGACGTGCTTGATATTGAGTATAATTGGTTCAGTAACTTAAGCTTAAGATTCACCTGAGGCCGTTCCACGTGAGAGGAGGCTGCAGGGAGGTAGGGCACTGAGAAAGATGCGTTAGGAGAGTAATAATATACCCGTGCTCGAGGGCGCAAGCAAACACCCGACGCCAGGACCATACCGTGAACGGGGACCTTTCACTGCAGCTATTCGGAATGATTTTATGATTTACATAAACACTCAAGCTTGGCAAGTCCAATACTATTCGTAATGGCAAATACCCCCAACACCAGCTGGCCAGCTGATGAGCCAGACATACCTTCAAAGAGTCTCAGTGCGCGCAAACTATAAATAGATATTCTTCACTCGTTATGATTAAGTAATCCCACTTATAGTACGAACGTGAGTATCTCGCGAGAACACGATGTCAACAACTTTCATTTGACCACATATGTGATAGATAATAGCCAAATGAAATAGAGCGCGACCCCTCGGGCACGGAGTACTGTCAAATTTCAATTATTCTTATCATCAGACCACTCGCCCGGCGCTCGGTCACTTTCACTCATCTATAGTCTGGAGAGTCAGAGATCACGAGCAGTACTGCGGAGATCATTCCAGTAATTCCGCAGTCTCTTCTTCTCAGAATTCGGTTTCGGGAACATATCCGACTCTAGAAGCAACATACCGCAGCATGAATGACGCGAGAGTCCGATGGAGCTGGGATGTGGGGTGGCTCAACTAAATTGGAATGTCTTACGTGGATATCATGGCGTTTGACTGGAAGAGGATTGTATTAAAGATGCTACGCTTGTGATGCGGCTGGCAGGGGGGCGTCAGCGCTAGATGTGATTTGATAGGTCCCTTTCAACTTGAAACAGGTTCAAACACAGCGTTCAACGTTCAACGTTCTGGCAGGTGTCCTGGCGTACGACATGCAGGGTCACTGACTCGGGCAGGCGGGCCTGGACCCTCGCAATGTTATGTCATCAGTTGACAGGCTCAAACATATCACGATGGTAGTCATTGAGTGTGGACACCATCGAAAATGATCTGAATGACTGCATCAAGCAAATATGATGCCGCGTCGAGAAGAAGATAGGACAATACAATTTAGAGAGCAGAATGTTATACATAGAAACTTACGATGATCGGATAACGGCATACCCCTCAGATAATTCTGTCAGTATTACTCGGGTCCGCCCACCAGTTTCTGATGTAAAACTCAACCTTGGGAAGATGTTTTTTGGGGGCGGAACCGAGGCCAAATTCATGTTCGAGGGTCACTCCACCACGAGATTTTGGGTTGAAATTTTTGAGTGATGTTGTGTACCACTGTGGGGTCAAGAACGTAATTTGTGAGGAAAAAAAATAATCTATCTTTGGCAGCCAAGTGTGCTTTGTCCGCCACCATTTCAAAGTGTTCAATCCGAAAGGACATCTGTGGGACTAGAACCGATGTAGATTATTTCGGTTCACTGGGCACATCCTGTGTACACGGGGAAACGAAATACCAAGATTACATGGGGGATATAAAATGGAACCACGCCCGCTGTCCTTTTTAATTCAGACCAAACTCTACCCCCTCTCTATCATAATGCGAAATCTACCCATCGAAATCATCAACGTCGTCGTTGAGAATGTTTCTTCCATGACCGATCTTCTCCAGCTACGCTGTTTAAACCAGGCGTATCGAGATCTTGTCACCCCCATCGCATTCACCAAACTTCACATCAAAAACAGCATCCAGAGTGCACAAAACTTCCAGCAGATCATCGCTGCTACCCACCTTGCTACCCATGTTCGGGAAGTTGTCTATGATTCTCGTGATGATGAATGTTTCCAATTTCCCCAGGAAAACATTGGTGAGTTCCGTTTCCCCTTGTCTATGCATAGGAGCTAATTGTGGCACGTTCCTGCAGAAGTCGAAGATATGCTTGAAGTTGCCGAGCTTGAAGAAGCCTTGACCGAAGCTTTCTGTGCAATCGATGCACTCCCCAGACTTGAATGCGTCACCGCGAGTTTCTGGCCATCATTTATCTCCCAGTCTGGGAAGGAAATTCGCGAGAGCCCTTTCTGGTTCACGAATCGGCAGCTCACGGTTACTCATGCTATATACCACGCTATGAAGACATCTCGCATGACATCCCTTTCTCTCAACAATGTGGTCATGATGCCTCCTTCACGCTATGATTTTGTCTCTTCCCTTACGAACTCGCCCCTGTCTCATCTTTCATTATCTGTCGTGCCGAACGCCGATATCAGTGCCTGGTCGGGCTCAAAGGACATTAATGGATCACTTGGCGCACTCCTGCCCCTTTCTAATACCACGCTCAAATCGCTGGCGCTGCGCAGCCCTCAGGGCCCATACCACAGCTTAGAAACCAAGCTTTCTTCATTTCACTATCCATCACTCGAATCACTCGTGCTTGAAAATACCATCTTTGATCAAACGCCCTCTCCTGATGGCGTCGAAGAATTTGTTATCCGCCAAAAGAGTGGCTTGCGTCACCTAGAGCTACGATCATGCGCAAGCTATGTAGCAAGCCCATCATTCGATGCCAGGCTGTGGTCGAGCATCTGGCAACGATGGGCAACTGAGCTCACCAGTTTGAGAGAGCTTGTCGTGGACGGCGACAGTGGATATGTTGTCCTCAATGCTGACTGGGGTTACGTCACTTATAAGCCGATCAGCACCATAGCAGCTGAGAGCGACTCGTCGAGCTTGGAGATGTTCCGGGATGCAATAGCATCCGCTTGTACGGTTGTGGCATGAACTTGTGGTGGCATCATTGTTTTACTTCTTTAGGCGATCTCGGACTTGTATACCATTTGCATAGAACAATCTTGTATATCTACATACTGTGAACACGGATCCTGCGGAAAGAATTTGTGTTGACGCCATCATTGCGCACTCCCGTAGTAAGATGACCAGGAATGTACGTTTCAAGTTTGTTGTTTGGAGTCTGATTATCTTTGTCAAGGCCACGAGTCCGCCCGGACTCCCACACTGTACCACGGAGTGGTATCCAATGGAAGGTCTTGCACCTTTTTGTCCATCAAACAACGTGGACACACGTCTCCGTTACAACTTTGTCAAGAAGGTTTTTCTTTCCTTTTCTGACACGAGCACGAACCCGTGCCTTTGGCACCGCTGCATGCTTGAGGCCACGAGGATGCCACGCGAGGTTGAGGCTGTGCCGCTATCCCCGACTCCAATCGACAAAACACTTGCACACGACATGATTGAATATCCAAAGTCAATATACAGCGTGGCACTCGTGTTCCCCTCATCAGGTCTGTTTCATTCTAATAATACGACATCTCATTCCCCATCCTGACGTGTCAGCCAAGCTATCCCCACAATTAATATTTCGAGACTTGCTGATAAGGGGTTATTATTCTGTAAGTGTGATGCGTTCGAATTCATTCATGATTTATAGATAGCTCAAGATCATTCATTCTTCAGCGCCAGCAGTGGGCTATACCATAACGGATTTTGAAATCTGTTGAGTAGACAAGAGATTTAGTAACGGCATGTTCGAAACTTGCCTACCAATTTTTATATTCACTCACCTTGGAGGTCCGTCTTATCGATTCCAAGTGAAGTTGGCGTAACAGATTCAAAATCTGTTCGTCATCCGGTATACTTAGTGCAAGTTCGAAACTTGCCTCCAACAAATCCCTCCAACAGAAAGATAGTCGTGGAGCCTTCTTTATGATCGCATCTTGGATAAGGTCTGTCTCGACCAGTCATAACTAAGGAGTAACAGCCTGAGATTAATTTGTTCTCGACCGAGAGCTTCTTTATTTATAGTGGTCGCTGAGTGCGGGGATTGGTGCTGCGCACCGCCGCGATATGAGACTCCGTTCTCTTACATTCGAGATACTTTTCGTGCGTGTTGTAATTCCCTAGGTTATAATCGGTTATCGCCGCGGCTGCGACGTCACGGCCTAGGCTACCGGAGGATTCAGCTTGCCCCGGACTACACATTCAAAGAGCGGGGAGACAAAGTAGTTAGATCGATCATCGTGCGCACTTTGATCCCGATCAACACGTGGCATATTCAAGAAGATCGTCGACCACTCCGAAGCTCGCACTTCAAATCAACAACTGCGCGTGCAATAGGTGGGTCATGCTATTTGTGTAGATAGTTAGTGTTTAAGTATACGCAATACGTGTAGGAGAGATAGACAAAGATCAAGATCCAAGATATGCCAGCCTGCATGATAGTACACAATCCCGGCTTTTAGAGAACATATGAAAGCTGCTATGCTCCATGAGGTGGGGGAACAGGGAATAAACCAAAGAAGCAAGGGGAAGCAGCATGTCGTGCCAGACGCACCAGACGCAAAGGAAAGCGAATAAACGATTCTTAGAAACAATAGACGTCGACTGGGATATGGTATAAGTCGGTAAAAGGAGAAACATATAGAAGAGGGAAAAAAGCAGAGTGAGGAACGCCAAAGACGGAATATAAACAATAGTCGACCAATAAGTATAATTTTTACTTTTGCGCCACAAATCAAGATAGTGAAGGAGACGGAGGTCGCCAGTAAGCGAGGAGGGGTATCCGACAGCCAGTAGATAGTCTATAAATCACATACAATCTATGTTCGAAAAAGCATCATCCTTTCGGACTGTTGCATTTTGAACGAGGGTATATCTTCATTGTTGCGCGACCATGATAGGGACAGCTTCAGCCGAGACAGCAGGATAGTTGATCTGCATTTGTGCTTGTAGAGCCTGCTGCTGGCGCAAGTACTGCTGCTGTGCGGACGAGTAAAACATCTGTTGCTGATATTGCTGGGCATACGTCGATGTCATGTGTCCGCTTACTGGTGTCGAGGTTCCGCTCGTCACCGGTGTTGAATGTCGTGAGCTTGCATTACTACTTCGTCCATGGGCATGTTGTAGACATTCATGCTGTCCACTGGCAAGGAGAGCCAAGCCAATTGTACCATGGTCGCCCGAATGCTGGTAGTGATACCGCAAACCATTCATGTTCTTGTATCGGCGCTGGCAATCACTGACACCACAAGCAAAGGGCCGGAGTCTGCGCTCTGCCTCACGTTCGACTTCGCGCATGTCACCCTCTGTAATCCCCTGATCATCTCCAGCAGCCTCGCGGGCAGACCGCTTACTAGCCAGTAGTGCTTGTACTTGCTCGAGGTCTTTGGGTGGTGCAAAGTTGCAGCTGCCGTGAGTCATGTGATATTTGAGCCCATTAGCTTGCTTGTAGCTCTTATTGCAATTTGGCTTCGGGCAGCGGAAGGGCTTCGATAACAGTAATGATGACGCAGGGCGAGAGAGCGTAGTACTGGCACGCTGATTGGCTTGCTGTGACGTAAAACCTTTGGAAGAAGCAGGGGAATCCGAGGAGGCCGAGGAAAGGGGGGCGGCCGCAGGGGGCACGGAGTGGCATGAGGCGCTCGCTGGAGATGGCATGCGAGAGGCTGTAGGGGTGGTGACAGGGGTATTACTGGTAGAGAATACGACAGCTGGAGGAAGACAGCCGTAGGGACTACCCGGTTCACTGACAGGTGTGACAGGTGCGTGAACATCATCGCTGCCGGTTGGGGAAGGAACAGTGCCAGGCATTGATGATGAGTAGTCGGAGTACCCAGCGTAACCATTGAATGCATCGGGGGCATTTGCCACATTTGGAAGACCATTTCGAGGCGGTGGGAATGCTGAGCCGTGAACGGAGCGGGAAGGGAGCACGGTTGTCGTATCAAATGCCGACACGGGAAGATGCGGGGAGGCAGGTTTCGACTGTCCGAAGTGGTTAAACGAATGAGTAGGATACGACGATAGCGGGGTGCTGAGGGGAGTATCAGGGGGCGTTGGCGCGTTTGAACTGCCCTGATCAACATCGAGTTCCATGTCATCAGGGTCGAAACCACCTTGGTTGTAAGATTGAAGGTGCTGATGAAGGTCCGAGACGTAGGACGGAGTGGCGTGGCGATTAGACTGGGGTAGAGGGGGGACGACTGGGAACTGAGGGTGACCAAACGGGTCAAGCACGACAACGTGGACCTCCTCGAAATGCTGTAGCAGAGCATGTAGATCATCTAACTGTAGACCACAGCATGTGTAGTTACGACACTACGAGGGTGTGACCATGAGACTAGCGCAAACTACTTCGGAACGCCACGACTTACCAATTCGTCCTCCCTGTCGAGGGCACCGAGAGCGTTCAGAATTGAACCACGGTCGCTATCCATAGAAGACGACAACTTGGTACATTTGAATTCGTTAGGACTACATAGACGAAGTCAGCACCTTTGAACGGTAAGCGAAGTATGAACTGACTCCAATGGACCCAGAAGTTGACCAGGGGAACAACCGGGATAGAAACGGCTTCCAAACGAGCCAGCACGCCAGGATATTGGTGAACCTAGAAAGTAAGACCTGGCACTGTTGTTACCAGTGAATGAACCAGATGCCATGTTGAAATCAGGGTGATTAGGAGACTGGAAAGCGATAGGTTGGGATGTAGTGGCCATGGCTACGAACAGTAAGATAGAAGTAGGGAACTGCAGATGGAGGTGAAAGAGATAGATATTATAGAAGATAAAGTGGTGAAGTAGTGATGTGGTGGAAGTTGTGCGATGTGGAGGAAGAGAGGGTACTATCGGGTGACTATCGGGCAAGTCAGACGCCTATTTAGCTTGTATCATATTCATGTCAAATGCGGATCATCCATTCTACACGATTACATAACAACTTGCCTTTTTAGTCCGATCAATCAGAAACTCGGCATTTCGGCCACCACCACCCGGCCTCCTTTGTCACCGGCCTCAATTGGCGCTGACTACTTGCCGCCAACCCGGCCATGTCCACCCGCTCCTTGAGCTCAGGTTCGTTTATCCCGCAGTCCATTGTCTGATCACTACGCAGCAGATTCAGAATCTAGTGCTCATCACAAATTACCATCAAGGAACATGGCTTTCGACTACTTGCCACGATAATATTTCGATCATGACAATCATTGGCGACTCCCATCAAGACGTCCATGGCTACCTTTTCGCACTGTTATTACCACTACAAACTGCGTTGGCGGTTGAGTGAACCCTTATTACTACCTGTTACTACTGACTACACGAGGCCTCAAGTGTCTCCGTGACCGTCATCTCGATTATGTAGTTTTTCACTTGCTTGATTCGTCGCTGTCCGCTTCCCCACTTTCATGCTCAAGGTTCAACTCCGCGTTCTGAACTCAGATCCTGAGAATCCATTCTCGAACCATGGCCGAACGGTAGCAGGACGGTACATTCCCCACTAATCTTTTTTCTCCACATCCAAAGTATTTGTGGAGCGCACCCGCTCAATGACGGTACTACAATTACCTTCATCCTGACCCCATGCCCCAGAGCGCTATAGAGCCACCAATCAAGAGGTTCCTCAGCTTTTCATACGGCGATCTGTATATTCGAAGCTTCAACGGTCCCTTGCTATGCATCACTAGTACTATGCCTCTGCTCGCATCCAGTTCTGGATAATTCTGTGAGCTACCCCATTATACAAGGCACAACGTTCCATAACCCTAATTTAGACCCAGAACACTTCGAGTCTCTTCATGGACAAAGGTTACGGGATAGATCCGTCGTAACATACTTAACGGTGTTTTCACCTCATCAAGACTTTTTGTTATGACTCAGTGAGCCATGATCCATTTACGATTGTAAACACACCTATGCAAGGAATATGGACACGATTTATGTCTACTATGTAACCATCTCGATCTTTACTTCGCTTGACTAACCAAATTGCGCGCCCCGTCGCATAAAAGGCCCAGATTAAGACAGTGCTAACATTCTCGCACGACGTAACATCATGTCGTTATGCGCAAGGCTCATCTCGTAAGTACTCCTTCCATCCATCTAAGCTACGCCTATTATGCGCCTGGTCCTTCAAGCAAGTGTTATTCATGCAATCCAGCGGATCATCTACAGATCTTGTTGTGATCAATTCTATCACCTCTGCGGAGCCGAACTCTCAAAGGTCCTGAACGCACTGGTATAGTGTGGAATTCATGTCCGCATGTTCCACGGAGCATTGATTATTGCAAGTTTACCATCCGCCAAATCTCCATGAACTTTCCCCTTGTCCCCATTCCCATCAGTACAATTTCGGAACCGCATCCGGGTTCGAAGTGTCCCACTCTAACTGAGCAGAGATCCATCAGCCCGCCCCGTTCACTGATCTTGACTTTCGATTGTTCCTGCTGTCTGGCTTGTGTCTATTTTCGTGTGCAGCCGCTCTGCGGGGCATACCTACCGTCCTCCTGAATAATTGTTGTGCCGTCATCGCTACGGACCTTTCACTTTGAGATTTGAGAAGTCACTGCTCTCGGAAGCATGTATTACCTGCGATAGAACCTCCGAGCAGGCGATGGAGATGTCTTGCAGCTTGGGAAGGTGGAGCCTAAGTGACAAGCAGGACAAGGCCCCGATGGGCACGTGGAAACCTCGTTATCCAGGATTTCTCATTGTGGCTGTACCTTGCCAGTCGACTGGTAATCATACTTAGCATCAAAGCCAAGCCACAAGAATGACTTGGAGATGCGGCGAATCCGATATCCACGTACCACACACCGCTAGTATAAAACGTTGTGTGGAATGTACTTTAAGATGGCGGATGCGATCGCCACAAACACGTTCCAATCCGATAGCACTAGTTCGCCTGCGAGGGGCCTTGTCGCCTCTACAAAATACGGCACCATGTGAGTATTACAGTAGCAACATAGCCTCAATTATGCTTACATGGTGTGTACTGTGACGAGAATCATGAGATCGATCATGCTCTTACGTCGCCTCAGATTAGAATCTAACTCGATGAAAAGCTACTTTGGCTGGATAAACCCGCGATCGAGGAAGACCAAGGTACCCAAGCCTCGGACTCCAAGAACCCCGTCTGACAAGAGTCGGATTTATGCACCACTCCGAACTTCGAAGTGTCGAGTTCTGCCGTTCGAACTTCGGGCATGCTCAGCCTCAGTCTCCGATGATCTTCTTGCGCCGCAGTTCCACTCATACACTGCGGTGTAGGTGGCCCTCCACAGCCCTAATGAGATATCTCCAAAGCGCTTCGTTGAGATAAGCTTTGGGGATGATAAGGAATTAGCCCGAAACAGTTAAGTCGGGGAAGTGAGTCATGAGAGTAGCCCAGCTGGGTGGGGTCCAGCGTTAGCGCAGTCACATGAGCAGTTTATGTGGTAGCCGGTGTCGGAGTTGCATACATAATCAAGCTAAGCTGCTTGTACTGTAAGACACTTAGTTGTCATTTCAATTAGAGCCCGTAGCACGAACTTGAAATTCCATTAGTTCAGCTTTCTTATTTCCAGTTTGCTACGGTGAAACGTGTCCAGCCTCGTCAATGCCTGAGCGTTGATCTGTCACTAGCGTGGATGGCCAAATATAAACATTCACATTTCCACCAGCTATAATATCTTTACTCTCACTCCTCGTCGTCCTGATCCTGACCATGGACATAATCTCCAAGTTCGTAGAGACCGGTGTTGCGGCCATCAACCTAAGAAGTACGTCTTCCACCCCTTATATCATAGCATCCTTCACAGCCGACTTGCTTTTCAGCTCTAGCAGCATTCGCGCCTATTCTAGATGAAAGAAAGGCAGAGATAGAGAAGATAGAACGCAAGACTTTTGTATATGATGACAAGCGTCGCACCAGGAATGAGGTTTGTGACGAATCGAACCCGATGCCATGTTCGTGACCTCACACCATGCATCACTCGCAGCTTGACGTCTATTACCCGCCAAACTCGACTCTCACCAAGAGTGGGAAGACACCAATCCTATTTTTCGTCTATGGAGGTGGATACAACTCTGGATCCAAAGAATTTCCTGAACCATTTTCTATGGGATACCGCGCGCTTGGATCTTTCTTTGCGCAACACGGCTTCATCACCGTCATTCCAGACTACAGACTTGTTCCGGAGGTCAAGTTCCCGGCTTCATCCGAGGACATTCGTGATGCGGTCAATTGGGTTTGCGCCAACGTCGACGTTATTGGCGTACCCTCGATTCCCGCGCCTGATGTAGATGCTATATTTATCATGGGTCACTCGGCGGGTGACGTGCACACGAAATTGTTGAGCCTTTACCCACCGGTTTCGGGTACCGTAAATCCTCGTTTTAAAGGCGTCATCTGGTGTGCTGGAAGTTGGTTCATCGTTGACGATAAGAAAAGATTTAGGGTCGAAGTCCCCGCAGCACAGTACTTTGGTTCTCAGGAGCAACAGAGGGAGAGGGAGCCGAGGGCTCTTTGGAATGCTCTATCCGATGAACAGATCAAAGACCTCCCTGATATTCTCCTTGTCAGGGCAGAGCGAGAACCTGACTGGCTGACGCTATCGTGGGAGGAGATAATACCAGATATCGAGAAGCGGCGTGGAGAGGCGCCCCAGATGATCATTAGCAAAGGCCACAATCATATCAGCCCTAACTGGGCTCTATGTTCCGGTCAAGGAGAAGAATGGGGAGAAGAGGTTGTGAAATGGATGAAAGTTAGAATTAACTAGCCTCTACTTCCAGTTCTGAGCCAGAAGTCTTGAAGATTACTGCGTCAGAGTTGTATAATCGTACAGTTGGCAATTGTTGGATGTTGATGAATAGTTTGTCTTTTCCCTAGATCTTAGTTATTGCAGTCTGATACATATGTCGCCTCTTTATCCAGGAAGTCAATTTCACGTGACTGGCAAGACGCGTTACCAGCTTTGGCATTCTGTATTTACCACTTCGAGTTTCAACGTTCATGTCGCACCCATGGTCGAAGCGCCATGCCTCCCGCTCTCCTGCCCCAAACCTTATTCCAACTTCCCCCACGCATCGCTTTCTTCCCCCGGCGCACTATGCAGCTGCAGCGGGCGTACCTTACAATGCAAACCGAAGCCGTGCTCACGAATCGCGTCCTCCCCAACTATATACCTCGAGCACTCCGCCGCTACCATCGCAGTCCTCTCTTGCTTCTGCTTCCGATTTGCACTCTCTCCATGTCGACTACTCTACCAATTTCAGGTCTAAACGTAGAAGTCAAGTAGGAGATCTGGGGCTTATGGAAGCGCACCTCCTACCTTCTCTAAAGGACACGATCGATCGCATGACAAGGCCATCATCACAGCTGGGAATGCCGTCTCCATCGCCCAATGAAAATCCGCAGTTGGATCGTCGATCTAACATTGGTCAGTATCATTCAAACCCCCCGCCCAAGCTCGCAAGGACGCCTCAACTTCCCTCTACTTCGAATCCTTCGTCATATTCGAGAGATACGAGTCACCAGCTTCCAGTAGCACAATCAGAAGGTCCTTCACGTCCCTCACGTAGTGCATTAAGACAGAAGCCAAAGCCCATTTTAAAAGCTCAACCCCACACTCCTACGATGATTCCATCTGATCGACCTTCCGGCAATCGACATTTTGAGGCTCATCGACCCGCCGATTTGGTGCGCAGCGGAAAACAGGACCGGCTTTCTCCCATGGAGGGCTTCTCGCCAAGGCCGCCTCTCCCCCACAAACAGAAAAACCAACCACTTCGTCAGTCTTCCATCACGACCAATATCGCCCCTGGCAGAAGAACGGAAAGAGCTCGTGCTCGCACTGACCCTGGTGCACTGCATAACTTGGCACCTCCAACCAGCTCATTGGCTACCCCCCAACCAAAAAAATATCGATCGAATATTCCTCGACGTGTGACACCATCACTGTTACGACACACTCCACGAGAGAGTTCCCAAGACAGCCTGACTGACGCGGAGCCGCGAGCCAGCTCAGGTCTCCGAGGACAGAAATTAGCCGCTGATAGTGATTTTGTCCTCCTAGCTTCCAGTTCAGAGAGCAACGAGACCCCTGTCATGTTCCAAAAGCAGCCTTCGTTCACACAAGGGCCGCATCGTGGCTTCTAAGGCCCCTGAGAAGAAAAAAGAACGCTTTGGTCTCGGGTTTGGATTCGCGGACTATGGAGCAAAACTTCGAGGCATGTTTGCCGACAACTCAGCTCACTCGATACATTCAACCACCAGTGAAGGCGGGAGCGCTAGCAATGACGATGGCAGCATCCGGGACAACGAGAGTCTCTTCTCTGACCGTGCGGATCAAGGCAGGGAGCAAGGCGACTCCACAATTTCGGATCGATATTCTCTGAGCAGTGCCGGATCAAGTTACCCGGCTTCGGAAACGATGGCCGGTGGTGACGAATCCTGTGACCGACGAAAAAGAGAACTCCTTGGGCTAGTTGATGGACTGAACCCTGTTTCTCAAGATCACCCAACTCGAAGCGAAGAGAGCGAGTACTTTGGTGAGGAAGGGCTCGCTATTGGTGGCTCTAGCGATTCCATCTATATCCAGAACTCATCTTCCTGTGATGAATCGAGCAAGAAGCGAGAGTGATTCTGGCTCGGAGTATTCTTTTGACGACGAAAATGACGAAGGCCTCCGATCGTCTACCCCTAGAGATGGACATTCTCATTCTCACCCCAAGGCAGACAAGGTCCTCCAAAGATAATCAAGCAAGCAACCGATGGCGTTTTGATGAGCGAAATGGCAGGTAATTTTATATAGCAATGAGCTTTGAGGCTAACAAACGTGATTGTATCAGCGAGGAACTCGGGGTTATCAGTTGAACGACCGTCTTCAGGGCACCCCCTGCTCTCTCCACGTCGTTCTGTTCATTCGACCTACTTAAACTCACAGGCATCGCATCCATCACCAGAGAACACGCCTAACATTGACATTGACAGCCAACGATACTCCTCAGAACTCACACGCATGATGGTCACTTCAGACGAGGCTGCAGTGCGTGAACGCCAGGCGTTTGGACTTTCTACATCATTTTCTGGCTCCGCCTCTGATGAACCCTACCTCACGCATGCCAACAGTGACATGTCGTCCATCGCCGGAAATACATGGCAATTCGAGTGTGAAGATGATGGCGTACATACTGATTCACTCCTCAATAGACTGACGACGCAGGAGTTCGAACGCTCCATGAACGCTCAGTCCACACAAAGTGACTTATCCTATGCATCATCTGAATCGTCTGTCTCTGCCGCATCGATGTCATCGGTCGCCCATGAATTCTTGCATTCGGATCGGACAAACGCACATCGGGATCATCGACGTTCTTCTGCGGATATCCACGCGTCTTGGGAAGACTTTCGTCGGCATATTTTGGAACAATTCGGTGAGGTAGAGGTACGACGACAAGAGATTGTTTGGAAACTAGCGGAGTCGGAGGCAACTTTCGTAGTCAACCTGCAGAATATGGTGCAACTCTTCATCCTTCCTTTACGCGTTCGAAGTACGAAGGTCTGGGTTTCTGGCAGTTCCAGACGACGTCTCGAGGCTGTTTGACTGGTTGGAAGACATCGTACACCTCCACACAAAATTATCCGCCAGTCTCACCGGTCTTCGGGATGTGCACAACTCCGACCTGCAATGCGTCGGGGAAGTTCTTCGACCTTTCATGGCAAAGCTTGAAATATATCAGCCTTACCTGGTAAAGCTGGAGTTTGTCGCAACCAGAATCGAACATCTTGTCGCCCAGGAGAAAAGTGACATCGGAGATTTTATCAAGCTACAAGAGCGCTCCTCCGCCTGCCAGGGATGGTCATTGGAGAAATACTTGGTCGAACCTGTCCAAAGGCTCTCCCAATACCCTGACTTTTTTCACGTGAGTTGGTGTGTCTGTCGACTTCTCATGACTGAAACCAGATCTTCTAGCGACTCTGGCACGCAACCCCGAAGTCCCATCCCGACTATCTATCAACACTATCTGTTCTTCACTCTGCTAAACTCACGATCCGTGTTCTCAGCGAGGTCAAAGATCGGGAAGATGAGTATGAGTTTGTGAAAGACATGTTCTCACGTATAGCGGACGTTCCCTCTCAACTTCCTTGCCGTGACAGGCGTCTGCTGATGCACGGTCCTGTCGCATGTGCCAGAGTGGAAAACGACGATGATTTACGAGTCACGCGCCCTTCCACCAACGTGCACGGGTTTCCAGAACCACTGAAAAGTCCATCTCCCGATTCGCGTCCACGACACAACGAAAAACTCTCAAATGCGCTGAAAGGTTGGCGTGGGCGCAGTGGGTCAGTACAGTCTACGGCCTCGACGGCAGCATCGCTACAATCCTTTCGTACTGCTCCATCATCATTCGACTTCCGATCTGAGCCACAAGCGGGGCCCAGAAATAGCCCTTTACTTCGCGTCGAGTCTCCGGCTGTTGACGTTCAGTTATTCGTTTTCACAGACTTGATCATGATGGCCTCCGCTACCAATCATCACGATGATTCTCAGCGCACTTCTGCAAATCTGCGCATACTCGATGACTTTGGTCTCTCCAGAATCCTTTCTGTGACAGACGAGACAGGTAAGGACCTCAAAAGACAGTCAGCTTACAGAGCCAGCACTTACGTGATCTAATCAGATAGAAGATCATCCATCTCAATAGATTTAGTCCCACTGACTGCTGAAGAGCTCGAGAGAGGACATGCAAATTCCAAAGGACAGGTCTTGACCGTGTCATTGTCGCACGGTACTTCTCGATCTTCTGTATCGGAGGCGTCTATGCAGTGCGCCATTCTGAAGGAATGGTTGGGACCACTGAGACAATGTTGTCAGCACGCCCTGAGGTCGCTGTCTTCGCCATCCGTGAAGAACTACCTGGCTCACGCTCCGAAAGAATCCGAGATCAGTCAATCAGTCTTATCCATCCTCGCATCAGGCTTGCCATTTCCTAAAAGTCCTTCTATGCAGTTACATGGTGTCGAACTAGGGCAAGCAGGGGATGCGGAACAACAGGAAAGGGAAGAACGCGGATGGTGGTCGCTGCGGTTCCACGAGGTCCTGAGAGAAATACAAGGACGAGAAGCGGCACTTCTTCGATAAGTATACATATTTGTATTCGTGTATTTGCTTTGCATATCTGTGGGTTGTGAGATATGTTTTACATCCAGTATATATATTCCCATTTTTATCTTGTTGCCAAGGCAGCAAGAAGGATGTCGGTATCGACTTTGGCAGCTGAAATAAGCAGAGTAAGCTTATGCTCTAGATGAGGATTTACGCCGCCACTTACCTTTGAGTACAAGTTGCACAAAAATCTGCGCAAGATGAGGATGTTCTGCCTCCATTCGGCGCATGTTTTCCAGAGACAGCTTCCACAATACCACCTGCTGCTCTACAACCACTCGTGCATTCCGCGGCATGCCCGACAAAGCAGAAAGCTCGCCTGCAACAGTACCCGACACCATTGACTCCTCGATAACGGGGCTGTGCTCTGCAAACTTGTATGACGCCCGCAGGATGCCTGACTCGATGATATACAGGCCATCGGGGGTATCATTATTCTCCCATAGGACAAAACCGTCTGGGAATGTGAACCGCTCAAAATACGGGGCGATCTGTTTGAACGTGCTCTGGTCTACGTCGTGATATGACGAGAACGCATTAAGGAGAGTATTGTATGGCTCAGAAGAATTCTCTGAATCCTTGTCGAGAAATTCTGCTGAACGATAAGAATTGGTTCTGTTAGGTAAGACGGCAAACTGACCACCAGCAATCGTGCGTTCTCCAACATCACGAAGTTGCATTTGCCTCGGAGATCCCGTCAAAGCGTCATCAAAGGAAAGGCTGGTATCTCGGCGGCCAGGAAGTGTTATTGGAGTTGTCCATGACTTCTGAGCTCTGAACCATGCTCGCAGATACGCATTCTCGGTCCCTGTAAACAATATTGACAATCGAATTCGCACCATAAAGAGATAAAGACTCACATTCCATCGCATCATTCAACGTCTCAAAGACCTCTACGGATGGCTCTTGGAGGATTCCCACACTGCTCAGCGCTTTACCGCAGAGGCTGTTGGCAGTAACACCGCAAAACACCAACACCACGCCCTTTGCATCGAGCAAGCGCTGCACACGCACGAAAGCTTCTGCGGCGGACATGTCCACCCCTACCACAAGGGACAAGTCGACAACAACGAAACGGACAGGATTCCGTTGCCAGGTGGCGTCTTCAACGATGTTTCTCAAAGTCTCTTCAACGTGTGCGATGGTGCCAAAGAAAAGAAATCCTGGATGCAACGATTAAATAATGCTACAACACGAGAGAGGTTTCACTTGCCCTGAAGACGAAGCACCCTCGTTTGTTTCGACACTTCTCGGATGTACGCCCTGTGTGCAGCAGGCCGCCTGACCGTGGAAATTGCCGACTCTCCAGTATAGCATGCACGTAAGCTCCTTCTCTGCGAGTTCTGTACCACAAAGAAGAAGCCTATCCAAAACCATGAACACAGTCTACTCTGAAAACGCGACATACTCACAGCTGACGACAATGCCAAACAAAACACCAATGACAAAGTCCCAGGCCGTCATCGTAACCATAATGCTGACTATCGTGATATACTCCATCCTAAAACGTATTTATGAGCTGCTGCATATTACACCAACTTGTAAAAGCTGACCTGCTAACCCGGTGTCGTGTATCCCACAACGCCTCCTTGACGAGGTCAATCCCGAGCACGAGGATTAGGGCGCTGACGACCATGACGGCTATTCAAATTGTCAGAAAGGTGAGGCTATAGAAATTATGCCGCATACGAATGTACGCTACGGGTCCCGTCCCAATCACTAGCAGGATAAATGTAGCGACTGCAAGCAAGAAGCTGGCAATACGCGTCCCGCCGCCCACGCGGTAAAACCTGATAAATCAGCAAGTGAGCTATCTTATACCACAGCGAATGGGAGTTCGCCTCACAGTAAGGTGTTCACGTATACAAGATAGTTTGGTCTGCAATGTGTAAGCAATTACTAGCGAGCGTCGAGAGGAATACGCCTACACCGTGCCTAGAAACCCAGCAAGTAAATTCGAGTACCCATGTCCCAAAAGCTCCTTGTTAGTATCAATGTCTACATCAAGGGACACCGCTGCAAATATATTGACTCTCCGTTCACCAAGCATCCAGATTAAGACGGGACGTACATAGCGCAGGAACGTTCAAAGGTGGGTGCAAGATATTGAAAAACAACCTAAGGCGAACCATTAGCAAGGCCAGCAATATGAACGATGGAATACGTGCAATGCAAATTGTATCGGCAGTGTCGTTCGTAGGGGCGTAAATCGAATCAATCCAAGATCTGCTCGCGTTAACACGGAATGAGCCCTTAAACCGATGGAAAATTTCTCACCGAGATACGAATAAAATTCATACCACTTGTCCTCCCCGCCACCAGTTCCCTCAGCCATATCAAAAAGCCAGCCGTCCCTCCTCAGTACACCAAGATCAAGCTGTGCAGCTGCAACAACCACATAAAACACAACCGGTACAATCATGAAATCTGAGACGTTATGCGTGAAGTGAGCAAACAAATGCTAAGGTCAGTGATCTTGGACGTACAAACAGGGAACACAAGCTGATGTTTCCATCGCATTGTAATGAACCTCAGAAGCACTGCCAGGACAAGAGGAGGGATCCATTGCGCAAGGGCGTGCGAATTGAAGATGAAGTACCGGAGGGTCTCCAGCGTCGGCGGATCGAGTGCATCGGACGGGAGACGTGTGCTTACTGTGAGGCTGTTCACATTGAAAGTTGTTCGGTATGGTTCACCACGATGACTGAATTAGAACATACCCTGTAAGAATCAGGAAGACTGCCAACCCCCCCAATACATCTGTGCGGGACGTCAGTGCCGAGTCCCGTCAAGTCAACAAACGACTTACCCAACAAGAATATGCCGCGGGAAGAACCCAATGAGCACGCCCAAACGCAGATAGCCGAGGAGAAAAAAGGACAACCCTACACAAATCACATGCGTGAGTGGACACCTGACAACCAAGCCTGGATGTAACCTACCAGTGAGTACAGACGAAAGCGCAAACGCCGCAATCGTCGTGGCAATGATCTCTTTCGGATATGAGTCTCCGATATCACGTGCTATGGTGGATGCGAGGATGTGAAAGAAGGGCTACCATCAAAAAGGAAACTATCAGAGAAAGTTCAAGGGTGTGCAAATCCGGGGTAGCGGAAGCAATCAAAGAAGTAAGCCACAATACATAGTGACAGGTAACAAGCAGGCACAAGCAAGGTCGAAACGTGCTAATGCAAGGGAAATAGACGGAAGCCGATTAAAATGTAAATGAAGCACACGTACGACAACCTCGATCATCATACTGCCATTGGCCCCAACAAAGCTGCTCCCTCCAAAGCAATACACGATTTGTGCCACCACTGTGCTGTTTGCCGAGCAATGCCGAATATAGGAAATTCTGATCAGAAGCAATGGTTTTCAACGATAGAGAAGACGTACGAGACAAAAAACATCGACACCCCCATCCCGCCTAAACCAGCAAAGACACCAGACGCAGGGAAAATAATCATTCCATCTGCAGCGACGTCGTTAGCAGCTGATCCATGATAATCGGAGATGAACAGGAACAAGAAGATGTCAGACGGCACATAAATATAGTCCATATTATGTATTAGGAGGACCAGAGGCCATCAGATCGCAGGAAATGAAGCAACAAAGGCAATATTCATCAGAACAACTTACATGAAACTCCATCCAGGATATTGAGCAACGTGCCCAAGAGCACAGCAGGCAAGCTTTTCAACAGAGTACACACGAGTTCTTTGGGGTCAATCTTACGTGTCTCGCCTGTAATTCCAGGCATGAGGCTTAATAAACGTTTCGAGGACTTCGAGCGCTTCGAAGGTGCTGAGGCATGACCATTAATGGCAGGCACGGAACTATTTGGAGGAGGAAGCAAGGGAGTGGTTTCTGTGTCCGGAGAAGAAACAAATCGCAAAACTTGTGAGCGCACGTTGCTAGTTGCCAGAAGGGTGTGATCCGCAGAATCATGGTTAATCGTGGAAATGGCCAGTTCTGGGTCTACCAATGAATTGAAACGTTGCGGCCTGTCAGTTTTTGGCGTTAGTGTTGGGCTTGGCGAGCTCGAGAGCGCTCCGTCAGTATGTCTGGAGAGCAAAACCGAGAGTGCTGAAGGTACAACATTAGGATAAGATATGTCTCTCCCGCGAGGAGTTGCCATGCCAGACGACAGATGGTGGACAGTTTTGAGGGGGTCTAGAGTGGAAGTCGAGGCTGAAAGATCTGAGCTCTGAGCTGAGAAGTGTGAGCTCCCTTTTGTACATTGTGAGGAGGGTGTAAAAGATGTGGATAACGGAATATTTGGGAGTGACCCTGGTCCAACGTGCGTGACCAGATTATAACCAGATGGAAATATGAATGAATCGCGTGAAGAGATGTTCTCTCCCGTAAGCTCGGATGGGGAAGGTAGCTTTTTGGCTTGGTTTCGACCGTGTGTCAAGGGAGAGGACGAACGTGTAACGTGCCCTGCGGTTAGGGGCGGGTTCTGCATCACGGGGGGTGTCATGGGGGAGGGTGAGCCCCTGGGAGCAGAGAACATTATATTGGAGAGCCTGACGGTGCTTGCGCGGATGTCGTCTTGAGAGTGGGGCGTGACCGACATAAAGGAAACGTAGCTCCTGGGTTGAAGTAGTCTGCAATTGAATTTGAAAAGTTAGGAGATTGAATGCACATAGAAGCATGATGGGCAGGTGACCGTATTTCGACCACATTATAACGTATTATGTTGTTATTGAAGCTTACCCGGCTCTGTGCAAAGGGGAATCATCTTGCGGTGGTGAGATCATGTGTAGATTTTCGTGCTTTGTCGCGTCATTCACATGCTCATCGGAACCAGGTCCTAAGTCATCCGAGTCTCGAATGCTTCGCGAAGAAGAAGTTGATCTTTCGTTACCAATATCACCAGTCATAAGGGGCATGAGCGTACGGAATGCGAATGATATCGATGAGCTCGAGCTCTGTCGTCGTAGATCACAGTTGTGTCGTTCAGGATCTCCAACTTGTGTCTGCATGGAATGTAAAATCTGTGAATATTTTACTATTTCAATACGTACAACGGAGCAGTCTGAGTCCAGACTTGGTGACGGCATGACTGGCAGTCCCCGCCTCTCAATTTCCATAATGGGACTCTAGATTTTTTCCGGAATGTTCCGCTATCACCGACCCCTTGGCGCCGGTACCTAAGGGGTACCCTAGGCTAAGTAACTAACTAGTAAGTAATTAGGGTGGTGACCAGCACCTGACGTTGAACATTATGTACAAAGGAGAGCACCTGACAGATCGGTTGTACGGCCCATCACTAGGAGCTTGACTGCTACGGTACTGCATGCACTCACTACCATACACAGATGACCTTTAAGGTTGTACGACAACCACGTTCCCTCCTAGGAAACTGAATCGAAGGAAGCGAACCGAGTTGTATCTTCTATTACATGTGATCCCAGTCAGGTGTCACGCCACTGATCATATCAATCATTCCTCTTTCAATGGGAGACCATTTGTGAGCCCAAGCACAGAGACGTGGCACAAACTCATCATCTTCTGGGCGGTAGAAACCGAAGTTCGATGCGTCGAGGCACAAAAGGGCATTCCAGCAAGCGCACCTAAAGGGACAACCCGAGTCATTTTTGCGGGGATTTGAATCATGTGTTCAACCCGATCCCTGATCGGAGTTGTCGATTATGGATGAATGAATCAGAATGATGAAGTCTTGGAGAAAGGTCGAAAGGTCGTGTCCATTCCTCCGGATGGATACTCTTCTTCGACCACATGCCGCCCAGGCCAGGTGGTAAAAGTTGATGACAGACAAATCAGTCATGACAAAAGAGTGACAAGTCATCTGACAACGTCTAGACACTATATTGAGCGATCAGTCGTTTCAATAGGAACTTCGAACGGCTCGAGAAACTTCCTTACACATGAAAAACGCCATGTTATAGGTTTCGTTAAACTTCAAGCTTCAAGGGTCAATTATGTAAAATTTCACCTCCAATATCACGCCCTCGTGCAGCAGCGAAAAGAAGTCACCTGAAGCTTGAAGCTTGGATGCGAGATCCGAGTTTGAATCAGAATTCTTTGAATCAAACGAAGCTCAAACTGACTGTGACAGGCTGCGCCGTGAATGTCACAAGGTCACACACACAAGGTTCTTTCGAATCCAACGAGGTCATCGATATCGATCGTGAGTCCATACAATGAAATTGTTGCGGAGTTTATCTTTAGCCAATTAACCAATACCATGCTCCAGACTCCAGTCTGAGCCGCATCCTACCACTCCCTTGACAACTTGAAGTGCAATAAGTAATGTTTGCTGCGCCCATCGGACACGGGGCCGCCGCATCGGCAAACAACGTCACCGCAAACGCGGAGTCTGATGTCGAAGATGAAATCTCATGCAACGAGGTTGATCAGGTTCGCTGTCGACTGAAATTACGAGCATTTCGTTCAAGATCCTGCCTTTTGGGTTTTTTTTAGGACGGAGCTCCTACCGAGGCAGACATAATGACTGTCACAGCGGAGCTCGTCTTTAACGAGATGCCAAGTCATCTGATATACATTTATGACGACTATGAAACTACGACACTTATTGATCGCGAGACTCTGGTGGATCTGTTCCGTCCGGAATTGATCAGAGTCTGCAAGGACCTTGTTTCCAAAGACAAACTTCATGACGTAGTCAGGCAGAATCTGAAATATGCAGCCCTTTCTCATAGATGGCTCAGCGTCGGGGAACCAACATTTCAGGAGATGTCCGCAGAAAGGAACCATCAGTCTACAAGGCCTGGGTTTATCAAACTCCGTAACTTCTGCCAGAAAGCAAGGGAGTACGGCTGTCGTCTCGCTTGGTCAGACACTTGCTGTATCGACAAGAGAAGCAGTGCGGAGCTCGATGAGGCCATCAGGGCTATGTTCAAGTGGTACAGGAACGCAGAGATATGTATAGTTTTTCTTGCAGACTCTTCGTCCATCTCGGACTTTCCGGAGGAAGTATGGTTCCAACGCGGTTGGACACTCCAGGAGCTTCTTGCCCCTCCACGAATCAAGTTCTATGGCAGGAATTGGGATGAACTCAGCCGTTCGCGTAATGACAAGGAAGGCCATTCCATGTTAGAAGCTCTTTCTCAGGTGACGGGAATATCCCGCCAGAATTTGCTATATTTCAGTCCGGGGTTAGTCGATGTTCGCGAGAAGATGATCTGGGCATCCAAGCGGAGGACAACAAGGATTGAAGACATCGCTTATTCCTTGATTGGAATTCTTAACATCAGCCTTAGTGTGGCCTATGGGAAAGGAGAGCGGGCATTCCGCCGCCTGATGGAGGCCATCATGCAGGCTTGTCGTGAATGGCAGATATTGGCATGGGCTGGTCCTCATTCCTCATTCCAAGCCAGCATTCCCCGTTCTCCTCTGGCGTACTGTGCTTTTGACGAAGCATCCGCCAATATACTTTTACCAGATCGCTATATAATGGATCGTCCCTCCAAGCTTGGCGATCCTTTTTTTACGATGACGAAGAGAGGTTTGGAGCTTGAAGTCATTCTGGTGGAGATGATGCTACAACAACCCGCACCACGACAGCCAGGAGGAACACGGAAAAAAACTCAAGTTATCCGCCTCATCTCTGACTCTGCGAGCTTCTATGACGTCACAGCCCAGTGCGACATGACCTTTCTACCATTCTCGCAGTGGGCGATCGCTATCGTGAACTACAAAGCTGATGAATCTGGAAAGCGCGGTGGTATCGGAAAACTCAACCCCACAAGTGACTACCTTTGCTTCGTACTTGGGTCTAGTATTCATAGTGCGTATGGGGGGTGGCAGAAGGTTGAGACGCAAAAAATTGTGACAATTCGTACCAAGAGGGAGGTGTACCAACAAGTTACGACAGTGTGGCTTTAACCTTCTACCCGCTCACTCCTCGTATTGTAACGTACATATCTCTATCCCGTACAGAACCCTGGCAGGTGATATGAGTCATTCGGCAGTCCTTACGTAGCTTTTCACTGTGGATGCGGCTGCCGATGACCTCTTTTTCCATACACAGCTTACACAGCACCCTTTAGACCAAGTAGCATCATACCTTGTCACGCATGAACGGCGAAACAGGTTCCTAGCAGTCATCAGGACATATATTTAACCCATTCGTTCCTATGTAATTTCTTCCACCTGCCTACATTTATCTGACAAGCTTGTTAAACCATCGACAGTTCACAATCTCGATACATCTATTCATCTTGATAAGCTACATGAATGGCTATTGAAGAGGTCTGCCGCATATTCCGAGAGCACCTGCGGGAAAGCGTCCCGCATCGACTAATCGCGATATCAAAGATGGAAGTCGTAGAACAACCATGGGTAGAAGAGCTATACATGCCATCTATCAAGGCCGTGACGGAGAGAGATATAGAACAACACACATTCTACCCGAATCAGAGAAGGGACGAAGCGATCCGAAATATCGTGAAAGGCATAGTCAAATACGCCGTTCTGTCTCACAGATGGTGCCGCGAAGGAGAGGTGACGCTGCAGGAGATGACATCAGGTGGCACAAAGCTCGGGAAGCTCTCGAGCCGTCACAAATTGGCAAACTTCTGTCAGAGGGCAGCAGAGTACGGTTGTGGCTTCGCCTGGGCAGACACGTGCTGTATTGATAGGTCCAATCCCCCTCCAGAAGAGCTCGATAAAGCCATACCTCGGATGTTCAGGTGGTATCGCAATGCGCATGTCTGCATTGTCCACCTTGCGGAATCATCCACATTGGACGACTTCCTGCGCGACTCTTGGTTTTTACAAATTTGGACTTTGCAAGAACTTCTCGCCCCAGTCAGAGTCAAATTTTATGGACGAACATGGAGCCCGATCCACAATATACGAGCCGACAACGACAAAGCTGACCAGAAGTTGTTAGCCGCGCTTTTCACTGGCACTGGAATTCCGGTGCAAGACATCCGATGTTATTGGGCAGGAACGGAAAGAGTGCGCGAGAAGCTCATGTGGGCATCTCGCCGGACTTCACGACAAGTAGAGGATAGCGCTTACTCACTGCTGGCACTTTTCGACTGTGCATATGCACGTCGAGTATGGAATAGGAGACGAAGCATTTGGTAGATTGATGGAAGTGCTCCTGTCCGAGAAGCCAGGAGTGCGATATACTTGCCTGGGCTGGCATAGCATCCACCAGATACATGTTCTTGCCACCGTCAGCACAGGGATATAGCGCTCAATATTTGGACGGATCCTATAATCCCAGTCACGACCACTACAGATTGCGAGGAGACCAGGACATGGTTATCATCGAAAGGCGGTTGAGAGTGAAACTCCTGATGCTCGAGTTACATGAGGCAACGTTCGGGGATGAGATACCTTTCTTGCAGGATGGTTACCATGCATGTGCACTCTTGCCAAAGGGATTGCCCTCCAATGTAACGATAAATCATGTGTCCGTTGTTTCCAGCAACAACACGCCTTGGCGTCCGTCCAAATTGGCCCTTGGTGTTGTCGATTATGGATGGACAGGTGATGACGAGAAGGGACTCGTGGAAAAAGGCCGTACCCATTTTTGCCTCCTCTTCGGAGCGGATGATACACAAACAAGTTGGCAGAAGCTAATGACAGACAAAGTGGTCACCATAAAGACTGAACACAGCATTAGACAACGTCTAGAAACTATATTGATTTGATTTGCTTGAGCTCAATGAACCAGTGTCGAGCAGTATTCAAAATACTGTTGCGCCGTATATAATGTCGAATATTAAGATTTTATGATGAATTACGACCTTCACTGGTATCGTCGCACACGGAATTAATCATGGCAGTTCGAACTTGAAGCTTGAAGAGCTTTGGAAGAATGACAAGTGGGGAACAGATTGATATTGTTGCACACGGAATTGATCATGGTAATTCGAACTTGAAGCTGAAGCACTGAAGCTTGAGGGGCTTTGGAAGGATCCAAGTCGTGACTGTGACGACATAGAGCTGTGATTTAGTCACGCCTAGTCACGTACGACTGCTGGTGTTAGTGAAGCTCAAACGTTCGACAACCATGTCCAACACCATTGCCCTGCATGTGTATTTTCTCCTGAAAAATGCGGCAGTCAACTAATGAAACTTAACACAGGTACCCGCTATCGAACTTTACCTTTAGGTGAGTTGTGGAGTTTCGCGTCGGTCAATTCTAAATTGCGAACACCAGCACAAAAGAGGCGCAGCCCGAGGAGGACCCTTCCGTGTCTGCGCGCCTGCAGCGTCTCCAGAACAATTATGAGGACTTCGGTATGCGCCGCACCGTCGAGGGAATTCTTGTTGTACATGACCATGGACACCCGCATATTCTAATGCTCCAAATTGCGAACGCGTTTTTTAAGCTGTGCGTTTCCATATTCGATGTCGCTTTCGTTATAGTTGGTTGATCTTGTGGATAGCCCTGGTGACTACCTCAAACCGGGCGAGGACGATATTGACGGACTCAAACGACGCCTCGACGAGCGTCTTGCACCGCCAGTAGAGTCTAAGCAATTCAACGCGTCCCATGGTGTCGACAACGAGTGGGAGATCGGTGATTGCCTTGCGCAATGGTGGCGGCCCAATTTCGAGACGTTTATGGTGCATTCGTCTTCTTTATAGTGAATGAGTGATGCTGACATGTTCGTAGTACCCATTCGTGCCAGCACACATCACGAAGCCAAAGGAGTGCAAGAAACTTTACCTAGTCCAGATGCCTGAGCGGAGTACGTCATACGGTCCTGCCATACTTTTCATTCAACTTGTATCTTCACTAGAGGTCCTTGCCGTTCCGAAAAACATGAAGCTCCTCGCTATCCCCTTGTTTGAGTTGTATGATAACGCTGCACGGTTCGTCTTGATAGTCTCATGAAGCTTAAGGGTGCATGTTTCATATTGGTAATGTCGTATAACTCCAGATATGGTCCCCAGCTCTCCGCAATTCCGCACCTACTTTCAAGGTAACTGCCCATCCAAGCTGCACTAGATGAATCCCATGCTTATGAATGTTGCCGGCAGATACAACTTCATTTACCAGTAGACTTCCAATGAAAAAACTGTCCTGGTTACTACCGCAGCATCATACACCCCGAGAGACGTATTCTATTCCTTCGACGGAGCTGATTTTGCAGGCCACGAACCTGGCGTAGGTACATAGTTCACGAATGAATCATTTATTCCTTTATTACTGTTGTAGCTCTCGAAACCCTTGTTGCCCATGTTTCTGTAGTGTAGTATGATGAACTGCTTTCGTAGTAGTCAACACATAAATCTTTCGATGAACCTCGAGGCGCCAAGGAGTTAGCCGAGAGGTCTTTCTTTGAGGGGACGCGTGATGCAGACGAGGCTTGTTGCCTCCCAATAGCTGTCCACGCGTAATCTATCGCCGCTCAAGACACTTGTATCGTTCTACCAACCATCTGCTGACCTGTTCTCCTCAACGACCCAATTACATACCATGCCTCCAACAGACCTCATGAAGAGATCCTCTACCAGTACTACCACCACCAACCCACCCGTAAATGTCAAGCTTCTGCTAATCGGAAATGCCTCAGTGGGGAAAAGTAGTTTGCTCCTGCGCTTCTCGGATGAGCAATGGCTCCCCGAGGACGAAGCGACTGCAACGATAGGCGTTGATTTCCGTGTTCGTTTGTCATTCTGTGGAGAATGAAGTCGTGTGCTGACCCTAGTTGGTATAGGTGCACAAGATGGAGGTCAACGGACGGAAGGTGAAGCTCAGCATATGGGTGCGTTGATTCTTTTTTCCCCCTGTATCTGTGGGATAATGATATTTGTTTTGCAGGATACAGCCGGTCAAGAACGATTCCGTACAATCACATCCTCGTACTACCGTGGTGCTCAAGGGATCATACTTGGTGCGTTCTCGTTCGCTTTTACGAGATGAAGGTTCGGAGACCTAATAATATTTGCTATGGTACAGTGTATGATGTAGCAAACCGCGAGACATTTGAGGCGCTTCCGAAATGGTTTTCAGAAATCGACACCTATGTCTCAATCACGGTGCCGAAGATTATTGTTGGAAATAAGGTCGATAAGGTGCTTGCTTTTCCCTTGATCATTTCTTTACGTGCTCTTGTTATTTTCTTGATCTCAGTCCTTTTCATCGACCTGCCCGCACTATATTTGCATTACTATCACTAACATCTCGCCTACCTGTTTTTCGTCTCTCACACTCCCCATTTCGTTATTTCCTACCAACTGCTAACACCATTCCAGGAAAACTCTCGACAAGTCTCCACCAACGAAGGTTCCACCTTTGCCTCTCGTCAGAATGCCCTCTTTGTTGAGGCCTCTGCAAAGACAGCCATAGGGGTACGCGATGTATTCGAAGAGCTGGTAGCGCGGATTCTTGAGACCCCAGAGCTGTGGGCCCCTGTAGCACCGGAAGCTGGTGTAAGTTTCGGGAAGCGGGGTGAGGAGGACGGCATGCCGGGAACGATCGATGTGAGGCGTGCTACGACTGCACAGGACGATGGGGTTTGCGGATGCTAGATTCTGTGCTTGAGCGGCTGTCACTGTGATGCTACTCCACACGTGGCGGATAGAGCTCCCGGGGGTCGGTGCGCCCACCAGTAATAAGTTATCGAGTGGTGTGCTGATTGCTGTTTGTGCGGATAGATCTGCCTCGGACACGACTGATATACCTTGTATGTGCCTACGTACTGCATTCAATTCATGTACAATAGACACGCGACATCTGGAGGAATCAATCCTTGTTATATTTACCATCACCGTACAGGGGTCATAAACAGATCGCAATTTTAAAATGTGAAATAGTGTGAGTCGGGTGAGCACGAGGCATTTAAACAACTGTATGTGACTCATCTATTTCTAATGAATACAGAGTCGAACGCTAGGAAGCAGATTCATTGTCGAGAGCCGAGATTCATGCGAACATGTAATTACCCCCTGGTGCATAGCAGCATTAGCCATTGGTTGATCGTATGTTAGTGGGGATTTGGAATACATCAAAGATACGAAGTAGTTGATACGCATATATTATCAGCAGTGGGCGTCGTACTTGCTGGGCAACGTTGCAACACTGTCACGGCCACGAAGTCCATTTAATACCATTTGACGCGCTCGAGACCTGACCCCAAAAATTGGCATCAATGATCGATTGCTGGATCTCCAGTTTCGAAATATCAAGAGAACGTTTACTCTGTACGGGAAACAAAGTGAGCAGACACAACTTGGGTTTAGACTCCGACTCCATCGGGAGTGGGTAGGCTTATGATGTAAAAGAAGGCCGACGGCCTCGTTGTACTGTGGCTGCGTGCCATATGATTCCTCTCTGCAGATGCATGCATTAATACCAACTCTGTTTCCTCATCCAAAGGGAAACCCACAGATACCCTTCGTCTTCATCGAATATCTTCCACTAGGTCTTCGGCTCTTTGCATAACTTTGGAGCCACAAGTGCTTACGCCTGCAAAGGTCACATTTCCACCAGTTGGAGGTCTTCATGATATTCATACTTCTTCAGAGTCATGTCGAGGAATAGGAACGTGATAATCATTGGTCAATCCGGGGTGGGGAAAAGCTCCCTCATTAACATGCTTTGTCCCGGGGCCAAAGCTGATACCTCAAACGACACAACCGGTTGCACACAGACAGAGACAGAGTACCGATGCGACCTCGGGGGACAATCCTGTCAAGTACACGACACAATTGGTCTCGAAGAAGGGCGATGGGGCTTCCTTCCAGACAAGAAAGCACAGAAGCGGCTCAAAACATACTTGAAGACGAACGAACCACACCTTGTGGTATACTGCATGCCGGGAAGAAGAAGCTGCGTGAAGAAATCGCATGGACGCAACTATAAGAAGTTCAAGTCGGTGGTAAGAAATGACGTGCCCGTCGTAGTGGTCGTCACCGGTTTGGAGAATTTTGAAGGTCAAAATATGGAGGATTGGTGGTCGCAGAATGAGAAAGAACTCCAAAACATCGGTATTCCGAAGACCGCTGGACATGCATGCATCACCACACTACCCAAGCTGAACTCGAGAGCAGGAAAAGATATCTCTACGATACATCCTGTGAGAATAGTCAAAACTCTCATCAAAAGTAATCTTCCCAGGTAGATCACATATAACGATGGTACGGTCTGCGAGTCCATTCATTTTATGATTTTCATACAGACATCTCACTTACTATATGTTATGAGCATCGATACACTACTCCGAGTCACTTTACTAGTACATACCACCTGTTGCAGACTCGGAAGACCTGACGTTAACCGCATTTACTTACGAAGCACCATTGACACGACCGAAGACAGTGGGTGGTAGCATCATGTGCCTAACTCTAGGGTCCAAGTCGCTTCGGTCCATCACGGTGCCGGTGACTCCGCGTCACAAGCTGAAGCATCTTAACCTCTATCATCCATGTCTTTCCTCGTCATTACCTCTGCAGATGTATCCAGAATTGTATCATCGATCCACCACTCCAGCTTGAGAATCTGATGGCCTTCGTGTTTCACACCCTTTCCTCAGGTTCTGGTTTTGATGCCCCGTTGCGTGAAGCAATTACTATGGCGCAGCACAAGACACTTTTCATGCCTGCACGAGTGCAGGGATTAGGGACTAGCATCAAGGTGGTCTCAATTCCGCAACATCATGCTGATCAAGGCGGGCTTCCTGCGTCCAGTATAGTTTTGGACGAAAACACTGGCGGCATACGTGCAATCGTAAACGCGAGGCAACTAACAGCTCTTCGTACAGCTGCTGGTACGTTCTCAATCCATCCCGATAAACAAGCATAGCAATCAATATGCACATGAGCAGGTTCTCTGCTTGCTACGCGCCTTCTCTTGTCTGTTCGAGATCCAAGCACGTTCCTTGCTTTCGGAGCAGGCAAGCAAATTGAGGCGCACGTGGATCTCCACCTTCGTGCCTATTCCACCATCGAAACTTGCACGATAGTTAACAAGTCAAATAATCAAAGACTTGCTGATCTTATCATGCGCCTGAAGTCAGCTCATCCAACAGTCACATTTCAGTCTCTCATTTTGAAGGACGACCTTGCTCGACTGGAGCAAGTTACCCGTGCAGCTAATATCATATGCACGGCCACATCCTCAAAGGAGCCACTTTTCGAGGCGAAATGGGTTTCTCCGGGGACACATCTCAATCTCATTGGAAGCTACACGCCTGAAATGGCAGAAGTCTCTTCAGAGTTGTTGCACCAGGCTGGAAAAGTGGTCGTGGACTCCAGAGAAGCATGCGCATCTGAGGCCGGGGAGCTCATAAAGGCCAGGTTTAATGAAGAGGACATGATTGAAATTGGAACGCTGGTCCATTTTGATAACAACTCACCGGATGCTGAATACAAGAAGGTTCACGCGTTGTGCGACGAGGTAAGGCGGGCTGGTAAAATCACTATATTCAAGAGCGTGGGCGTAGGATTACAGGACGTAGCCATCACGAATATGGTGGTGAATCTCGCGGGAGAGACTGGTACTCGTATTGACTCCTATGATGACGATCAGTTTTGAAACCTCACTCGCAATCTGTTAAAGAGATTCAGGAGGTAATACTATCAATACCCCTCTGAATTTATAATCATACCTTCATTGTATATGCAAGCCGGGGGCCCATCGCGAGAAAAGACTAAGATGTGTAGGATGGATTCTGCGAACCTCTTTGCCTGCTGGAAGAGATACTAAGTACTAGTGGTCTTTCGGTTGAACGTCGACGGTTTGCTCAGATACAGCCGTACCAGATCGAATTCCAGGACTCTGGAACACGCGTCGGTCTGCACCTTGGAGAGAAAATCTCGATCAACCCTAGCACTCGAGGAGGAACGCACTCGAAAAAAACCTTCTGATCCGGGACCAAAAGTCAAGTGATAAACAGTCGATAAAATCCGTCATCGAACAGTAACGTAAAAGGCCATCATCTATATAATTGTCGTACAGAGTCAGTAGTAGGTAGATGTCTGAGTGGGACGTTGTATAAATCAAACCCCGGACCTTGACCACATGTACAAATCACAAACACCAACCCACAGCCCGCCCAATATCCCTAATACTCCTGCGATCACTCAACGTCAAAGCCGTTGCCAAACTTTCCCGCTCCTTGTCCTTGCGACCCTGTAGCCCGTATGCTTTAGCCAAGTAGTACCAGGCCTCAGGAACGTCCCAGCCAGGTCCTCGGGTGACGTGGCCAAGAATCCCAGCGACTAGATCAACCTTATCCGAGTCAACTGGGTCGGTCGAAGACTTCGTGGAAAGGTGGATGCGACATAAGTGTACAGATGCAGCGATATCGTCTGGCGATATGAAGAGGGCTTTTTGAAAAGCTTCTAGAGCCTCTCTATTACGATCTAGCGTCATGTAATATAGCCCAAGCTGTGTCATAGTTAGCGAACGCTCTGGTAGAAGATGTTCGATATATGCACCTGTACCCATACAGCAGGATTTTCAGAGTCTTTGACTTCTGCTTCTTGGATTGCGCCTTTGGCTTGCTCGGTTTTACCAAGTCGTCGAAAAGTGGCAGAAGACATGGCCCAAAGGTCGCTTATAAGCTTGTCGTCCTTCGTCGCGTGGAGCGTAGGTGTTTCCTCCGGCACTGGAGGAAGCGGGGGAGGCGGAGCGGGTGGTGACTCGATGGGTGCGGCAGCTGCATTATGACGAATCAGGGAACGCAGCCGACGGCGGGAGTGTATTGATGACGCTTGATAGTTATGGTTTTGTAGTACAGCATGAAAGTCTAAAGCAACTTGTAAAGAAAGGCATGGGTAAAACAAAAGTAGCCTACCTGGTGCCGAGCTTGTCCTCTTCAAATATCCGTTTCGCACAACGCCGTGTCCGAGTTTCCTCGAAATAGTGCTGATCCTTTCCTGCCCTTTATGGACGCGGGCTTTTAGCATCTGTTGCACCTTCCTACCAGTGCCATCTGCTGAAGAGGAGCGTCTACCCTTTAACGATTCCTTCTCATCCATGCTGAGTGGAAAATGACGATGCGGTTCAGCAGGCGTTGCAGGTGTGACAGTGATTGGCGGAAGTTCCGATGACGCGGGGTCTTGTTGACCAAGAGAAAGACCCAGGGATCCATGGTGGTCTGCACTAGGACCTTTTTCATTCAGTGGGTCTTGTGATGGCTGATGCAGCACTGATGACGTTTGTGTAGTCCTGGCGCCGGTACCAGTATCCATCGACGACCTCGCTGATGTACACAAACCACAACCAGATAAAATCAGCTCCATACAGCCCGAGGTGGGATGAAGAACAAGGGAAGCTTGCTTCCTGGACTCACGCTGCGTCTCTGTCATAGACCCTGATGTGGAGGGCGACCCTTTACATTCCGCAACCCAGCCAAATACGTCAACCCACCGCCCCTCTGCACCTTCAGGGCCTTCTATGTGTTCGGCGAGTGCCATTTGTGTCATTCTGAGCTGGAGGGCGTAATTGAATGCGTCACAGGAAGAAGGCAATGGATGGTCAGGTAATGGTCGGAGGAGAGTGGCAGATGGCGGTATAGTGGTTGCATGAGGATCAAGAAGCCTCTTGTGCTCAGACATCGGACCATCTGCATCATTCGGCGGTAGATGTGCAGCTGGGAGCATTGAATGGCCATTTACTTGTGCGTCCTGATGGTCTGACTCAAAGTCTTTAGCCTGGATACCATTAGCCATAGGCGCTTTCACCGCGATGTCATTGGCAGCATTTTCCGCGTCGATTCTAGCGAAACTTTCTGCATCCTGCTTGCTCTCGTCTAGGTCTGCGCCCACTTCTAAAACACCGGCCGCCTTCTCCCACTCACCATTAGCACTAAGTAACAAACCGAGAAGATGCCAATGTCGAATCTCGTCAGCATCGTCTTCAACAGCTGCGCGAGCGGATACGATCGCCTCGTCCACATTTTGCGAACTTCCAGGTAAAGAGAGTGCGATCGCGAGCTGATGATGCGCAGCAGGTGTAGGGTAGGTCGCGACAGACTTCAAGTAGGCAGCGAGGGCGCGACCCTAGACGAGCCTGTCGCGTGTAGGGGTCCTGTTCTGATATAACATGAGATTTCAGTCATCGGATCAGAAGGAACACCCACCTATGATTGCCAGTGTTGTGTAATATACGCCATCGGCCAGTGCGACTTTCGCCACCATCTCCTTGTCATCCTCATCCAGCCTCGTTTTCGCCCTTTCGATCATATCCCCTGCTTCCTTGGCATCGTCGATACCATCCTGGCGTGAAATGGTAAGACGACAGAGCATCCGGGCACCATTGATAAGCGTCTCAACCCAATGACGATCGGTGTCAAAGTCATTATCCACACCTGCCTCTCGTGCTTTTGAAACGACCTGAACGTATAGCCTCAGGGTACGTTTAGCCAGCTCCGCATCACCAGAGATGGAGAGCAGCCGTGTCATGTGTCGATAAATACGGTATGAGTTGAAGGTGAGGCGGGTAGCCCACCAGAGCATCTATATCATGTCAGTGAACCGATTGAAATCTAGCCCGTGCAATCTTACATCGAGAACCCAACGGACGCGGTCAGACATGGCTCCATTGGTCTCCCACACTGCCACACACAAGTCTACAAAATCCTCCACTTTAACGTTACGTTCTCCAGCCTTAGGGAAAGTAGTGCAGGTCCCTAGAATTGTGCGATATTCATAGATGACCGAGCGAGCAGTATTTATCCATTGGGGTGGTTTCGCCGACTGAAGTGACGAATTAGGAGTGGCTGCAGCCGATGGCGTCTGATATCGGATGATTAACGCTCGGAGGTGAAGGACTGCAACTCTGGAGCGGTGACCTGTGCGAAATGTCGCAGGCCAATGGGCGCTGCAAGCATGATAATGGGTGAACATGGTCCAAATAAGGCCATCGTTCTCATCCAGACAGCAAAACCACGAAAGGAGAGAGATGGTCCTGAACATGAGACGCTCTGTCCAACGCCATAGCTCGCGGTAGTTGTCAAATGAAGCGAAAGATGAATGTGTGGCAGCGAGTGTCCGCGGTATCTCAGACTCGATGCTACTCAGAAGTGGGAGGGCGGATGAGTAGGCTTGGATTGCTTTCTTGGGTTGTGACAATTTTTCACAACACATGCCTATTGGAGTGGGTGTCAATGTGATGAAGTAAACGATGGAACGGCATACCTTGCAAGCATGTGCTCCTTATGGACTCAATGATTGCCCAAGCTCTCCCATCCTTGATGTCAGCTGTCGAACCAGAAGAGTCAGCAGAAACAAAACTGCCGGTCCATGATGATGAGGTTTCGGTAATTGATCCAGGTATTTGAAGTGCGGAATTATCTGAACGAGTGGTGAAAGATGGAGGTATATGACTCTGCGCCTCGAGCAGCTTCGGTACTTTTAACAAGTAGGAAAGGCATTCCGAGAACTGGCCGAGGGCATACGCGTAGAGCGCAAGTGCATGCTGTAGAGACTATACGACCATCTTCAGTATTGCACGAAATACGGATGGAGGGTGAATTACATCGAAGTTCTTGCTGTCCAGACTCCTTAATATCTCATACCCTCCTCTAGCCTCCTCTATTCGTTCCAGTGGTAAGAGACACTCGTCGCCAAGAACGAGCTCGTCATCATTTTCTAAACCTAGCTTGTCCACGTCCTCTGTGTCCGCTCCGAGCAGCAAAAATAGAGCCTGAGTTTGTGATGCGACCTCTGCGACGTCTTGGAAACCTTTACAGTGCTTGTTGAACTTGCGTAGGACATGAAACCAAGATAGCGGGGAGCCATTATTTCGAGCTGTTCCTGGTGAAGGAGACGACCATTGACCTGCAGTGAGAGCAGCCCTTAGTTGAGCCCAGTAGTACTTGTCCTTTGCATGGGCCATGTATGCTCATCATTGTAGGAGCAGCCCTTATGATATTCACGATTCGACCCCTCAGAAAATCAACCCCCCGTGATTCATTCTTAATCACCTTCCTTTTATAGCAGCATGGGCGTCGTCGCTAGAAGCTCTGCCTTTGCCGCATTATTGGATTCTGGACGGTCAGTCGTTCGTTGTCTTGTTTCTTGTAGACATGGCCTCTCCTTCTCCATCATTGACACCACCAGCTCTGACGCCGGATTATACTGGCTCAACTTCTACAGACTCTCAAAGTCATGCAGAAGTCAAGCACTTGAAAGCGCGTCGTTCCACCGCTTTTTACCCTAATATGAATTCTGCGAACAAACCAGTCAAGCCATTCAGCAGAAGCGCAGCAAAACGTCAGAGCGTCATGACACTCGGAAGCATTGAGCATCTTCAGCACTATTTTACAAAGACAGGTATCGTTGCCAAGCCCAAGTACGTGTGTTTCTTTCTCTCTCATCGACTTTCTGCTCATACTGCGTCAAGCCCATCGAAAAAGTTCAGCAATCAACTCGTCCCAGCTCTCGGTGGAATTTCTACAGCCAAATCCGCTAAAGCGTCATTGGGCAGTCTATCGGAGTTCGAGTTGCCCCCATCACCGATCATTCCGCAGATACAGCAGCCACCTTTCCCTCCGTTTGTGAAGACATATGAAACGGACCCTGAAGCGTTCCTTCCAGGCGTCATAGAAGACCTCATGGCTGTTGCAGATGCGTGGGGCTTGTCAAGTAGTAAAAACGACAGTCCGAAACGCGATCTTGATCTCCTTAGCCCACACGCGTCCGATACTTCGCGAGATCGCCTGGATATTCTCAACTTGCTCAAGATCACGACGCGCGCCATTCGTTCAGTGCGCAACTACGTTATTGCATTACCAGACGATTCCGCTGGAACTCTCCGCAGCCATTACCGCAGCAAGGTCGCGGCAAGTCCACCCCACCCAAAAAGAAACGCGTCGCACCAGAAAGCCCAGGCAGATCCCCTGTCCCTTATCCGCAAATCCGCGTTGGAAGTTTTGGCTGTTCTTCGCGAACTCGAAGAGCGCTCACGTGTACCTCTATCTGACGAGGTTTATGACATGCAGAGCGATCACGGTTCCGTTCCTGATCACAGTGGTGCATCACCATCACGTGTGGCATCACCCGCTGCGATTTCAGACACGTCTCATGATCACGATCACGACCTTTCTATAGATCCAGACATGTCGATTTCTTTCGTGCACGTACAAGGTCGACACGAATCCGTGCCGGTGTGGGAGGATGACTACTATGACTCGATTATGAGCGAAGAGGAAGGAGAAAAGAGAGATCACTGGGACGACCGTTTAGTGCTGGGTGGGGGCTGGCTATACAAACAGGACATGACGCTGGCCGACTTAGCGAAGGAGGAAGAAGTCGTGCGGCGGTATGTGGACGTGGTCGATGATGTTCTATTCGGAGAGGTCAAGGAGGGCAAAAGAGGTTGGGAACGAGAACATGAGAGGTTTGCAAAGAAAGAGAGAGAGGGCCGGGCGAAGAACAGGCGTGTTAGCGCCGGTGATGCAGATCCTTTTCGGTCTCCGTCCTCGCCTCCATCGTCTAGGCGGGCAGTATCATCCGGTTTGCTAGATTCGATGCAGAGACTTACAATGATGGAAGAGAATGAGGACATGACAACCCTTACTGAGGAGGAAAGCGTGGATGAAGAGGATTTGCCCGAGTGGGCGATGCGTGGATCTATTGCTGAACACCCGTTAGGTTGGTCCTTCGATTACTTGATTCTCCTAAACCTAATCGAGTTCCGGCAGGTCGAGCGCATGCCCTCATCCACGCTCTACTTCCGGAACATCTCTGTTCGTTGCTACCGCCCGCGACAGATAGAAATGCATTCCTTCTCGCACTTTCGTCCGGCCAGTTTCTGTGCATAGCGTACAACACCGGCGTCCGGTGGTCACGTAAACCCTGGGGTTTTATTTCGCCCGATTCCATCCATGATATCGTGGCACTGGAGGCTGCGGAAGACGAGAAAGAGAGGAGTAAGACTGGCTGGACGTTCAGACGAACAGATAACCTTCGATTGTGGGCTGCGTACGTTGTTCTCTTCTCCAGGTTGTGTAACTTAACGTCAGCCCGTCAACTATCTAGCGCACTAAAAATTCGATATCTCCTGCCAATGATCGTACCCTCCGCACCTGGCCGGACAGATCACCAACTCAAGCCTTCACATAGCACACCAGCAAACTCTCCCTCAAAGGTACGGTTCCCCTCCACAGAACCCCCGATCATCTTCGATCCTCGCCTCGTTGCGCGCAAGGACGAGGGGTGGGACACCATGCTCCAGGATACTCTGCTTAGATGGGTGGAGGTCGTCGTTGGCGAGAGAAGGGGCGAGCGGTAACTTGCTTCCTATCTTATCCCCGCATTTTCACGCCTCTTTTCTCGCGTGGATCTCTTGTTATTTGGGTTTTTGGCTGTTTTATTTCTATTCCCTCAAGACTTCATAAATCATCATACATTTCAATCACATCATGCATCTATATCCTATTACTACCCATTCTCTTAGCTACTCTATTGCAGCTGTTTACTGTTGATGGATATCGCATACATACCTACTCAAACACTATCATGATGTACCTCGTTTATTTCAGAAATTCACTACGAAGGTTGACTCCGCAGCGCAATTATCGCCGCGTGCTGGTATTATGAAGTGGTGCTTCTGGCACTTGCGCCGTTGCTGTCCGTGAGCAGAAGTCTGAATCGACTTTGAACGTTTGAACAAAGCGCTCAGGGGAACCTGTAAGCGTTGTTGTTGATGATGGCTCAAGCGCTCAAGTTTTTGAAGTTTTGAAGTCAACGATTATAAAACACAATTGCGACTCCGAATGGGGATGTGCACACAAGTGACAGCTTCCTATCTATCTCTAATGGAACCCACAGAGGATTATTCTTTCCCTCCAGCCTCTTTCAAGCCTCTTTTGACTGAGATTTCCGGGCTTCTAAGGTCGACTTCGTCGACGCTTGCAGTAGCAGAAACTACAGCAGGTGGTCTCGTGTCAGCTTCCCTGCTCTCCGTGTCTGGAGCCAGCAAGTTCTTTGTGGGAGGAGCGACAGTGTACACCACAAAGTCACGGAGGGTTTGGGCGGGTTGGACCGATGAGAACTTGGTGAACTACAAGTGTGTTTATCGCGATTGCTCATCACTGTCATCGGTTGCTGATAGATCGTCCTGCCTAGTGGACCTACACCGGAACTCGTCACAGAGCTCGCAGCGAACGTTAGGGAGCAGATGGATGTCACATACTGCGTTGGGGAGTCGGGTGCTACAGGTCCTACTGTCCCGGGACCGCCGTTTGTTCATATGTGGGGCTCACTATTCTTGATGTTGCTGATGACTCGACATTAACCCTTGCGACTTGCAGAGCGGGGCAAACATGTATTGCCGTCGTGTCTCGTGACGGTTTTGCGACTCGTGTCGTGGATACAGGTGTTGCAGATAGAGAGAAGAACATGATGGCTTTTGCGAAGGCAACCCTAGAGTTGCTCAAAGACGTTCTCGCAGGAGACGTTAAACTGGAGCAGCAGCGTCGGCCTGACTCGGAGGGTTCGGAGGCTGCCAGCCCGAGGTTTTGAGCATTTCAAGCTATAGTATAAGGTTTCTCCATTTCACATCTCATCGTCACCCACTGTCTTGGCTACTTTTATCGCGGCTGTTTACCATCGCATACACATTGCATGCATACCGTATTACCTACCTATGCTTCATATGTCGTTGACACGTGATGTGATCATGATCTACCTACACTCCAAACCGATCTAACCGACTCTTGTTCATCTCAAACTCCGACGTCAAATGAGTTGATCAGTGCGCAGAGCTCATCAGCCTCGATCTTTCGTGACGGTCACGGGCCCAACTTGAAGGCTACCCAATAGATCGGTACTAGCCGTCGTGAATACATCCCTTGCCGTTACCTCATGTAAATAACTACATGCACACTGAGTTCAGCGCTCGGCATCTGATTTGTTTCTATCATTTCAGTTCTGAATTTCAATGTGCAGTGCACATTGCGATTGAAACATATGTCGAGCAGCCTTGAAGAGATGTCGTCCCAGCCATCATCATCAGGATAAAGATGTGCTCATGGATGGTTTCCTTGGAGGTTCATCTCAAGTGGTCTTAGGCAAGTGATTACCACAACAGAATTGAAATCTGTTTCTCTTGGAATGTGCATGTTCAAAACCTGCTGATGACAAGGTTTTTTCGATTGGAACACCTTGACATTCACTCTTGAGTGGTTTCGTTTAAGGTTCATCTTAACTGGTTTTAGACATGCGGTCATCACAACAGAATCAAAATCTGTTTCTCTTGGACTGTGCAGGTTCGAAAGCTTCTGACAACGAGGTTTTTCTATCGGAACACGTCTTGGCAGTTACTTATGGATGGCTTCGTCAGAGGTGCATCTTAAGTGGTCTTAGACAAGTGGTTACTACACCAGAATCAAAATCTGGTTCTCATCACCTGCGCAGGTTTGAAACTTGCCGACAACAGGTTTTTTTTAATCAGAACAAGCCTTGATGATTCGCTCAGGGTTTCCTTACAGGTTCGTCTCAACTGGCTTTAGGCAAGCGGTCACCGCAACAGAATTGAAATCTGTTTATCTTGTCCTGCACAGGTTCGAAACCTGATGACGACAAGGTTTTTTGTTGTTGAGTATACCTTGACATTCAACCATGGATGGTTTCGTTGAAGGTGCATGTTAACTGGTCTTAGACAAGTGGTTACCACTACAGAGTTGAAATCTGTTTCTCTTGGACCGCGCAGGTTAGAAACTGGCTGAGCGACAGTTGGTTTTTAATCAGAATACGCCCTGAAAGTTCGCTTATGGATGGTTTCCTCCTAGCTTTATCTCAACTCCATCCTGGTGCAAGCGGTTACCACAACAGAATCTAAATCTGTCTCTTGAAATGTGTCAGTGCGGGTTCGAAACCTACCGACCACAGGATTTTTTCTTCTTCCGAACACGCCTTGAAGATACACTCATGGACAGTTCCTCGGAGTTGTATCTTAAGTGGTCTTAGCCAAGTGGTTTATGGAGTCAAAATCTGTTTCTCTTGGGCCGTGCAGGGTCGAAACCTGCCGACGACAAGGTTTTTTCTATCCGAACATACCTTGACATTCACTCATGGATGGTTTCATCGGATGCTCATCCTCACTAGTCTTAGCCAAGTGGTTACCACTGCAGAATCAAAATCTGTTTCTCTTGGCCCGCGCAGGTTAGAAACCTGCCGAACGAAAGGTTTTTTCCTATCCGAACAACATTCCTTGATGTTCACTCATGGATAATTTCCTTGGATGCTCATCTGAACTGGTCTTAGCTAAGTGGTTACTACAACAGAATCAAAACCTGTTTATCTTTGCCTGTGGAGGTTAGAAACCTGCCGAACGAAAGGTTCTTTTTCTATCGGAACAAACATTGACATTCATTCATGGATGGTTTCCTTGGATGCTCATGTTAATTGGTCTTAGCCAAGTGGTTATCACAACGGAATCAAAATCTGTTTCTCTGTGTCTGCGCAGGTCCGAAACCTGCCGAATGACAGGTGTATCTTCTATTTGAACACGTCATTCGGATGGTTTCCTCGGAGGTTTATCTAACTTATCTTAGCCAAGTGGTTGCCACAACAGAGTCAAAATCTGTTTCTCTTGGAGTGAGTTCGTAAACTACTGACAACATTTTGCGGTGTAGAGATCCTGAGTACAATCTGTGTTCAGACTCCTCAGACTCCATGGGGACTACCTACTTCTTTTATTTTCACCGCTTTGGAATCTCCAACCGCAGGTCCCTGTTGGCTCGCCGCGCAACAAAAGAAGTCAGTTCCTTTGCCCCCTTCTCGGAGGGACATATTATGACCTGTCACAGTCAAAGATTTTCTGCTCGTCAGGTATGCTCGTTCCAGAATTTCTGGATGGCGCTAGATTTGCGCCCAAATACCCAAACGCATCCTAGAAGCTTGGACATCGTGACATTACACACCGACCTTTCGAGGAAACTGTCCCCTGCTACAAACCGTATAAAGCTCGACGCTCACCTTCATCAAACCAGTTCTCAATCGCACTTACTTCAAGTCACAGACTCTCAGCTCGTCTCATCACGTCTAGCAATCTGATATTTCAGTTTCCGGCATTTACAAGACCTGTAACGTCAATTTCAAGACTAATCAGGTGTTTGACTTGCAAGGCGGAGGTGTCAAAGACGGCACTTCTATCATCGGTCGAAGTAACGTAAAGTTCAAGACCAACGAGATAAATGTTCGCTGGTGTTGATTCTGTGACTCGCAAGGCGTAGGCTTGCAAACCAACACGACAGATGTTGCAAGTGCCGAGCGATGACCGGAACGTTTGCGCAAGCGGGTGACTTTCTGAATAACGTAAGTAACGCAGGTTCGCGTCGAAGAATTCTTTTAATTCATCGTATCTTCGAATATGTCAGGGCGAAGGTCGTCGGCAGCTCCACCATCGCATATTGCTTTCTTCGACCGCCATCCTTGGACAATACGATCGGACAGAAACCTGCATCATATTGTTGTACATCACTGGTGTACGTGCAGGATCCAAACCATTGATGAGACGTTCGCTTGTTCTCTTTCCGAGAGCGTTGATTTCACTCGTGTACGCGCTCGTCACGTGAGAGAGAATAACTCACGCTTCGCATTTACATGTCGAGCTTCAGGTCACCGATAAGGCGGACGCTAAGCCCCGTCTAAGTGTAGCTATGAGACAATGGTTCGGGTTGGTAATCGAATGGCGTATTCAGTGCTCCGTTTTTTTTCTATCGGAACACGTCTTGAAGATTCACTCATGCCAGTGGATGGTTTCCTCGGAGGTCCATCTTAACTGGTTTAGCCAGGTGGTTACCACAATAGAATCGAAATCTGTCGAACCTGTTCGTGACAAGTTTTTTTTCCCTTTCGGAACACGCCTTGAAGATGTATTCATGGACAGTTCCTCGGAGGTCCATCTTCAGTGGTCTTATCCAAGTAGTTATCAAAGTCAAAATTTGCTCCTCTTGGACCGCGCAGGGTCGAAACATGCCGACGACAAGATTTTTTTGTATCGGAACACACTTGACATTCACTGATAGATGGTTTCCTCGGTTGCTCACCTTACCTAGGGCTTAGCCAAAGCATTATCACAACGGCATCAAAATCTGTTTCTCTTGGATCGCGCAGTTTCGAAATCTGCAGAACGACAAGATTTGTTTTCTATCAGAACACACCTCATGACATTCACTCATGGACAGGGATTATCGGAAATCCATCTAACTGGTCTTCGCCAAGCGGTCACCACAACAGAATCAAAATCTGTCTCTCTTGGAGCTGGTTCGAAACCTGCTGACAACATTTTTGCGGTGCATAAATCCTCGGAGGTCCACCTAAACTAGCAGTCGTTGCACCGAAACCTCCTTTTTGTGTGATAGTCTGTCCATGAAAAGGAATTCACCTTCACGCCTCGTCTCAGAAACACAAGACATATCCCCGAGATGTATATGTGCAAACATAGATTCTCGACAGACCAGTGACCAAACCTGTCGGGATTCACTACCAAGCGAAAATTGACGTTAATAGGGCTGGAGGCCAGATGCACGTAAGCTAAGGACAGCGAGTCTGACAGTCAGGAAAATGATGTAATCTCCCCACCCTCACTGAAGCATCATCGTTGGACACCCCCCTCGGTCGTTGGGTCTTTCAATATGACCGAGGATGACTTAAAAACTGAAGGTGGAAGGATTGAATGTGGCAGGCTGAGCCACATCGTTCTGTGCAGAAATGGATATCGCGGCATTGCCGCGTTAAATTTGATAAGTGTCTCTGCAGTGCAGTGATTAGCTATCTATACCACTTGTGATCTTGCCGTGAGATTGGGACGGGTGGTATGTGTATGCATTATTATCTATGCTATATATAGTGTCAGCTTCACACTGTTAACTCTGAATACATAAACTGCAAGGATTGATCGATGATCGAGGGCGTCAGCTGAGAATCTTTACCCGTCACAGCGATGGAACCTGCAGAGGAACTTTGCGTTTGCTATCGTGGAGCGGCCTTAGTAGTGGCAACGAGAACGAAAGGAAATATTTGCTTTATTGAAGCAGATAGTTTTTCGGGTGGAAGCCCTGATGGCGGCCCCAACCTGTGCGAGAGAGAGCCGAGGTGAGCTGCAAGGGCGGGTGGGCATCCTCGCAGCCTCAAACCCAGCAGGTCTAGGTACCAGCCACCCGGGCCCCTGGAAGAGGGTGTGGTACTAGTATGTAGTCGAAGCTGACTGCCTTTAGGTACCAGTAGCAATGTAAGCTGCAAGGATAAGGGAGTAGTGGGTGGGGAAAAGAAAAGCAGAAGGCAGCAGGCAGGTTTGAGCCTGCTGGAGCGTGGCGCGAGCACTGCGTGGTGTGGAGACAAGAGAGGCCACGTGCTGAACTGCCGCTGCCGCAAAGTCCTAATTCTAACCCTACACTCGTACCTCGCTTCGGGGTAGAATATCAATTATTCTTTCCCTCCAGCCTCTTTCAAGCCTCTTTTAAACGAGATTTCCAAACTTTCAAGGTCAACTTCATCAGTGCTTGCGGTGCAGAAACTACAACAGCTGGTCTCGTGTCGGCTTCCCTACCGTACTCCGTGTCTGGAGGAAGTAAGTGCTTTGTCGGAGGAGCGACAGCGTACACTACAAAGTCATGGAGGGTTTGGGGGGGCTGGACTGACGAGAACGTGGTGAGCTACCAGTATGTTTATCGCGCTGGCTTATCATTGTCATGGGCTGCTAATAGTTTTGCCCAGTGGACCCACACCGGAACTCGTCACAGAGCTCGCAACGAATGTCAGGGAGCGGATGGATGTGGCATACTGTATCGGGGAGTGGGGTGCTGCAGGTCCTACCGTCTTGGGACTGCCGATTGTCCATATGTGAGCTGCACTACACATTCCCGTACTCGCTGATAACTCGACGTCAACTCCTATGACTTATAGAGTAGGACAAACATAGATTGCCGTCGTTTCTCGTGAAGGTTTTGTGACTCATGTGGTAAGCACAGGTGTCGCAGATAGAGAGAAGAACATGATGGCTTTTACGAAGGCAACCTTGGTGCTGTTCAGGGACGTTCTTGCGGGTGACGTTAAACTGGAGCAGCGGCCTCGGCCAAAGGGTTCGGAACCTGCCAAACTTGAGCCTTTCATATCACTAAGGTGATCGTATATCCCCTGAGCACACAATGTCATACAATAGTGCTTACATCACTGCCTCTTTATCTTGATCATTGCCTCAGTCTCCTCTGCACTCAGTATACGTCCTTGCAACTCTTTCTCCACCTCCAACCCGAGTTCTTTCACACGTTCACGGTCTAATCCAATTAGTGCAACGTGTGCCCCTGGCTGAAGGAGCGGGTAAGAGCCTATCCGGATATTCTCAGGCTTAACGCGCTTCTGTAGAGCTGTAAGGAATGGCGCAATGGACGATTCCGGAAGTCTTCAAGCATCATCAGGAGCTTGATCCACTAGCGGAGCAGAAATAATGTCAATGACTTACGGAGTAAAGACTTGAAGCCGGAAGGGACGTGCATCTTCCGTGGGTAGAGGCAAGAAAGGCTTCAAGTTGTCTAGCAGCTTCTGGAAAAGTGATGGGATTCCTGGAAATATGCATAGCTTGCCTTCCAGTCGAACAACAGGCTGAAAATGTTCTTAGTGCACAATACCACGCGAAGGGGAGAGAATGCGCACAACCCAGATGTCGCTAGCGACAAAAAGAACCTCGCCAGCTTCCGGAAACAATGCCATACGTTTACGAGCGGTGCGTTGCTCCTCGCTCTGCTGCGTGAACCATGTGCGGTGTCGGCTGGCTTCTTCCATACGCGCGATGGTTTCATCATGGTATTTGAGCTCTTGTCCGAAAGACTTTGCGAGCGAGGCGTATGTGATATCTCGAAATGGAGGCATTAGACCTCCAACTGTCACAACAGGGGTTGGTGTACTATACCATCGTGAGTGGGCCCTATACCACCAGAGGTGATGACGAAATCATATTTCTGAACCATCCTTCGGCTAGCCTCAAGACTAGAAACCCATGTTATCTTTTCTAATGACAACAAGGACGAACTTACTTACATCTCGAGCTCGTCGTCTGCAATTACCTCGATTCTCTGGCTGCATTGTCGCACAAAGAATAAGCAGGGATATAAAAAAAATGCTAAAGAAAACCTCACAGCTCAATACCATTCTCAAAACAGAAGCGCGCAAAGTAGTTCGAGTTACGGTCCAACGTGTTTCCATTCAATATTTCATCTCTACAGTGTCGCCATGATTTTAATTGTGTGCTTTTCCACAGAAAATGGGACATACCCAATGATGAGAGCAGCAGCAGTCTTGATGTACCGTCCCTCTCCAAGTGGATTCTTCGGAATTGGGGAATTGGGGAAATTCAGGACCGGAGCTGGAGGCTTTGGTGAATTATGTTCAGCTTGAGAAGCTCCCATAACTGATGGGGGTGGCACTGGTAGTGATGAAGACATGGCCCGCGCCGATAAATAAAGTGTCAAAGAATCGACTAATGACCGACGACAGTTAAACAATGTCGAAGAATGACTCAGGGTGAGAGTTGAGCGCAGTAAGGTTGGAAGTCACATGTGAGATTCAGTGAGAAATGGCTGGACGATAATCAGATTGCTCCCTGCTAATTTTAAGTAGGAGACGCTCAAGATAGAGGTCGGAGTGCCGATCCGCTGGGCGAACTTTGTTTTGTGAGTTGTAAGTCTCCTATAGGTAGAAGGAAGACCAATATTGAGTTGCAATTACAACACACCTGATTGGACTTGGATCTGTACGAAGTTTGAAGCTCGCAAAAGCGAAGCACGACATTCATAAAGGTGTAACTGACATCCATCCATGCAAATTCCACTGTCGCTGGATACGCAAGAATCGGCTCAACTGTGCAGAGGATCCCCTTCATATTTTCTTTCTATGATCATGGCAGATGGGGGTTGCCGGTTGCCAGACGCCGCACCCAAACTGCAATACACATGACGTAAAGTTCGCACGATATTTTGGAAATTTTGGTGGCAGCCATTCAAGCCGAACGTACGGTCTTGCGCGTCACTGCCGTCTGTTCATTCCTCCACCATGGCCACTACCTCGTCAACCTCCTACTTCGAGAGAATACAAAACTTCGTGGCCGACAATAAAAAGGCAGTCGTTATAGGAGCAGCTGCTACCGCGCTCGCTGTTGGAGGTGTCGCCTACTATGCTTCAACCTCACGCGGTCCAGGCAGTGACTCGGAGAAGGGCAAGACGAGAGACAAAAAGAAGTCTTCGAAGAAGAGGAAGACTGTCAATGATGCAGATGGGCCCATACTTGAAGAGATAAAGCCTAAGGTTGCCGACGAGGGTCAGTATCACTGCAATTTGGAGGCTCCCGCTCACTACCAAATAGAGGATGTGCTATCAGCGGAAGAGATCGCCGGGATGTCAGCGGAGGTCAGTACCTTCGAGACGGAGTTATTCATTCACTTCAACATAAGAGTCCCACAGGAGCGCACAAAACTGGCAGGCACGCTCAAGACCCGGGGTAACACGCTCTACCAGAACCGAAAGTTCCAGCAGGCAGTAGACATGTATACACGGGCAATTCAGGTGGCAACAAAATCAGAGCCCGTGTACTACAGCAACCGTGCGGCATGTGCGTTCTTCCCGTCAATATCATCATCATGCATGTCTAACTTGTTTATCAGGTTACATGAACATGACACCCCCTAAGTATGAGTTGGCGGTCCAGGACTGTGATGAGGCACTACGTGCTGATGACAGCTATGTAAAAGCGCTGAACAGGCGTGGCAACGCACTTGAAGCCTTGTCTAGAGATGAGGAAGCTCTACGGGATTTCACTGCTGCCACTATCTTGGATAAATTCCAAAATGAGTTGGCTGCACAGGCTGTGGAACGCGTCCTGAAGAAGATTGCGACAGCGAAAGCTGCCATTATCCTTACGGTGAGTATGACAAATGAGGGAACCACTGTCACATTACTCATGGGCCTTAGACACGCGAACCTCGACTTCCCTCATTCACGTTTGTTTCAGCTTACTTTGGAGCATTCCGTGTCCGTATGTGGATTCACTTTCGTCATTTTCATCTCCAAAAGCTAATCTTGTACAGGTCCCCTACCCATACTCCCGGAGAACCCATCAACTGGCGATAACACTCTTATACTCGCATTACAAGCTTTAGAAGCTGCCGACTATGCGCACGCGGTCTCGCTCGTCAACGAGGCAATGGAGCAGGGTATTTCATGGGAAATAGGCAAAGCTGAAGCTCTCAACCTTCGCGGCACTTTCAAGTTAGTCATTCCTTACTCCCCTGAAATTGCCGACTAAGTTCTGTATAGGTTCCTTATGGGTGACGTGTCTGGCGCTAAGGATGACCTGTATGAATCTGTCAAGATCCTTCCCTCCTCGACACAAAGCTGGGTGAAGATTGCGAGCGTGCACATGGAACGAGGCGAGGGTGCGAAGGCCTTTGAGTGCTTTGAGGAAGCGATCAAGCACAACCCCCAGGACCCTGACATTTATTACCACCGTGGACAAGGTGAGCAATTTGTTTCCTGTATGGCCGACCGTCGCTCATGGATTTGCAGTTCTTTTCATTACCCACGAATTCAAGGAGGCCGCAGACAACTACGCCAAGTCCAGCGAGCTCGATGACACATTTGTATTCTCGCATATCCAGCTTGCCGTCGCCCTGTACAAGATGGGTGAACTTGCGCGGAGCATGGCGACTTTCCGGCGGACGATGACCAATTTCCCTCAACGGAGTGAGCCTCAGAACTACTAGTGAGTAGCTGCACTCGATGGTAGCTTTAATCTAATAACTCGGCAGTGGCGAGCTGTTGTTGGATCAACAGCGTTTCATGGAGGCCGTTGACAAGTTTGATCGCGCTGTGGAACTCGAGCGTGCTAAGTATGAATTTTCTCTTTTTCTTCAATACATCGACTCACTTCCACTCAACCAGACCTCCCCCGATGAACGTTCTCCCTCTTGTTAACAAGGGCCTTGCTATCTACCAATGGAAACAAGACATCACTGCTGCAGAACAGTGTTGTGATGAAGCCTTGCGAATTGATCCTGAGTGCGAGCCTGCAGTTGCCACGCTTGCCCAACTGTTGCTGCAGCAGAGCAAGATTGACCGCGCTGTTGAGATGTTCAAGAGGCAAGCGGAATTGGCGCGCAGTGAACCTGAGCTGATCAATGCCCTTACGTACCAATATGTGAGTCGATGCGAGGGCATTGGCTAATTCTGATCTAACGAGGTGGTTCACAGGCAAGCACGGCACAGTTGGAGTTCACACGCAATTACCCCGCCATGGCAGAGCAATTGGCACAGATTGCAAGGTCGATGGCGATGTGAAAGTGGATGTTTACTTTTACCTCCTCTCCCCGTTTGCCGCTGTCCATATTTTTTTACAGAAATCGGACACGCGGGAGAAAGGGGTCGGCGGAGTTCATCTTGGACATCGAAGGACTACTTAGACTGCTCAAGTTATCGGTTTTTAATGCTTAACACATCATCTTTCTCCGTATTTTCTGACGCATTTCCAATACCACGCTCACTCCACTCGTTTCTTCTACTGATTTGAAAATTTGGCGCGATTTAACAAAACATCTGGGCGATGAGCTTGTACATAACAGGCACTACAAGTAATTCATGGATACATGAGACACCGCTTCCGGGAGATATGCCTCGACAAACTACGGAGCACTGAATACGCCATTCGATTACCAACCCGAACCATTGTCTCATAGCTACACTTAGACGGGGCTTAGCGTCCACCTTATCAGTGACCTGAAGCCAAGCCCCTTGGATCCAGTCCTCCTTGAGCACGGTCTTAATACATTGCAAAGAAATGGTGTGAACTTCTTGCAACACAGCCAGACATCTCAAGTGTTCAATCCTCCTCTCAGTAGCACTCTCAAACTTCAATTTATTTTGCTTGCATACAAACTTCTCTTTAATTATATAGTACATCAAAGTCTTAATCAAGTGCCATACTTTAGCAGGCCTGCAATCCTTGCAGGTTCACTATTTACCTATGACTATGAATGTCAGCTCCGGTTTGAAACCTCTCATGCCAGTCGCCAATCCAATGTTCGAGGCCGAGCTAACGGGCGAAACGCCAAGGCGATGTACGACCCAGCAAGAATGCTAAATGGCAAACTAGAAGAGGTGAAGAGAGGACGATAAGAAAGAAGCACCAAGATGGAGAAACGGTACACCTGCCACCAGAGATCTCGGTGAGTGTAAAGCACGACAGACTCCAACACAAACATTAAACTCACCAGCATCAATCCAAAAGAGTGTAAAATGTTCGAGGGCGAGGTAACGAGTGAAACGCCAAGGTGATGTACAGCCCAGCAGGAACACTAAGCACCGAAGACATGCCTTCATCAATATCTGCGCCAGTGCTCACCCGCGCTACCCGACTCTCTTCCGGCCCTGCCAAGTCTTGGACGGACGCCGATCGTGCTGATCGTCGGTGGTCCAGGTCCAGGTGGAGCGCGATTGGAAAATGAGCCCAAGGAGAGGAAGGCGGCGCTGTGGCTGAGTCGTCACGTGCCACGTTTGCAGTCTTAAGCGAGACTCAGACTGCAAACCTCACCGTCAATCCTTCACACGAAGAAGGACCGATCATGACATGAGCCTGCGCCTTGCGACTCGTTCGGGAATGAAATACTCGAGTAGCCCCACTCAATTCTATGTTATTTCGTCCATTTTATTTTTTTTCGCGAACGAGTATATATTGCTGTGTGAACAAGCAGGTGAACAAAAAATAAAATTTAGATAAAATGATATATTAGACTGCCAGCTGCGTGTGTTGTTCAACATCCGTGATCGCGGAATTTCAACAATGTGAGCGCGGGGATGCTTTTCTATTCGAGAACAGCGACCGGGCAATAACCAGACATGGAGATAGCGGAGTGCCATCGAGACCGCTGCACGGAAGCATCGATATTGCGACGGTGTAGTTCAAGACAAGGGCGGCATCAGTCACGGTGAACCGGTGAGTTCTTGCTGGCGATTATGCTGATTGCGGTGCGCTTACATGGTCATATATTGCTTTATATTCCAATGTGACGAAATCCTTTCCGATATTGCGATGGTGTAGTCCAAGACAAGGGTGCATCAGTGAATTGGTGAGTTCTTGCTGGCGATCATGCTGATTGCGGTGCATTTACATGGTCATATATTGCAATCAGGAGTTTTACGCCTATTATTGATCTCGATTCTTGTAACCATCCTTCTTGTAGTTGCCGAAACCCTGCTGGCAGCTGAACGGAATAATGTTTGTTTTCTAGGGCACGCGTGCCATCACGGGCACACTTCGGGATGTTGCCTTCGCGACCAGCTATCAGTATAACTCTGGAAGTTAGCCTCATCCTTTCAGTGTCATCAGTAAAAACAATATAAATTCAACGCGGTTGAGTTGCAAAAACCTCAGAGACGAATACCTCATTTGCGGTGAGTGGTCCTCTTGCGCTACATTATGCACTCATCACTGAATCAACACATAGCTCTTCTAGGACTTGCCATAGCTGCAACTTTGCGTACATCACATTGCCTAATATTCACGGCTGTCACTGAAGTATAGTCATACCAGGTACCATGAAGCCTATTCAGTTTGTCTACTTGGCCATCCTTGCCGCTGTCACTGGGGTGAAGGCAGCTCCCCCCGAAAACTGTTTGGACTCATGCTGGGCTTACCAACCCCCCGCTGATATGTGCGGGCAAGAGATGATGGTTCCGTTCCAATACGGCAACTGCTGGACGTGCTGTACTACTGAAGATTAGCTACCGAGTTTTACCGATGACATGTTGCATCTATGCATCTATGCAAGTGTGGAGTTAATGGGTTATGAAAAACTACCTAGGAGGTTGCGCAAAATCATTCTCCACTAGAATTTAATCAATTAGAATTGGGATCATATCACCAATGAGAGGCACCGACTGTAAGTGAAACCACAGTAAATGTTCGTTCTAGCATTAAACAAGTCGTACCTGTTTGTCAGCTAAGGTGCGTCCTGATATTTCATGTTCGTTTCACAGGTTAAGTGCTGTGTAGGCAAGTTGCGAGTCACAGAATCGACACCAGCGAGCATTTATCTCGTTGGTCTTGAACTTCACGTTGACTCGACCGGTGATAGGAGTGCCGTCTTTGACACCTCCGTCTTGCAAATCAAACACCTGATTAGTCTTGAAATTGACGTTACAGGTCTTGTAAGTGCCGGAAAATGAGATATCAGAATGCTAGACATGATGAGACGAGCTGAGAGTCTGTGACTTGGAGCAAATACGATTGAGAACTGGCTTGATGAAGGCGAGCGTCGAGCTTTATATGGTTTGTAGCAGGGGACAATTGCCTTGAAAGGTCATTGTGTAATATCACAATGTCCAAGCTTCTAGGATGCGTTTGGGTATTTGGGCGCAAATCTAGCGCCATCCAGAAATTCTGGCACGAGCATACCTGACGAGCAGAAAATCTTTGACTGTGACAGGTCATAATATGTCCCTCCGAGAAGGGGGCAAAGGAACTGACTTCTTTTGTTGCGCGGCGAGCCAACAGAGACTCGCGATTGGAGATTGCAAAGCAGTGAAAATGAAAGAAGTAGTCCCGACTCCCCATGAAGTCTGAGGAGTCTGAACGCAGATCATACTCAGGATCTCTACACCGCAAAATGTTGTCAGTAGGTTACGAACTCACTCCAAGAGAAACAGATTTTGACTCTGTTGTGGCAACCACTTGGCTAAGATAAGTTAGATGGACCTCCGAGGAAACCATCCGAATGACATGTTCAAATAGAAGATACACCTGTCATTCGGCAGGTTTCGGACCTACGCAGACACAGAGAAATAGATTTTGATTCCGTTGTGATAACCACTTGGCTAAGACCAATTAACGTGAGCATCCAAGGAAACCATCCATGAATGAATGTCAATGTTTGTTCCGATAGAAAAAGAACCTTTCATTCGGCAGGTTTCTAACCCTCACAGGCAAAGAGAAACAGGTTTTGATTCTGTTGTAGCAACCACTTGGCTAAGACCAGTTCAGATGAGCATCCAAGGAAACCATCCATGAGTGAACGTCAAGGAATGTTGTTCGGATAGAAAAAAACCTTTCGTTCGGCAGGTTTCTGGCCTGCGCGGGCCACGAGAAACAGATTTTGATTCTGCAGTGGTAACCGGTAACCACTTGGCTAAGACTAGTTAGGATGAGCATCCGATGAAACCATCCATGAGTGAATGCCAAGGTATGTTCGGATAAAAAAAAAGTTGTCGGGAGGTTTTGACCCTGCACGGCCCAAGGGAAACAGATTTTGACTCCATAAACCACTTGGTTAAGACCAGTTAAGATACACCTCCGAGGAACTGTCCATGAATGTATCTTCAAGGCGTGTTCCGAAAGAGAAAAAATCTTGTCGGCAGGTTTCGAACCTGCACTAGCACAGTTCAAGAAACAGATTTAGATTGTGTTGTGGTAACCACTTGCGTCAGGATGGAGTTGAGATAAAGCTATCAAGATATGACCTTTATACGTACTTAACCTTTTCCTTTTTACATACACAATCACTCCTCCTGCCATGCGTCATACACGTTCCTTGTTGATTCTCCGTCTCAATCAACGTATTAATTCCTTCCCTCGTCGAATAATCTCCCTCAGTCTTTCGATCCAAGACTGAGGTGAGCTTTCTCGTTTACGGTTCTACTCTACCCTTTACTAACTACTACTCTACTCAGTCCGTTCCCGTCCTTAGGTATGATCCATAGTTAATACTGAGTCTTTCGATCCAAGACTGAGTCCGTTCCCGTCCTTAGTTCCTCGTCCGAGTCTCGTCACCTTTCACAAAAGCTAGGAGGAAACCATCCATAAGCGAATTTTCAAGGCGTGTTCTGATAAAAAACTTGCCGTTGACAGGTTTCTAACCTGCGCAGTCCAAGGGAAACAGATTTCAATTCTGTAGTGGTAACCACTTGTCTAAGACCAGTTAACATGCACCTTCAACGAAACTATCCATGAGTCAATGTCGAGGTGTGTTCCAATAGCAAAAAACCTTGTCGTCAGCAGGTTTCGAACATCTGCACGCCGAGATAAACAGATTTCAATTCTATTGCGGTGACAACTTGCCTAAGACGAGTCAAGATGAACCTCCAAGGAAACCGTCCATGAGCGAATCTTCAAGGCGCGCTCTGATACAAAAACCTGTGATCGGCAAGTTTCAAGCCCGCGCAGTCGAAGAGAAACAGATTTTGATTCTGTTGTGGTAACCACTTGTCTAAGACCAGTTAAGATGAACCTCCGACGAAACCATCCACGAGCGAATGTCAAGGGGTATTCAACAGAAAAAACCTTGCCATCGACAGGTTTCGAACCTGCACAGTCCAAGAGAAACAGATTTCGATTCTGTTGTGGTAACTACTTCGGCCAGAACTGTTTTTGATGAGAACTATCCATGAGTAGAGGGGAAATCATTTATAGGCAGGTTTCGAGTCCGCATCACCCAAGAGAGCAAAGATCTAATCTGTTGTGGTGCCAGTTGGATATGACCACTGAAAGATCCATCCATGAGTGCATGTTCAAGGCGTGGTAGAAGGAAAAAGATTGTCGAGCAGGTTCGCTTTCGAACCTGCAACATATATCTGTCCTGTCACGCTTACCACTTGGCTAAGACTGGTGAAGATGGACGTCTACGAGTCGAAGGATATCATACATTGACAGTAGAGTCACATAGGATTAGCAGTCATTTGCCAACGCAAAATGAAATAAAAAGACTGGTTTGCATTTAATTCGGTGGACACAAACGTGCCAGGAATAAGCGAGTCGGGGGCTGGCACCGGCACCGTTATTATTGAGAGTTCATTCCATACAGATAGGCAAGCACTCGACAGGACACCTACCCAAGATGTTCTGCAGATATATCAAGCACGCGACCGCGATAGGGAGAAGAAATTCGTTTGGCGTGTCATAGAAGTGCGATGATTAGGTGGAATGCTGACGATGATGCAGAATGAAACCCCAGCCCCAGTGCGGGGTTGCAGCTGTAATTATATGAGTTGCAAGGTGGGATGTCTTCTAAGCATGCCTGCATCAGCCGCCCGCTGAATTTGAATCTAAGACTAAAGGAACAGTTGGATCCCAATCACTATACTGGGGCCTGAGAGCGTTGTCATTAGCGTAAACATTGGCAAAATGACCACTAACGTATGGCACAGAGTGTTGAAGAATCGACTGTAAGACAATCACGCTCAACTAGAGCTCTGACGATGAATCCGCTTGTCCCACCGTTCAATTAAGCAGTAGCTGGGTTCTTGAATCTCTCGTCAGATAACTTGATATGATACGACCAGTGCTTGATCTCGAAATTTTGTCCGATGACAAGGCGCTGTACAATGTTACTTCCCGAAGCAGTTCGAGGGGCACCACAGCGTTCTTCGAGATTAAAATGCGTGATATATTTATGAATGATCGTCAGAATAACCACGAGCGATGCCACTACGACCTTGCTCCAGGACAGACGGACAATCTTCCCCGATTTTAGTCTCCAGTCCTTGATAGGAGCGGGAATGAAGATACAATGCTGCGCCACACATCACACAAAGAACATCATACGGCAGCTGATCACTCACCTGCCGCACTGTCAGCTAATTTCGAGAGAGCACCATCTTGGTTTCGAAGAGTAAGAGAAGCTGACGTTCCCTCGGTTGACGTCTCATTGTCTTCACCTTTGGGATGTAAGATAAGATTAAGTATGTCGAGATTGTACTTACTCCCGTAGCGTTTTGCTTGTCGGTATTTTCCAGTGACCAAGGAGAAAGTCGGTTGATCTGGATCGCCCCCATTATCTTCAGGAGCGACACCTAGATTCCGTATTATAAAGAGTCGAACTGCAACACTGTTGGAAGCGTACCAAAATCATTTTTAGAGTCTCCGGCGAGTAATTTCTCAAAATCTAGCACATATCGTCCGCTCCAGGTGCCTTCAGCTTGAAGTGCAACCTCGAGTTCAAAGGGGGTAACGATCGGTCTTAAAAATTCCTGTACGTTGCAGAGAGTGAGCAATTCGTTGACTTCAACGAAGCAGACCAACCTTGGCATCTATTACACTATTTTCAGGACACGCGATCAAAATAAAACACTCGATCTCCATGAAATTCGCAAGCTTTGCAGGATTCAGCTTGCCGACACTAATCGTATAGCGTTTCTTCTGTGCGCGAGTGAGAAGCTTTCTGACGTGGACTATGAGGGGTAGATATGATGCTAGTGATGTGTGTTAGTGATCACAAAGACAACGAGAAACAAAAGCACTGACTAACTCCTAGAGTGCCAACGAGGATACCAAAAACATCTGCATCTCGTGCCCTCTGGACCATCGCGAAGCGCCGCATTAACAACTTATTGGTCCTATGTGATTGCAAGCGAACGGATCTCGTAGATGGGTCGTATGCATACACCTAAAAAAAACTCGTAAGACGCCAATATTAGATGACAATCATGGTGGTTTACCTCGCAATGAGAGTGCGTCATCAATAGATTTGCAAGGCTGAGGCTTTCGCCACCAATATATGCGATGATGACATTGGTCAAGTTATCTTCATCGGATTCTGCACTAGTCTGCTCGAAAGTCTGGGGACTTTGCACGGCGGTCTTAGGATGGAGCCTAGTTGGGAGGGGGTCGTGCAAGACCCTAGTATTCAGGGACTGCAGTTCACTCTCCAACCTATGTGCAATTACGTCTGCGTTACTGGTAAGTTTACGTTGCATAGCAACATCTCAAGAAGAAACTTGAATCACCTCCATGGCAGGAATATCCTACATCGTAACGGAGTAAAATGGTATGTCGATTATTGCTATTACTGGTTGTATCTTGCTGTAATCGAGTGGTTAAACATTGACCGAGTTGGTTGATACAGTCGTCAACATCAATAGGCTTCTTTCCAAAGACGTAGACTACGGGCAGCCTAGAAGGTCTATAGGAGAACGTCACATTGTATTCAATTGGGGGTAGATCTCGGGTACGCACTGGCTTAAACAAGCGTGACCGTAATGCACGATTAGATCTGCATCGACGTGTTGTGCCGCAACCTCGTCAACACAGCAGCTAGAGTTCGAATCTGGTCAAAAGGTGCCTTCTACACTGAATAGTGACTAACCTTCCGTAGGAAGTGTCGGCTAAGACATAGATGTCATGACCCTCGCCTGCTTTACTTTTGAGTAGACGGTAGATTGGGACAGAATGGCACAAGAGTTCATCAGGAAACTGGAGAGCTATCTATGCTAGTATGATCTATGATCAGCCTGAGCAAAGCAAGATCGACCGATCTCACTCGTTTGAAGTTCCCTTCTACAATCGCGGCTACTGTTCGTTCGATCTCATAAATTTCGAGGAAGTTGGACGGAACTATGTTTTGCGTAGATGAGTCTATATTCAACTCTATGGTGCGGGTAATCGCATCCTCTCCTGAGGCTGAAAAAGTAGAGACAGCGGGAACGTCTGTCATTTCTGTCTGTGTAGGTCCAGTGTGTTTAGCATCAAAGAATCAGAAGCAAGGGACAACTCTGGCGGCGTGGCGGGACTTGCCGAGATTCGGACTCACAGTTACAAACCTTGTCTCAGTTGTTTCCCAGTGCCAGCACTTGCATGATCAAATGGTACAAAAACCACAGTAGTATCCTTTCAAGTATCCTTGATGTCCGTCGTGCAGCCTCATAGAGTGCTGTTTATTCCGGAATTGTTGGGAATCATCCTCAGCTTTGTGGACGAAATTGACCATGTGAACAATGTGTGCGTTTGCAAGCAATGGTCAGAGATTGCCCTGGACATCATTTGGAAAGAGGTAGATGATCTTTCCCGACTTCTTGCTCTCTTGAGACCATACAAGATAAGGGGACGGTACAATGTACGTCATCCTGTCTCCTTTGCCGTTGTCCTGTTGATTTTGTTTTCGGTTCGATATGTTCTAGTTCTTCGATGGACTACCGGACTCAAGGGACTGGGCGAGATTCCAGAAATATGCCAACCGTGTGCGCATTCTGCGATTCCAGCAGGACAGTGACGTGCACTATACAGGTTTGCTCGATGATATGGCCAGGACGAGGACAACACTCGATATGCTCCCGAACCTGCATACTCTGGAGTGGATCTATGAAGATGTTGATTGCATGGAACGAGCCACACTATTCATGCATCCGCGCCTGAAGCACCTCGTTATATCGGCGCCTCCTCTCCGCTACAAAGATAAAGTTTCATTTTTTCTCGACGTCTGCGTCCGCGCGCCGCACCTCCACTCACTTGATCTCCGCGTCCCCTATCGCGTGCAATACATTGAGACAGCCATCCTGGAACTTCTTCGAGGCCTTCCGGATCTGAAAAAGGTCATTTTCCCCGAATTTTTCCTCACGTCGAGCATCGTTTCTGAGCTTTCGCGGATGAAACACGTCAACATCGTGCAATTCGAGTATGGGCACGAGCAAGGATATGGCGAAGAAAAGGACGTGGACACCTTTTCGCCTGTCCTTGAGCAAGGAGCATTTCCCGCGTTGTGGGACCTAGCCTTTACTGCTCGCATTGAACATGTCATGCGATTCATGAATGCGGATTTTGCGCCCATCAATCTCACATCCCTATACATCAATACCTATGTTGAACATAAACCCGAGGAATTGCACATGCTATTCGTCATGCTCTCAGAACGATGCTGCCGTCTCTCCGAATTGTACGTCTTACTAGCGCACCACATCACTGGAGAATTGGAGCTAGTCCCCGCAAACCAAATCACGTTCAATACACTTACACCGCTACTTTCGTTCCCGAATCTCGTTACATTTCAGGTCATGCACAAATACCCGATCAACATTACTCTGGAGGAGATCGAGGAACTTGCATGCCGGTGGCCGTCCCTCGAGAGTCTAACTCTGAATGAGGAACCACTTGTCATGCACGAATTTACACTTGACTTGCGAGCACTCGTCCCCTTTGCCCGCCACTGCCCAAAGCTACGCCGGCTAGGTCTTTTCATTGACGCCAACCCTGTAAATATCCCTCCTACGCTAGAATTGAAGCCTTTTGCAGCCCTTTGTTTCTTGTCTGTAGGAACGTCGCGAGCACGCGACCCGGAAGCCGTTGCTGCGTTCCTGAGCCATCTGTGTCCACCCAATTGCAAACTTGAAGTTGGCGTAACCTGGATATCGTTTGGCATCCGTTCGTGTCGTTTACTCGATGATGACGTGCGGGTGGAGATAACAAGACGTTTTCATCCTTGGAAGAGCGTTAGGGATATCTTGCCTGTCCTTATTCAGCTCCGGAATGAGGAAAGGGAGAAATCGAGGGCTCTGCAAGAGGAAGTTGAGGACCTGAGGATGAGGACTCGCTTGTTGATGGACAAGGTTGACATCAAGGCCAGTGATTCGTGCATTGTTGTATAAGTACTGTGGCTTGCGGACACGTTTGAACTCGGTCGTCGTTGCTTATTCAAATTATCGGCTGAGACACATCACTATTGTAGATATGCACTACGTGGAAATACTTCACATGTGATGGTTACTTGTTCTCGACCAGCTATCACGTTATCTTGTTAGGACTGGAAATATACCAGGGTCAGAATACCGAATACCGAATGCGTCGTACTGATCATGATGGGTATTCACACGGCTGAAAATCCTGACCGCATGCTGCCTGTGGGTGAACGTGTGGGGAATAAAGACGGGTGCGTTTTCGAAATTTGAATTGAATCATATCTATAGTATCACAATGTAGTCCGGTATTTCGAGGTAGACGTTGCCTTACACTACAAATCTCCAGACCGCTGATGGACCGAGAGGGCAGCGTGTCATCGATATTATGATCCGAAAGGCCTCAAGGCATGATATATTAACATATAACGTCAATCAGAACTTCGAATTCCCTTCTCCATTCAGCATTTCGATGATCCCGCAAAACGATGTGATAATATCCAAGGCAGTCCATCGAAACTCTAAGCTTACAGCTACACTGGTAGTATTGATACAAAGCATTTCTGTTAACGTTATAGACGAGGGGATGCGATCATGAATATGATGTTATGTAAGTTGTTGTGAATTAGATTTGCGGCGTTTTGAGGGAATGGATATTCGGGGTTGTATAGATGTGTCGAATGAAGGTAGCTGGCGGAGTGGATAGCGAGCATCGCTTGGTGAATTTGGTGACATGTGATAGATTGTGGCCGGTGAAGACGAGAGTCTTCTGTGATCAGAGCATCTTGAAATGTTCGAATCCGGAGTGAACTGGTTTGTAGGCAACAAGGGAGACCGAGACGATTTATTTGGGGCTCGGGCTGCGCGAATGGTTTCTCCAGGTGCGAAAGAGGTCAGCCCAGTGAGAGATGAAATAGTGTAAGGTGAGGGGGTTTGTGACCGTTGAGAGTATTCTGGCTCGTCAGGGAATTCGCTAAACTCGGGATAATCCGGTGTTGGAGTGGGGGGTGGTTCGTCTATCGCCTGAGAGAATATTAATACAAGACAGAGCGGAGGAGAGGAGGATGACAGCGTACCCATGGATTAGGAACTATAGGAACAGGGTAGCGTGACCATGAGAGTCCATCAAGGTCACTGAATTCAGTCTTAACCGAGGCAAACGACATTAGGAGAGCTTGATTGAGCGCCTTTGTTGACAGTAAGCGCTGTGCAACGCTGAAGAGAATACATAGCTACGCACTTCAGGCATTACAAGTGCCTCTTGCTCCCAGCGTTGCTGCTCTAGCTCTTCGAGCCTGAGCCGCTCCATGCGAAGTTTGCTACGGTCCGTGAGGTTGGCTTGTTGAGTAGTCATGATGATGAGAGACCCGGGTAGGACAGATATTTTGAGGTGGCAGAGCAGTATTCCAGCGGTTATAAATCGAAGACGCTTTTGTTAGGACAAAAAAGCCAAAGATCAGCCACGCTACCACAGCATATGTTTGTTTTAGTGGACCACAAATAGTATGTAGTTTGAATTCGAATTTAGAGACACAAATGTGGTTACGAGCAACTTCAAGATCATCCAGTCGCTTAGGTCAAAGCCTCAGATCTAGACGAGCGTGGTGATAGTCGGTGACATCGCTCGACTTGGTGGGTTTTCGTGCCGATCGGCATAACGTGACAGGTCCCTACTTTGTGACAAAATGTGACATGACGCGTAAAGACGCGGTCCATGGACTTGTCCGTCTCCGCTTGAAATGGTCCATTCAACGCGACGTAGACGCGTCTAATCTCCTTCCCTTTCTCTTCGTTCTCTTTCTCTTGCGCTCATCATGCTGGAAGCAAGACTCCAAGAAGCAGCCCTTCTCAAGCGTCTGCTAGACTGTAAGCTATATCTCGTCGACACTCGTGGCGTGACTGATTCATCAAAATTTCGTAGCCATTAAAGAGTTGGTAACAGACGCTAACTTTGAGTGCAATGAGGAAGGAATCGTAGGTTTTTTACACCAACAGTCATCTCATTATGATGATGGCTCTTAGAACCTTCAAGCCATGGACAACTCCCATGTAGCTCTCGTTGCCGTCAAGCTTGATGCAACAGGTTTCAAAAAGTATCGCTGTGACCGCCCAATGCCTCTGGGTGTCAATCTCAACTCCCTCACGAAAGTCCTCAAGTGTGCCAAGGATGATGATATCTGTATTATCAAGGCTTCCGATGATGCCGACATTCTAAACCTTGTCTATGAAGCAAGAAGTGAGCCCTTTTTGTGATATTCCAAAACCATGTTCATGAACGAGCCTACGCCAAGGTTCTGATCGAATCGCGGAGTATGACATGAAACTCATGGATATTGATGCCGAGACCCTTGGTATTCCGGATACAGAGTACGATGCACGAGTTACCATGACCGCGTCAGAATTCACGAGGATTGTCCGAGACCTGTCACAATTGGGCGAGTCTGTCCGGATCGAGGTTTCGAAGGAAGGCGTGCGTTTTGCAAGTGAAGGAGAAGCCGCAAACGGTAACGTACTGTTGAAGCAAACTGAGGCTGCCCGAGAGAAATACGCAAACTATGGCAAGGAGGATGAAGAGCCTAAGGAGGAAGACGACGACGATGACGACGACGAGGAAGGAAGCAGCAGTAAAAAGAAGATCAAGAAGGAAAAGAATATGAAGAAAGAAGATGCTGACGTCGAGATGGAGGGTGAGGAAGAGGATGAAGACCAGGAGGAGTTCAAACCCAAGTCGGACGATGAGGGTGAGGAGGAACAGGATGAGGATGAGGGAGATAAGAAAAATGGTAAGAAGCGCAAGAAAGCACCCGCAAAGGTGGGTCGTCATCGTTCCAATTTTCATTCCACTCTTTGACCAGTACTCCAGTCCAACGGCAAGCCCGCCAAGAAAGTGAAGAAGTCGGACGAGACTCCCGCAGATGGAGGGGTCCTCATTGAAATGAATCAACACGTATCGTTGACGTTCAGCTTGAAATACCTCGTCAACTTCTCAAAGAGCTCAGCACTATCAAACACGGTACAGCTCATGATGAGCAATGACGTCCCACTTCTTGTACGTTTAGTTCTTAATGTTGGTCGACTATTCTTAACAAACTGTGCTATGGTTAGGTATCGTACAAATTCGGACAAGGCGAGATCAAGTACTACCTCGCACCAAAAATTGGCGAGGAATGAACGTACTCTCTCATTGTATATCACTCATCCCCCGTGCCAATCCGGTCTTGTATCTATGATAATTCATCGCTTTTCATGCCTTTTGTGTACAATAAGCTAGGTGTGTTGAGATAACTGCGCATTCTGCCGCTATAGTACCATGATAAATACTGTAAATCTAGTTCATATCCTCCACAGATCTTGGCTCCCCGAGTCCAAACCACTCTGGAATCAGCTCCCATACCTCCAGCCTTGCCTTTTTGACGGCATCAATAAATTCGGTCTTACAGACCGAGCACATTCTTAACCCGCACGTCTTCACCCCATCTGAAAAATCGGTCCTTTCCAACATCTCTGCAGCTTGTAGAAGCGTGTGCAGCGGGTCCGCGTCACGTCCGCATGCAATTCCACCGACAGAACGCAGAACATTGAGGTGTATGAAGTAGAACGACTCAATGCAGTGCACGGCACTCAACTTCCCCACGTTCGCACAGTTGGTGGACGGACGGTCGCGAAGTGCAGATTCGAGGAAGGTATGTATATACAACTGCGCAGCTTCGCGACCCAGGAACGTCGCGCACAGATGATCGTCTGAGAGGCGGATCAGCTGACCTTCGGGCTCGCCTTCAGTGAAGAAGATCGGTGGTGGACCACGGGTGCCGGTGAGGATCTTGCTGGGGCCGTACCGCGAGAGGTCGTAGAACGCAATGGGGAGGAAAGTGTCGAGGTTGAGCTCGTAAGCGAGTTTAAGCATTAGGATGGGGTGGGGGAAGATTTCGCGGGGGTTATAGCGGCCCTCACTATCTGTCCCGTCGTGCTCCCTGCGATCCCATTCAGGAAGTGATGTGGGCCAGTCTATCGCAAGACGGGCGATACAGCGCTCGCGCAAGTGCTCGATGAAGTATTTCGTGGAGAGACGAAGCACAGCAGAAATGGCAATGAAATCTGCTGCAGTGTGCTTCTGGAAGTAGCTACTCATAATGCTGTGAGCATTAATTCTAAATCCAAGACAGCGCTAGATACTCACATTCCGTCATACAACGCAATGAGGAGGTGGTATAAATCTGTCGGACGGTCGTGCAGCTCAACCGAAGGACAACCGTCGATGAGGCTCTGGTCGACGGGCTGTGGAACGGAAAACAAGTCACGGAACACCTCCGAGTGCCTTTCGAGTTGACCGTGGTGGACCTTGAAGGCTGCGGAGTCGGCGATAAGGACGATATTGCCATCCGAAAACCAGATGTCAGATCGGATAAGAGCCTTAGGCAAAGCATCACCATATGGACTGCAGGGGTTGTCGCAATCCATAGCGCACCGAGTTGTTCAGGCCCTTGAGCACAGGGCAATGCTCGGAATGCGACTGAGGTTGAGGTAGCCTGCATTTCTTCTACTCAGCACGTTAAATAACTCCTCCGGATGTTTCAAACGAGACGGAGGACATTCGACATTCGAAATAAGCCTAGCGGACCGGGTACTTCGTCCAACATAGATGGTCAGATTCAAAATGTGATCGTGTACGCCTGGCGCCAGTGTCCGTGGGGTAGCGACATACTGTATAATTTTCGAGCTGGTCATCAGTCTATAGCTATGGATTCAGAGACTGAGATCGCGAGGGTATCAATCAAGGATGAACTAGTCGGAGTTTAATGTTTCGTAGAGGGCGACTTCGACCATCTAACAGATTTCACAGATTCGCCATTAACTTGAATCCACTTATTAGTTCATGATCAGTAATAAGATCACCATGTTTTTTTACCGCCTATTAAGCCATATCATTTGCACCATCCCTGCACTTGGAGACTCATCCTAACGAAGAGCATCCGGGCGACCGCCCACCAGCCAGAATCCTCACCAATAACCTCATGGAACTCGAATAATTCAATAACAAATCCCGCCAAAAATTCTGGAAGTGCAGCTATTGTACTCCAACAAGCAGCAGTGGTCAATGCATTGAAGACCGAGATAATCGCTGTCTCTCGCATCTCACAATGTGACAAACCCCAAAGAGTACCTGGATGCTCCACCATCTGTTCGCAATGAAGCTCGCAAGGCCTTATTGCAGAAAGGTGTCGCCATTGGGCAGACAGAAGGCAACTCAGACACAGAAAGCTAATAGAAGATAAGGTCGCAGCCACCTTCGACGAGATTGAGCAATGCATTGCAGAATTCCCATCAGCTATTGATCCCCAGCTGGAAGGGTACAAAATCTTGATGGGAAAGGTTCACGATCTCGCAGAGCTGGAACAGGTTGACAAAGGAACTATCCCTGTAGTTTTCGAAGATGTTCAACAGGTGGGATCTGAAGCTTGGAGGATAGGATGCAATATGTTTGAGAGTTCTGCCAAGTTTTGCCAGCGCGCTAAGTGCTAATCGTGCTGGCATTATCCAGGTGCTGGATGACTTAGCTCGTCGGATCAACCTACCGTCGAAGTCGAGTTCGGCATACTCCACATATCCTCACTCGTTATCCTTATCGTTCTTTGCACCCTCTCAGTGGCTCCACCTGCTTGCGTCCCACCCCGAGCTAACGCTACGACCACCCCAACACAGCTAGATCGTGTCACCGTGACGTCTCTAGCAGGAGCCAGATGAAGCTGGGCTTCGGATTGTCGGAACTCAGCCTAAAGTAGGTTTGCCCCCTATACTAACTGCAGTGTGCACACTGCAAAGGTCGCAGCATGGTAAACATGGGAACAAAATCATCTCAAATTTTATGCAAGAGCCATTTCTGGACTCTGAATTGCAATTGTGAATTGCTAGATTTAATTCTATCTTTCAAATCACTCCGGAACACTAAATAAATATCCCAACGAAACTCTAAAGACATACCACAACAATACTAATAAAATCTACATGCCCCTGTGATACAGTCCTGTGGTTGATCATTTGAATCGTTTCCTGTGCTAGGCATCTCCACCAGTTAATGCATCGCCACCAGCCCGGAAATAAATGGATATCATGCCTGTTCCCTCGTCGGACCTGGCCACGAGCTTAACGTGATATTCGCGAATGCTGAGGATCAGACGCGGTCCCAGCACAAACATTTGCAACACCTGGGCAATTTGGCGAATAGCGGAATAAATGATATTTCCAATAGACGATGAGTCTTGCAGAAATGATGATGAGTGGACAGACACAGATGCTCAGTCGCAGGTTGGCACACCATGATATTTGTAGACGACATTGAGCCTAGGTTGAAGCAAGTCACAACAGCAAAGCTGACACATGCGAAACTTTAGCGAAACAGGATAATAATATCCAAACCACCGAACTCACGCTACAAAGTAAAATGCATGACTTTTAGTTAACACCCTAAAACAGTCCCCGATGGTCGATCCTGTCGGAGATTGCCACAGCTGACGGAAGTGTTTTATGACAATCCAGGCTGCAAGAATGAAGGCAAGGATCTCCCATATAGCAGTGGATATCACAATCTCGATACCCAGATCTATCTGGTATGCGCCATTTGCGAAAAGACACATGGTAGCCAAAAAGGACGGATTCCTCTGGTTTTTGTCCATGAGTCTTATGTGCTTGAGGGTTTTATCAATAAAATTTAAACCTTACCTGCTGAAATACCGATGTTTGCCATTACCGTGATAACGCCGGAGGCGATCGTGGAAGCCAGCAAGACTACAACGAGAAAGACAAGCATCTTTTTCGATCGTTCATACATGGCATGTATCTGAATCATGATGATGACTTGGATGATATTTCAGTCAAGCCAATATCAATAAGCCACTGCAGTTGAACTCACTACCCAGCATAGCATTGACGACGACAGGGATCCATGTCCATATGAAGTAAACGATGAGGCCTAAAAACCCAGGTTACGGATGTGATTTGATGGACTCGATGCTTCGAATGAACTTACAGCTGTTGCAGTTGTTATGTTCAACATAATAAGAGGGCTGAAAATATCACTCACTCCTATGTGGGAGTGTAGTTAGCAAATGAATTGGAATGGGAAGCATCGGTGCAGAATACTCACTAAGTCTGTTATCAAGAATGGGAGATACCCTACATGCCGCAAGTTAGAATAAACGACCGCGGTGTATTTTGGGATATATACATAGTATGTTGATCCTAATTGTGAGAAATGGCTCATCAGTACAGTGCAATTTCAACTTATTAGCCTCGAAAACTTACCCAGAAGATAGTATTCCAGCATAGCGCACCTAGCATAGGTTGAAGTCGGCTCAGCACAACATGTCAACTCATAACATAACATACACAAATATACAGGACGGTCATGAAGGACCAACGTTGCCTCTGCTCTGAGTCAACTGCATTGATATCCAGTTTGCTTTTGTAACAGGACATTGCTTACCCAGACCAGTTCGAACTATTAAAACATTCTTAGTGAGACGGCAGTGCCGGTGACATCAACTTACCTCTTGTCCGAATGTTAATGCTTGAATACCGTATAAATATCAATACCCTCGGAAAGTGTTATTTCGCTCACCCCAATCATACACCACCGCGGCAGAAGATACAACTGCAAACCCGGTCAGTGATAGTGAGACGTAACCATCTTCATCCCACTTGCTCTCTACGGACCTGCAAAATAGCTGTTAAGAGTAGCATTACCGATAAACGGTAAGAAAGCGGGAACATTTGAGACTATGGTCATATCTGGATAGGGCGTATAGAACTTGAATGTCTGCGGACATACCACTACCCAGCGCTTTTATAGCGATCAGTCTGGATATTGGTTCCTCGAGTGAGACTCTTGATTGATCACAGCAACTATTGAAATAATTAGAATCGGCAAGCAGTTCCATGATCAGAAGCCCTCGATTGGAGCAAGTGCATGATTGGAAATTTTGGAAGGCGCTGAAAATCACTCGGTGAAACAAATGATGTTCCGAATCCGATGCTGTTCGGCAGTTCTGCATCAGTTGCATCAGTGGACAGCTAATCATTAGACTAACTGCTGTCAGAGACTCATTGTGTGACAGAGAGCATCGGTGAAGGAATGTGTTTCAATGCTGTTCTGCATGTTCTGCATTAGTTTCATCTAATCATAAACTAACTCTAGAGCTTCATTAGAAAGCAGACTGACCAGCAACATCAAGACAGCCAGGAACAGCTCAGTCAACATGTCTTCGACGCACCGAGGCATATCATTGTGATCACTGTTGCACCATCCAATTATAACGTAGCAACATAATTCTCGCAAGACTATGCTAAGGAAGGCAATTCATCAAGATTGAATCAAAAAAAGCACCTTGAAAAGTAAGGTTATACATAACAGACGTGCACACCCAGCGCACAGTGGCCGTTGACCGAATGGACGCTGGTGACGCCTAGAACTCCTCAGTGGAATCCGGCAAAGGCGTACCAATTACTAGCTCTCGATTGGCTTGATGTTGCATGAAGCTCAGCTAAAGCGCCATAAACTCGCTAATTTTGGAACGGCGTGCCAAACAAATCCTTGAATCCTCATCGAATTAAACGCAAACACTCCGGGTCCTACCAGTTGGATCGGATATCCTTGATCATCAACCGCCCATGACACGTTGCGAAAGAAGATTCAAATGGTTGTTATCGATTCGGCATTCCGTAGTAGGCCAGGTGAAGCCACTGGTTATGGTTTAGTGCATCAAGTGCACCCTCGACCGTTGCGTCGCTGTCCTCGAGCGACGCGAAGGACGACACGACGGGTGCGATACGCTGGGCGACAAAGGCAAGCTCGGAAGCGACAGAACGGAGTTCCTTCTTTGTCTGGATTTGCTTGACCAGTCGCAACGAAATGTTGCGGGGACGCCATCTTGAGAAAGCTGCTTTCTCGCATGAATGAGAGTTGCCAATGTCGGGGCGTACGAGGAGAAGTCAATGCGGGACAAGTAATGTTGCATCTCTTCCCGTAGGGTCCGCTGCATGTAGAGAAGCAGTGTGAACTTGGCACCAGACACGCGAGCCAGGTTGTACTTTGGATTCCCTAAAAGCTTGGACCCGCAGGGTCAACAACGCGATGATAAGCTTGCGGAGGATGCTGGCAAGCTTGTGTTGATAATCAGAAGGACCAAATTTATCTGCGAGGAACTGAAAGTCGTCGGACAACTCAGAGACTTCGGTCCGCATGATACCAAGCGGAATGTGGATAGGATCCTGGTTGCTCAAGGCGTCACAGCTGTATTTACTAGCATTGACAATGATGACTGAACTATCAACAGCCACTTTCTTAAGGTCAGAAAACAATGGAGGGAAGAAGAAACGAAAAAGGTCAGGGAGCATGCAGCTGCGCGAAACGTCATCATACTGCCGGATTTGCAGGGACTGGTCCGATCGAACATGTTACAAAGGCGGAAACTCAGCCGCTTGAACTCTTCCGCCAAGGCAGCGCCGATATCACCTGACACAGATCGACCAGAATGGCTAGGGGGGCAGAGGAGTGGTGCAGCCCGGTGAAGCTCAATCTCAATTGCTTCATCAAGGTCAGATGGGATATTACGCTGCTCAACTCTGTCGTGAAAGCTGAGAGTAAGATTGTTGAGAGACATGCATCGATCAGAATGTCAGAATGACCTGTGGGACAAAGGAGTGGCGCATCCTGATGGAGCTCAATCGCCTCATCGAGGTCAGACGTGATACCCTGCAGCTAAAATGTACCTCGAAGGCTGTTGGCAAGGCTGTTAAGAGTTGCGTGTCAAGACTCGATAAGAATAGCCAGGGGGATGGAGCTTCAGTGCGGCCTGATAAATTCAATGGCCTCGTCCAGGTCACACAGGGAGCCAGGTCCACGCTGCTCGAATCTGTCGTGAAGGTCATTGGCAAGATTGAAGAGACACGTGGATCGACGAGGATGGCCAAGGAGATAGCGCTGCAGGGTATTTCGAGACCTCTCCACACGGTCTATTATATGTCACGGTTATTAGCGCAACATAACTACTAGAACTGCCCCATCTCACTTTGAAGAGAGTGTTGCCATGAGTGCAAAATGGGGAATATCAGGGTCGAAACGCACGCAAGGAGTGGGAAACTGAGCACCGGCATACAGAAGACCTGCAAGGGAAATAATATGGGAGACCAACCGTGACTCCCGGCCCACACGTGCGCTTGAGTAGGACTCGGAAGGGCGTTTTTATTTTTGCCGAACGTTGAACGTTGACGTAATTATGTAAGGCACCTCCAGTTCAAACGCCATATGATCACAAAGTGGACCCTCAAATAAATTGAATACCATGATCAGTCTCTGATTCTGTAGACTCTGAAGTTCTCTAGAAACAGGAGCAGGAACTGCAGCGCTGGGACACTAAAGACCTGCGAAGGAGGTGAGTAATACCAAAATTGTCGAGTCTCACTTATGCGATACAAATTAAAAACCAAAAATGACCGTGACAGATGAACAAAATGTGTTTCCACTTGTCACTGCCTTTGAGTCGTATCAGTGACTCGATGGTGCACTGCGGCAACAGAGCTTCGCCTGTGGCGTGACACCTTGGCCAGGCTCTGGATATGATAGATGTTGAACTTGGTCTCTACGCACGGGAACCTATCAATAACTGATGGAGGCGATGAGTTTGATCGTGCAAGATGCCCACTCTCAAAATATATCGCTGACAGGCTGCTGCAACCTACATAGATCTGCATGAGGTCAGTGCGATGCGATGATAGGGTTGTTGCTGAGGACGATAAGCAAGTCTCTATATCGAGTGAGTTTGATTAAATTCTTGCATACGAAGTGTGATTTGATCGCTAGAGTAACGCGGTTGTCATGAAAATGCCCCGTCAAGTTTTGCTGATGCTGCCGCGACGGGTTCTTCAAATTGTCTCGTATGTTCTAATGTCACGAACATAATGCATCATGATCCGCGAGGCGTGGCACATCTCCTCGTCATCCTCCGCAGTAATCTTAGGGGTCTCCCCTGGTCTCCCAGGTATCGTTCAGGTATCGCTGGGCTTTGCTACACATCAAGATGGCAGTATTGATGGTCACCGCCATCGACCATGCGACAGTACAGGAGGTACAACATAAAATCTGGTATGGTCACCGACAAGAGTAGTCTAAAACTACACAAACCAACCCTCTTACCAACACAATATGTCTGAACAACTCTTCAAGTCTTTTGCTATCATCGGCGCAGGCCCTAACACTGGGATTCATATCGTGAAGGTGACGTTCGTTATTATATTCTTGCAGCTGTCATCCTTAGCAAGTTCTATCAGGCTTTCCTTGCCATTGGCGCCCCAATTCTCGTCGTCGCACGGCCAGCCTCCACGAACGTCGCTGCGCTCCCTGGCGATGATCCTAACCTCAAGGTTGTGCGCGCAGACCATACGTCTGCATCCGAGATCTCCACAGTTCTTCGCGAGCACAAAGTAGATGTCCTCATCTCGACTGTCACCCTTGTTTTCGGCGGCGTAGTTGGCCAGAATGTTCTCGCTGATGCTGCCAAGGAGGCAGGTGTGAAGCTCTTCGTGCCCAGCGAGTTCGGTATCAAACCGCAATTAGCTAAAGGCGGGTTGGCTTTTCAAAAGACCGACTCCGCAGGCGAGTGATAATAATAACGCATCGTCGCGTCGACTCATCCTCCGTTCGTAGTTTACGCAAAATCAATCGGACTACCAACTCTCCGCGTCTTCGTGGGTAGTCATTGGTCGGGTGTCGTTCTAATAAGCGCTGAATACGATCAATCGACTGTAGAACGGATTGTTTTACGAATTCGTACCCTGGCTCACCGCGCTCGCTGACACTGGCAAGTTTCATATCGTGAACAAAGGAGAAACGCCAGGGTCCTTCACTGCAGTATCCGATGTTGCAGGATACGTGGCTCATATCCTTACCATTCAACCTCCATCTCGTCTGCTTGATGTTGAAATTCACATCGAGGGCCAACGAGCAACGCTATCGGAGATTGGAGCCTTATATAAAAGCCGTGCACCTGTGGTACACTGCGATGCCCTCCCTACGGAAGGTGTGGTGAACGCGCACTTCCGTACGTTCTTCCAGAAGCATGTTGAGACTGGGGGAGGGAGTTGCGGGTGGAACCCTGTGACGGAGTCTGACGACCCAGAATCGGCTAGCAGGGATAACTCACTGTGGGAGGGGCACCGCTGGTTGACTGTTTCGGAGGCTCTTGGGCTGTAACTGGATTAGATAGCATTGACGCTTTATATATCATGGGGACCATACGGTATCTTTGCAACTTAGATGAATGATCATGCATTATTATGTCCTCCCACCAGCAGTTAACTTATCGCTAGACAACAGTGTTACTCGAATGAAGATAGTGCTGTTGTTCCATCTTACTGGATGGCGTCATGGGCTCCGGTCAGATAGCGTGAAGTTCAATTTATTTCGTATTGCACATGTATAATATAAGTATGTTCGTGAACGCTGTGAGGGTACGTATGTATTGTCATAAATATCAACGTGATGTCGATCATCAAGCTACGAGCACGAAAAAAAAACCAAGAAAAGAAAAGAACAATACACGAGATATCTAGATATAACCATGCATGCGATTGATGATGAAGTCCAAATTGAAGTGCGATGAATGAACTACGATCATGGCGAGTTTGTAGAAGCGTCCAGCAGCGCCCGTACTTCCCTGATACACTCATTTAAGCGCAGATGCACCTCCTTCGCATTGTCGAGCAGTGGCTTGATATTTTCCGGTGTCATCGACAATTTAAATTCGGAGAGCAGCGAAGAGTCACCGTCCGGCGGCTGTGGAGGGGCAGAACGTACAGACCCTGATACTGCAAGCTTGTAGTTCCGAGACGGCGGTCGCGAAGGGCTCGTTCGTGGTAGAGAGACGCGGTGCTGAGCTTTCGATTTCAAGCGTGCTTGACGATCATCAACCACCTCTTCCACGTTTGACAGTCTGGTCGATCGCATTGGCCTTATGGAGCGAGGGGATGGCTCGCACTTCAACGACGTCTGAGAGGAACACGCCGTCCGCTTGGGTGACATCGGACGCATGTCATGAGGGTGATTTAGGTAAGGTGAGCGTCCCTTTTTCCCCTTGATTGTGGCAGGCCCATCGATTCCCAGTGCTCTCGCTGCCCCATCAAGATCCGCGACAGAGTCAATCCGGTCCCAATCTTCCTCCTCTGTCGTAGCACTGCCTCGGCTTGCACAGCGTGAACCATGGGCGCTATCCAGGGAAGACTCTGCACCAGACGACACATTCTTGTTCTTCTGCCCCAGGCGGAAGATAGATGCAAGTGAAGGTCGGCGTGGCGATACCTTGTGTTTTAAAGACTCTCCACTATACGGCGAATTTGGGGTATCCCGAGTGTAACGCACTGACTCTGGTCCAGTACTTGTTTTAGATTTTCGCTGGGGGTGTGATCGAGGTAGATGTGCGTGGGAATAATGATGCTGGCTCTGAGAGCCCATAGATGATTGGGTGCTCAGAGATGTGGTGGACGCAGGAGGCGGCGGCTGGCCTGAATGGCCCCGCTTTAGTGACCGCAGCATATCTCTTAGCCCACTCATGCCCATTCGGCTATGCCGCCTTTTCTTTCCATCCTGCGAAGCTTGCACCGATTCTTCGGAGGGAAGTGTAACTGTGCTGCTCATCGCATCTCCCCACCGCCATTGTCGATTGACATGCATCTCCTCTGAAATCAATGCATCGTCAGGAAGCACACCATCTGTACTGTTGAGGATGTCACGCAAGAGAACGAGCTGTCGCTGGGTGAGATCGTGACGTCCTGATGACGATCGCCATGACAGATTGGACTGTCCCATTGCAGCCGACGCGACGAATCCCGAGGGCAACTTCGATTCCTCGCCTGACAGAGTCACTGCTCGCTCCCGGCTCTTCCGGAGATCGATATCAGTCTGCGCAGCTGGTGTAGATACAGTGGTAGACGGAGAAGCAGGAGAAGGCGTGCCTCCGCCGAGTTCAATCAGTAGCTCAGCACATTCCCAAGGTATCTTGTACTTGGTCCTGATGGCATTCAGTGCTGCCACTAAATGCTTCTGCTCTGAAAAGTTAGACTTGGGTTCGGTGTTAGAGCGCAGTCGGGAATGGGGGTGGCCAAGATGAATCATAAGGGGCGAAGCTGCTCGGGATAGAGGAGAACTCTCCAGGGCGGTGTTTACCTCGGCGACTAGGTGATGGTGAATTGCTTGCAGCTCTTTAAGTTCTGGAAAAATGTTCAGCCAAGGCATGTGTGGAAGCTTGAATGGTACATACTGTCAACGCTTGCTGCAAATTCCCTCACCATTCCAAGGTCGCGCTTAAGGCTGATTTGAGCTTGACTAATTCTTGCTGGAATCTTGAGGTCGCCCAGTGAGTTTCTCCGGAGAACAGAGGCACTAGATGATGATGGAAGGGGGACTTGCGTAGCTCGTCCTAATGACGCGGATTGAGGGGATGATGATTTGCCAGGAGAGGCGCGGCTGGTAGAGACGGGGCTGGCCTTTGGAGATAGTGATGCAGGAGCGCTGCTGGAGGGCACAAATAACGACTCGACACCCTGGCTGATATTAATTGGCACAGAATGTGATGCAGACACCCCGTTGAGCGTCCTGGGCGGGGATGGTGGCTGTAGCTCTATTGGAGGAAGTAATTGATCTGGATGCTCGGGCTCGTCGGGGAGTGGAGGAGGGCTCATAGGGACTGGTGGGAGGGGTGTGACCTCGGCTGCACTCTTCTTCCGCTTGTGCTTTGTACCGCTGACAAGGCTAATTTTCCGCATGCCCCCCATGAAACCCCGACTACCCTCCCGAGTTTGCAGATCTTCCACACTTTCATTGGGATGGCTAAACGTCTTGGATGCCGCACGACCTACTGATGAGCCATATGAAGTGTGCCGTGTCCCTGTAGAGGTCGAGATGACTTTCCCCTGTGAGACTTGCATGGACGTGGGTCTCCTGGCCGCGGAGAGAAGCGATGGCTTCCCGGGTGTTCCCACGACCTCGCTGCTGCTACTTGGATCAAACATCTTGCTCGACTTGCGTTTTGAGAGCTTGCTAGGCGTTGATAGCACGAATGAATGCATGCTATTCATGCTCTTCTCGTGCTTAAGTTCGACGGCGGGTGGAGGCGGCGGGGACCCAGACCCAGGGGCGCCGCCAGAGCGAAAAAACCAGCTCGGTCGCGTGGTAGAACTAGGAATAGATGCGAGCGAGCTAGTTGGGCGCGGCGTATGATCTTGGTCTTCGTGTCCGAGGTCGTGCATCATTACCTCTGCTGGCCCCGTACTGGCTCGCTTCTTGCGCACACCCCACTTCTTGACTGATCCAATGCGTGAAAGGAGAGGCGTCTTCTGTGGGCCCATTGAACCTGTGTCGGATTGAGGGAGGGGTGAAGTAGATGGTCTCTCGGGAGTGGATGGTGGAAGTGGTGGAGGTGAGTCGCGCTGCTCTTCAATTAACTCGAATACATTGTTCTCTATATGCGGAGGACGTGACTTTTTCCGTAGTCTGCGTCGCTCACGGTGTATTGGTGGACTAGGTGGCAGCATAGCAAGAGAGCCACCTGAGACGCTTGGCCTCAGTGCCAGATGTGACGTGGACGTATATCCTACTGAGTTACGTCCGCTTGTAGTCGGTATTGAGAACACAGACACGGTCGGAGAGCGTGGAAATGGTTCTACAGGTGAGAGGAGTGACAGGGGAAGTGCAGGTACGGGTGGCGGGGGGGACTGTCTCAACTTGAGCTGCGGTCGGCTACGAGCCGTAACAGTTCTGTCCTCTTCTTTATCTGTGAACCCGAGCTCAGCCTCGTCATCCGACGAATCTGGATACGCCTCCTGACGCGTCCGTTTTGTCATTGGGGTCGTGTCAGCCTTGTCTGTTTCGAAATCGTCATCCCAATTCTCGGGGTCAGTCGCGGATTTGAGGCGAGGAGGAGTGTGATATGAGTGGCGTGTTTTTAAAGAGTAGGTGTGGGGGTGCCGTTTAGTAGGGAATTCAGTCCTGTCCTCGAAGTCGTCGTCCCAGTTCTCTGCTTGGGTCATAGAGCGCTTTGTGGGGGTTGATGGCCCTGGTTCCGCCCATTCTTCAAGCGCAGGCGCAGGATGGTTCTTTCTGTCCCCAAGTACCATGGATGACGAATGTTTGATGTTCTGCTGGGTTCCTTCGGTGTCCCAATCTTCAGTAAATGCAGAACTCGCGACAGACAATCTGGGTTCCGCAGCCGCCTGATGTTTGCCAAAGAAGTTCGGTTCGTTACTCTGCTGGAATTCGAAATCATCATCCCAGTTCTCTGAGGACTCTGGATGCATCGTGCAAATGCAAGAATGATAAGGGAGATATGAACATGAACATGAACATGCACGATCATGTGGCCACTTAGACCCACCTATTGTCTGATTCCGATTTCTCGTGTTCATACAGGATTCGTCGCGTGGTGACGAGCAGCCACTGCGCTCGAAGTAGTTTAAACGTATTCGTCGCCGTTGCTGTCGTTGAAGAAGAGAATGATTCTTATTTGTTGTACTGACTAAGTGCTGTAAGTACCAAGCTTTGTCGGAAAAACCCATTTTCGGCAACTTGCAATTTAACCTGACCCCAAGCCCTGTTGCAACCGTGACAGCCTGCGACTTGTGAACGTCCTCTCTTTCTTTCAAAGTCTGACTGCCGGAGACTAGAACACACCGGTGATCTCTAAATTTCATATGTAGCAGACTCGAGGCTGACTGCGCAGTGGACATGGGGCTTTCACCGTGATTTGCGAGGCCACTGCATTCACGTTCACACTTTCCCAGCGCTGCTGGAGTGAATATTTTCATTGGTTGACAGTGATAAAACAACCGCCGGTCAATGTGAGCAATCGAGCGTGTGGGTTACTACGTAGTAAGTCGAACATCTTACTTGCTTGTCTAGATAGAGCTCGATCGATCACTTCGCATCAAAGCTTCTTTACACTAGAAGCTCATCCTAGGCTGTCTGTGTGGCTGGCAGCCTGCATGCAGTGAGCAGTTGCAGTGCTATGGGCGCCCATCACCAGTGGCAGGAGCAGGCTGGCTGTGGTCGCAGGCTAGTCGATCACACACACTAGTGAAGAGCTCGAGGGCGCTTGAACGTATTCGGATGAGTGCTTGGAGCATGCAGGTATCCTGGTGGACTTCGGCAGCTGAAATTCACCTCATTCGGATCCAGTGATCTTTGAAGTTCCGTCCTTCGACATAATGGACGCCTTGAACAAGCGCGCGTTCATTATATAACCCGCTATGCAGCCGTCTAGCTGCTGTCCTTAAACTCACCCACACATTTCTTCAGACTCAGACCCAGCCATCTGTTCAAAGTTATTCAATGAACGAAGACACTGCTCCCTCAGACCCTCATCTGCCACAGCAGAGGGGCAGGAGAGCAACCAAGCAAGATGTACGGAACAGTGTCGCCTTTACGTTGATGTTGTAATAACATTGTTGCAGCTGTCCTCTCTCCCACCTTCGCAAACTGGATCTCCCAGACCACACTCCGGATTTTGTCGCAAATTCTGGGACAAGGTGATTAATCAGTGCCGTTGCGCCCAAAATAATGGGCGCTCTTTGAGCCCTTCACCTGTGGATGCTATACCCAGCAGACAGGATCTCGTTCCCACGCGGATGCCACAGGTAGGTGTAATTCTAGTTCTTGGCACACACCTCCTAAAGTCTATCATCCAGCCCGAACCACTCAACCCGGAAGTTGTGAATGACAGAATCAAGGACGCTACCAGAGGTATCTCAGGCATCCGCCCTGTATCGGGAATCATCAAAAAAGCCGCCTCAGAAACAGGCGATATTCAAACGGTTCTCGATGACATCGACATGTGGACCGCGATGCTTCGGCCACTGAAGGCCTTCAACTCTGTTGCTGGCCGCATTGGAGATGTACATACATTCATCTCTGTTGAATACGTGGCTGACCTTCATGTAGATTCATCCCTATTTGAAGGGAGCAGTGACTATTTTGACTGGCGCGTCTCAGGTTCGCTTATCTCCATTTCTTCAGCTTGGCAGGTTATGACGAATGTCTTGGTGACAGATGATTATCGATCAAGCAGACCGCGATGCTGCTGTTTACAGTCTGCTCGAGAAGATTTCGGAAGTTTATGGTTTAATGACCGAACAGGAGGAATTGAAAAATATTTCATCCATCCTACCGATATATCTAAAGATCGCACAACAGACGCAGGAATGCGCTGATTTCATCGTCCATTACTCTGATACCAAGAATTTCTGTGAGTAGGTTCCATCGTGTTACCATCCAGGGCTCAGTATATTTGAACAGGGAAAAGACTCTGCAAGCACGTCATCAATGAAACAAATGCCTCGATCCAGAACTACAATAAGGTTTTCGATGATCTCATGCAACAATTCCGAGATAAAGTGGCTCGTGACACCATCATATTCATCCACCGTGCAGGTAAATATCTGGCCTCGAACTTATCTGCATCTTCTGACGTTCGCTGACGCATGACCCAGCCGAAGATCTGGACTTGAGCGCCTTGGAATATGCGACCGGTGCCGGATTGAATACATCTAAGCTTTGCCTCGAAGGCACTCGGGAAGGCGTTCTGAGCGAGATCAAGTCTTGGATCAACAACACCGGGGTGAATGTACCCCCCGTTTTCTGGTTATCTGGCACGGCAGGGAAAGGCAAATCAGCCATCGCCCATACAATTGCCAAATGGTTTCATGAATCTGGGCGTCTAGGCGCTTGCTTCTGCTTCGACCGCACAGCAGATCGCCGCCATGAAAAGATAGTCACCACGATCGCGCGCGACTTAGCCGATGGCGATCTCATCCTGCGGCAAGAGATAGCACATGTGGTTCATAATGACAACGAGCTCAGGCACACCCAAGACATCACAAGACAATGGCAGAAGTTCATCGTAGAACCAACAGGCAAGGCCTCACCCACCATCACTCAACCCATTCTAATAGTCATTGATGGGTTGGACGAGAGCGGTGCAGCCAAATCCCGCGAACAAATTCTCCGTCTGATTGCTGGCACGCCAGATACGTCCTCCTCTCAGCCAAAAAAACTCCCGTCCTATTTCCGTATTCTCATTACTTCCCGTCTACTCCGAGACATACACGATGCCCTGCATGATCTGTTACATGTTCTTCATGTCTCCATGGATGACATTTCGTCTTCCTCCGCAGAGCATGACATCCAGCTTTACTTGTCTAATAAGCTGGCCGGCGTGAGCGCCGATTTGAAGGACACAGACTTCACCATGCTTGCGCAGAAATCCGACGGTCTGTTTGAATGGGCTCGTCTTGCCTGTGCACACATCAAAAATACAAACGTAGTGGGGGACCCAATACGTCGTCTCCGTTCCGTGGTCTCTGCGACATTTGGAAAAGGAGTACATCTTTTGGATGATATGTACCAACGCATATTGGGAGAAATTATGCCAGAGGAGGAGGAACAAGCGATCCCTATGTTTCGCTCTGTGATGGGGCAAATTATTGCATCACCGGAACCGCTCCCCATGGTTGCCTTAAACGCCATGCGACTCTATTTTCCAAATGAGGATGACCATTACAAAGTCGAGGCGGTCATGGGGCCACTGGGCTCGCTTGTCATCGGCACTGCAGATCCTGATATTCCTATACGGCCTCTCCACTCTTCCTTCTACGACTTTCTCACAGAGAAGAGACGAAGCGGCAAGTTCTCCATCGATGTGTCATCGGTACAGAGGGACCTTGCCTTTGCCTCACTGCGGATCATGGCGCGTGGGCTTCGCTTCAACATCTGCTCTTTGGAAAGCTCTTACTTTCCCAATTATGCTGTCCCTGATCTAGAGACACGAGTGAAAAATTTCATTCCGGTGGAGTTGTCGTACTCGTGTCGATTCTGGGGGACACATGTGAAAGCTACGTCCTTCGAGCCATCGCTTGCTAAGGAAGTCGAAGCATTTTTCGATGGAGAGCGCTTCCTGTTCTGGCTGGAAGCACTGACTCTAGTCAAGGCCCTAAACAGTACAGCGCGTTTCCTCTCGTCTGTTGCAGATTGGTTTACGGTACGTAATTGTAGCTCATTCTTTGGGATGCACGGGGTCTCACACGTGGTAATGTTCACAGGAAAACGCTGAGTATATGCATACCAGCGATGATGCTAGAGATGCCCAGTACTTCATTCAAGCTTTCGGGACTACCATTTTACACAGCACTCCGCATTTATACTTGTCCGCTCTGCCATTTGCTCCAACGCAGTCGACGATATTCAGGAAATTTGCTGCAAAGTTTCCCCGCACTCCTCGGGTTGTTGCTGGTCATGTCACACGGTGGTCTCTGATGGAAAACAGACACCATGGGCACGCCGGCGTTATGTCGATTGCAATCTCACCAGATCGAAGACGTGTCGTGTGTGGTTCATACGACGGTATAATCCAGTTGTGGGATATGGAAACTGGCGAAGCTTTGGGTGGCCCTCTCCGAGGGCACAGTGAGGCCGTTCGTTGTATCGCAATCTCATCGAATGGAAAACGCATCGTGTCTGGTTCAAACGATCACACGATCCGGGTGTGGGATTTAGAAACTGGGAAGGCATTGAGTTCTCCTCTCCGAGGGCACACCACCTACGTCCTGTCTATCGCAATTTCGCCGGATGGACAACGCATTGTGTCTTCGGGCGACAAGACGATTCTGGTGTGGGATGCGCAGACTGGCGAACAATTAGTTGCCCCCCTCGAAGGGCATACTGATATCGTTCGGTCTGTTGCAATCTCGCCGAATGGACGACATATTGTGTCTGGTTCAGACGACACGACCATCCGGGTGTGGGACTTAGAGACCGGGAAAGCATTGGGCCCTCCTGTCCGAAAGCACACTGATGCTATTCTATTTTTAACGATCTCACCAGACGGAAAACGCATAGTGTTTGGTTCAAACGACAAGATAATCCAGGTGCTGGACGCGGAAACCGGCGAGGCAGTAGGTGCCCCTCTCCAAGGGCACACTCACCGCGTCTGGTCGGTCGCGATCTCAGCTGATGGAAAACTCATTGCGTCTGGTTCGTCAGACAAGACGGTCCGAGTATGGGATGCAGAAACTGGCAATGCATTGGGTACCCCACTCCAAGGTCACACCCAGGCTGTATACTCCGTCGCATTCTCGCCGGATGGAAAACGTATTGTCTCTGGTTCATATGACACGACCATCCGGGTATGGGATCTAGATTTTGTAAACAAGCACCAGCTCCTCATATCTGGAAGACCTGCAATATGTTTCTCCTCCAACCCAACTCATGCCCTTTGTTCCCCTCTTTCCTTTCTCCAAGATCTTTCCTCCCCAGCCTCTCTCGCCCCCAACGAGGAAGGGTGGGTTGAAGGTACCGAGGAACATCTTCTCCTCCGCATCCCTGTCGACTTCCATCGGTCTGTGTACATCCCGGGTGATACGCTGGTTATTCCCAGTCACACGTTGCAGTTGGATTTGAGCCATTTTGCGCACGGCACCTCATGGTCCAAGTGCAGAGGTGCACATTAATATCTCTTGTAGATTGCGCTTCATAGTCAAGCAATGGACCCGACGCTCTGTACATAGTAGCTTGCGTAACAATGTACTACGTGTATAATGATACATCATGATAAAATTGTCCCAAGTACTTACTATTTGTTTATCATTTGACGAGAGCTCAGGCTAGCTTACCTCACAGTTTGAGTTAGGTCGAGACTACAGTTATGACTCTTGAGCTTGACCTTTATGCTTACTCGTAACCATGTCATTCGCACGAGTCAGCTATTGAGAGCATCAGTTCTATTGCACCCTCACATTCATTTCACCACAACAGCCCATCGCACCATGGGCAAGAACAACAAGAAAAAGTCCAACATCATTCCTGCTGAGACCTACCTCCGCCTTCCTCCGCTCGCAGATGCCTCCCTTGCTGACCAGCCCATCATCGATACGCACACCCACCTCGTGTCGACGTTCTCGACATACCGGAGCAAGTACAAGAACGGGACGCTTTACACTATCCATGACTTCGTGCGCGAGATGTACCACAATCGCAATGTGAGGGCGATCGTAGACGTGTGGTGCGAGGCACCTGTGTTAATGGTGTGGAAGGAGCTTGCGGACTCAGCACTAACCGCAGAGGATCGGAAACAGAAGTGGGGAGGCATCGATTATTGGTTTGTGATGGGTGAGCTATCCGATCGTGCACTGTTCTCGATCATTGCACTGAGAGATGATTCTGACAGGCGTTCACCCGTGTGTACTGGTCCGGACGTCTCGCACGGGAGTGAACTGATAATCTCCCCAGGCACGATGCGAAGTCATACAACGATGCAGTTGAGGCTTCCATGTATGTTTCTACGTTCCTTATAATTCCGGTGATTTGATTCGAGAGTTTTAGCCTTGAAGCAATGGCCCACCCACGATGCGTAGGCTGGGGAGAGATGGGTCTTGATTACCACTACGACAACTCCCCACGGGCAATCCAGCAAGAAGTCTTCATCCGGCAGTTGAATCATGCTGTCAGGCTGGGCAAGCCACTCACGATCCACACCCGTGAAGCGGAGGCAGACACGGAGAGGATTCTCATGGAGCACGTCCCTGCCGATCACAAGGTACTTCCAGCGATCACTCTTGTTACTGATTCCCGAGGCTGATGATTTAATGGATCTTCTTTCAAAGATACATATACATTGTTTCACAGACTCTCCAGAATTCGCACAGCGACTACTTCAGCATTTCTGTAATTTGTACATCGGGATTACTGGTAAGCCGGTCATTATTGAGTTCGATAAGCTTCGGAACTAATTCATACATACAAGGGGTTATCACATATTCGACGAATGTGAATACGTCGAATATCGTTAGTCAGATGGCCATGAGCGATGGTGGACCGCGTATACTACTGGAAACAGATGCACCCTTCATGGTCCCTTCCAACCTCTACAATTCCATACCGGAAATCAAGGGTAGCAGGTTGCCCTTGTGTCACACTGCCATGATCCCGTGGGTTGCAGAATATACCGCAGGAAAAGCTGGGCATCCCTGGAATGGTGCAGCTATCATGAAGCGCGCCAATGAGAATGCAAAAACAGTATACGGCGTCCAATAGAACCAATGTAAATCTTGACTGGAGTTCATCAGCCGTGGAGTACCACTGAACGTGAGGGCAACACATAATTTGTAAGTTACAGATAGCAATATCAGCGCGGAAAGCAAGGTATAGTTGTGGTATATGTATTATTTATCTCCAATTCATCCCAGGTAGTAGCAATGGTAATGGGCAGGCCCGCATAGAGAAGTTATGCTTGCTTGTCGATAGACCGTTGTGATGTTATTTCCTTGTGGTCGAGTGCACGTTCAATGAACGCTTCGCGGGCTTCTGCGCTGACTGAACCGAAAATGATATCCATCTCCTCTAGACTACGACCTTTGGTCTCGGGGAGGAGCCTGTTGAGCATAGTGTAAGCATCGATCAAGTAACCAGTACATGAATTGACTGACAGGGAGAAGACAGCCATTCCGCCAATATTGATTGCAGCAAACATCATGAAGAGCTTGAATCCTAGATCAGACTCAAGTGTTGGGGTGACCTTCGCCACAACGAAGTCTAAAGGACTGAGTTAGTAGCATCACAACATCTTGCACGACTTAGTACGCACTCCATAGCCATTGCGAACCAGAACCTACGGCCAATCCGTAATGGCGAGTCCGTGTGGGGAAGATATCAGAGACATAAACCCACGGAAGAGGACCCCATCCCATGGAGTAGAAGCAGACGTAGATGTAAAGCATGGCAGCCATACCTTTTGAAGAAGGTGCCGGTGGCGGCGCAGACTGACCCGGCTGAAGCGTGACAACAGGATGTGTTTTCAAAATAGCGCCGATGATAAAGAACGTGATTCCCATTCCCATAGCAGATATGAACAATGAGGCTTTACGACCAAGACTCTCGACAAAGAAGAACACGAAAAGGGTGGTCGCAATGACTTTCACGATACCGTAGATTCCGGAAGCCAAGAGAGAATTGGTTGTCCCAGAATATCCGATCTAAATTCTGACGTGTAAGTGAGGGAAGAGGGTACTGTACGGGAGACTCACGGAGCTGAAGATCTGAGGTGCGTAATAGCCAACCGAATTTTGTCCGCTCCATTGCTGCAAGAAGAATATCATAAATGCAATGACAAATCGGATAAAGTTGCCCTTCCCGAAGAAGGCTTCTTTCAATCCAAGGCCTTGACGGGCCTCCTGTTCTTCACGAATAGCAGCTTCAATTTCAGCAAATTCACGTCGTACTTCATCTGAATCGTAGGGCTCCCTCCGCAAGTAAGCAAGATTGGCGATGCCTTCCGCAACACGACCTTTGGATGCAAGCCAACGTGGAGACTCCTGTAATAGAACCATCTGAGACGATCTATACAAGTTCGGGGATGACTAACCTTGACAGTGAACAGACCAAGGCACATTATACCTGCAAGAACGAGCTGAAATCCAAAAGGAATCCTCCAGACATTGGGGCTGCTCGCCATGTGGAGGCCAACACCAACTGTTTAATTATTGTGAGTGCCATATGGTTAAAATGAACGAATGCGGACTGAACGGTTTATGAAATATGAAATCATGACACCAATGGCCACCATGATCTGAAAACATCCGGTGATACGGCCACGGACATTCTTTGGTGAGCATTCGGAGACATAAGCGGGCGCAACAGCAGAGATACCGCCAATGCCGACGCCGGAGACAACTCGGCCGCCGTAGATATATGCAATACCCCGACTTCCACCGGCAACCGTAGTAAGTATCTACATAGAATCGCCTGAGTAAGAGGCCTATCTGATAACGAGTTTAATAGAACCACTTACAGCACCGATAATGAAGATGATGGTAAAACCAATTAATGTCAGTCTTCGTCCCAACCAAGCTACGTGATGATCGGAATGCATCAGTCTACCGGCGAGAGGTCACTATCGTACTAACCTGAGATAGGTGCACTACCAAGAGCGCCAAAGAATGCTCCTGCCTGCAACACAGAAACAACATTGGAAGAGACCTCAGTATCCTTGCTTTTGTTGATTTTGCCATCGGCGTCGACTAGACCGAAGCTGGTCTCGAAGTAAGTCTGGGAGACGACACCTCCAGCTATACCGCTAGGACATAATCAGAGACACGCTTATGATTTTTCAACAAAGAGGAGCATACGTGTCATATCCGAACAGGATGATGCCCCAGTAAGCCACGAGTGCGAGCCCTGCAAAGTTGTGAGCGAAAAATGTGCACCAAAAAACGTTGCAACTGACAGTATACGCGAATATTTTTGAAAATGTCATCACTGACTCGGAACATGTCGATGAACGCTACGAGGAGAGATAAAAGTTGCGCTTGCGATATGCGACCACATTATATATGACTGTATGGCAGATGCAATTTGCTTCCACGGATCCCCCAACTGATCGATTTAGTAAATCGCTTAAGTTCCGCCGGGTGCCTAGTCTCGCCTCGTCTTGCGTGACAGTTGTGGTTGCTCCCAGATGTCGCCTTACACTCTAACATTACCCAGCACATTTCCTCGCTACTCACAGATGCAGGCAACTGGTCACGAACCCACCGGGTACCTGGCCCCGAGCGGCCCACCGGTCAGCGCCGGGTCCCGGCGGACCGTTGTCAACAGCATTGCAGTACTAAGCAACGGTAAATTGTCAAAGTTTACAACTTCAAGTTCATGTGAATGAGTAGTCACTTGAATGACAGCCACTTCGATGACCCGACGCGTGACACCCCGAGCCACACAAATCTTGCAGTCTTGTGTTCTGAGTGCCGTCCGCACATCCCAGTCCCTCAAGCTTTCAATATTAGAAATTTCAAGGCCTCCTGCAAGTTCGCCATGCACTCTTTCCTCTTCTATTCTGTCCCTTCTTTTCATCTACAGTTATAATCCTCGTGATTTATTCAGACCAACTGCTTCTTTCTCTCATCGCCTACTTGTAAGCCTTGATATACGCCCGTCCGCCCCTGCATACTGTCCTGAAAGACTTGCAAGTCCAGTTCACTCGAAGCTCCGCACCTATACCCGTTGATCCGTTAATAAACTCATTCTGTCTTCCAACTCGCCACATAGCTAATGCGACTTGGAGACTCAGAGTGGGTATTCCAGCTATAAATGACGGCCCTCGAAAGCGCACTTCCCTTGTATGACGCAAATTCTACTTCTGCGTCCGCAGATTCCATCCAATACAGACAACTATCTGTGTCCTTCTTCCAAACAAAACAGTGATAATGACCTATCCTTCATCCGTGATGATGTCTCCTCTCACGTTTTCGCCCCTTCCTCTGCTGTCTCGATTGTCCATGCATGTGCCGTTACTATGCCATCTTCAGAGTTCTCGAACCTCCTACAAACACGCAACATCGAGGGGTACACGACGTTGCATTAGGCGATTGTGAATAACCAGCCAGAAGCTTTCTCGGCGTGGGCTAGATTTATTTCCAAAATTTCGTCTGATTGCTCATCCGACTTGCGCCTGGCATGCATGACAGCCAATGACCAGGCAATGTTTATACGGTTGAGCCTTCAATTGGAGGCAATAGTAATGACCGTAAGTACATAATAATGCCTGCACACTACACAAAATATGAGTTACAAATTTATTGCAGGGGTGCGTCATATGCTTTGTTCCTCACGAGTCACGCTGATATGATGGCATCAATCCCTGCAGGTCGTATATGGTCGTTGCGCTTTTTTATGGCGCCTACTAAGGGGATTTGGTGCACAAAGCTTAGTCTTTCTCACGACAGATTCTTAACACGTCCAGATGTTGTACTTCTGATCAAGGCCCGGAAACCTGGTGCAACGCATAAAGCGCTGGAAATACCGTTAGAATCGACAAGGTACGAGTCTGAGCCCATGCCTCTGTTGATAAGAGACGATATTATTAAAGTGAATTTTACTGAGAGTGATGCTTTGTGCAACGAGAGACTATTCTAAAAGCTGCGTATACTCCACAAAAAGATATTAAATATTGTTCGTACGTTGGTACGTTGTTTCTATGTGAATTACCAGTGCATGACTACCATATAATCTTAGAATCCATGAAGAATGGGCACGAAGGCCGTAACGAGGATATGCGATGATGCGAGTTCGTTCTTGTCGAATTCTATCGTCAGATAAACAAGCGAGACTCTGAATGACTGTCTCACCATCAGTAAACAAACATGTCACAGGGGGAGTACATACCTTTTCACCTTGAATTGACCAAGGCCATGACATTCCGACTGCGTAAGAAGGACGTCCCACCGCTCTATTTCGTACTCCCTGTAGCGTCCGGGTGGCTTGACATAGCACATTCCAGAGAAGAGAGCATTGAAGACATGTCAGAAGACGATGACAGGAAACTATCCGCATTGAATGGGAAACTGTCAAGACTGAAAGGATCTGTAAAGTCCAGCCCGAGCGCCCCTCCCCTGTCCATGCTCACAGTGGACATCTGGGGAAGGTTCTCAAATGGGGAATATGTGGACTCAGAATGCTGAGGGTAAAGTTCGGCGTTCTACCAAAGCATCGATAAGCAGTCCTAAAGTGCATGAAAATACTCACCTGTTGTCCGAAAGGAGAGTTAAGTTGTGACATAGCATCAGAAGCCTGTGTCTCGAACAAAGGACCGTCCTCTCGGTCTGGAGGAGGCCATGCATATGGTATTGAAGCACCAAACCATGCATCTCCGTCAGGCTGCGAGTTCGGAAGGTCGCACGCTGGAATGAGAGGTGAAGCAATTGGCTCCGAGGTGACGGAGTGGTACATGGTGGTGCGACTCGGGCGACGAGCTAAATCGTCATGAGTAACCAAGAACGGGGCCCAAGAGTCAAGATCTGTAGACGGGTTCACTGGTTCCGCGCCAACAGGGGGACAGGAGGATGAGCGTCGTGGGCGCGAGGGGGCAGGATAGGGAGTAAAGCGGGCGGCAGCCTGCACAGTTTGCTTTGAGCTATCGCTCATGTCAAGTCCGCGCTGCACTAAAACGGACGATAATTCCGCTCTGCGGGATTCCAGCTCTCTCTCTTCTCTAGCGATGCGGTCACTCTTGAGCTTCCTTTGCTTTGAAGTTTGCTGCGCAGGCATGTATTTATACCCAGGGTACATCGCAGCGTGGCGCTCTTTCTCTTTCAAGGCAAGGTCAATCCACGGTTTCTGTTGCTCTTTCTTCATGCCTCTCCAGATTTTGCCTGCGATACGTGATAGGTTCCGGTGGTCACTTTCTACATGACCAGGAATTTTCTTTTGCTGGACAAAGTCGCAGCGGAAGAGAATGAACGCATTGCGGGGACGAGGAATGTGTCCAGCAGGCTGTCGCTTGGCATGCGACGTCCGACTCGTCTTTGGAATGAGGTCTGCGACTCCTGGTATAGGCAATTGAATGACGTCGGGAAGCGTGTTCAGTGACGAAGTGGAATTGGAGGCGCTTTGTAGTGATTCTGACGAAGAAAAGGATACTGGGGTTCCAAGATCTACGGGCGTGAAGCCAGGTGACGGGGAATGCTGGAATGTATGTTGAGTGAGTGCTGGTTGGTTATAGCGTCGCGGACGCGAAATAAACACTCTACAAGTATCCTCCAGGGAGTGTCTGTAGCTCATTGCGAGATGAAAGAAAGGAAGATGTCGAGCCACAGTATAACATCCCGGCGTTTTGAAGTGGCTGGAAAGAAAGGGAAAACGCACCCGAAGAACTGGCATCTCAGAATAAAGATCTCTTTGACAGGTTAAAGTGGAGTATTAGGACCTATGGGGACACGTTGCAGGGGCAGCGCTCCCACTCATCGACAATTGTCCAGGATACCTAACGTTGTGATTAGTGACGCCTTTGTGGAATATGTCAGTTTGGTCACCCTGAATTACTGGGTATTCTCGGTCCCATCGTCGATCTTCATCCGTGTCCAGATCCACTGTTGCACTCCGCGATTTTGAGTTCCTTTCCTACTCCGCCCATTATGGACCTAAAAGAAGGCGTATTAATATTCTGTCACGCGGCCAAATATAGCTTGGTACGGTACGCTAAGCTTGGTACAATTACCTAGTGTATGCATATCGAGCCACAACATTGCAACGCCGAGATCGATAATGTGACACGACATGATGATGCAGAAGGGACTGACATCAACCATTCTCAAGCCTTCCGCAGAGAAGAGTGATCCACTGGTAGTTCCAGTGTTGGCAACTTACAGGACTTGTACGGTGAGTTCGAGACTTGGATTTCGACAGGCCATCCGTTCACCATTTTACTCTGGCCAGGGCACCGCAGAACTGTGCCGCCGCACCTCGGTTCTCGAGAGTCGAGGGTCCCTGGTCACTAGTGGCGTACCAAACTCCTGATACTTAATATTTAATGCCAATGTAGCGCACCGCAATAGCACCGCCTGTAAGAGACTAGCGTGCTGATAGGCCAGGGGTATGAGCATGAATCCAGGACGACATTAATTAGATCGGCGAAACCGCCTTCAGACTTCGAGCTTCAAAGCCGCAGTTCAACGGTAGCTCTCAAGTGACGTCACACCGTCAATGTCACAGTCACATCTGCACTCATTAGCTAATCCTCCAGTTAACAGAACTTTGTCGATCAGACGGGCCGTCCCGGACAGTCGGGTGTCGGGCTAGATCCGAGAAAATTGGTGTAAGATTGCATCTGACTCGTTTGTTGAAACGTTCAAGAAATGTCACCCCTCGCACACCCTTCGATTCAAGGTAGGTGCCATATAAAAATGAATTGATATTTGAGCGACCGGACATACTAGATGGTTGGTTCCGTGAAATCTCCTCTCAGTGGCCTGGTCAGGCCATGACCCTCAAGGTCAATAAGATCTTACACATCGAAAAATCTCTTTATCAGGACGTTCTCGTCTTTGAATCCGAGAATCACGGCAATGTACTGGTCCTCGATGGTGTCATCCAATGCACTGAGCGAGACGAGTTCTCGTATGTCACTCATGCACCAGCCCTTGCTCGAATCACTTGACCCTTCTGTAGGTATCAGGAGATGATAGCACATCTACCTCTTGCCAGCCATCCAAACCCGAAAAAGGTGCTTGTTATTGGGGGTGGCGATGGAGGCGTCGTTCGAGAGGTGCTCAAGCATGATACAGTTGAGGAGGTGGTTCTCTGCGACATCGATGAGGTATGTACATGAATAGGTGCAATGTGCAGGTGCTTTTTTGACGGAGGTACAGGCTGTGATTAGAGTCTCAAAGAAATACCTCCCACACATGTCTGCGCTGCTCGACTCTCCTCGCGTCAAGGTCTTCGTTGGCGATGGATTCAAGTTCCTTGCCGAGAACGAGGCAACCTACGACGTTATAATCACTGATTCCTCTGATCCTGTTGGTCCAGCAGAGGCTCTTTTCCAAAAGCCCTACTTCAAGCTTCTTCATGATGCACTGACTCCTGGGGGGCACATATCAACACAGGCAGAATCTCAGTGGCTCCACATTCCCTTGATCGCCAACCTTTTGAAGTCGACACGCGAGTTGTTCGCAGTTTCGCAATATGCCTTCGCTACGATCCCGACATACCCATCTGGCCAGATCGGATTCATGGTGTGCTCGAAGGAGCAAGGTCGGGACCTCAGTGTGCCCGCCCGCAAAGTAACCGACACTCGTTACTATAATGAGAACGTGCACCGAGCGGCCTTCGTGCTTCCACAATTTGTTCAATCGTTCTTGGAGGACGGAAAGGACATTCTACCTGTATTCGGACGTGCTGCTGCGGCTGCTAAGGTCGCGACGGAAGGCAAGAAAATTCGCAAAGTACTTCTCCTTGGTTCTGGTTTTGTTGCACGCCCGTGTGCTGAGTATGTTGTGCGTGACCCGTCCAATGAGCTAACAATAGGCAGGTCAATTAAATATATACCTTTTGGTGATTCTCATTCCTTCCATAGCATGCCGCACGCTCCAGAGTGCACACGCATTGGCAGAGGGCCTCCCAAATGCACAGGGCATTTCTCTTGACGTCAACAATACCAATGATCTTGAGGCTCAGGTTGCTGCACATGATCTCGTCATCTCTCTGATCCCCTACACGTACCACGTGACTGTCATCAAGGCTGCGATAAAGGCCAAAGTTCACGTCGTCACAACCAGTTACATATCCCCTGCAATGCGTGAACTTGATGAGGAGGCCAAGAGAGCGGGCATCATTGTCATGAACGAAATTGGTCTTGATCCTGGCATCGACCATTTGTACGCGATCAAAACAATAGATGAGGTGCATGCAAAGGGTGGCAAGGTGAGCTACTGGTACTTTCGATCTCTACAAACCTTACATATCTCCATAGATCAAGCAGTTCCTATCATACTGCGGTGGTCTCCCAGCACCAGAGTGCTCGGGAAACCCACTCGGCTACAAGTTCTCGTGGTCATCTCGCGGTGTCCTTCTCGCCCTGCTCAATTCAGCAGCCTACCTTTCCGAGGGTAAACAGCTTGATATCTCTGGCAATGAATTGATGGGATATGCCAAACCCTACTTTATCTCGCCTGCATTTGCGTTCGTGGCTTATCCGAACCGTAACTCCGTGCCCTTCAGGGAGTGGTACGACATCCCAGAGGCAGAGACTGTGGTCCGCGGCACACTCCGATACCAGGGATTCCCCGAGTTCATCAAAGCGCTTGTTGAGTTGGGCTGGCTCGATGCATCCGAGAAGGACTGGTTGAAGGAGGGCTTGACCTGGGCCCAGGTCATGCAACAAGCGATCGGTGCTAATGACGCTGCAGAAAGGTAAATGACTGGTTGTCTGAATTCGTGCAGAATACATAATTGAATCGACAAATATAGCACCCTCGTTGCGCACGTGAAGTCGGTCTGCAAGTTCCCTAACGATGCTGAAGCTACTCGTATCATTTCCGGACTCCGCTGGATTGGACTTTTCTCATCGCAGGCTGTGAAGCCCCGTGCAGGAAACCTTCTCGATACCCTCTGCGCGCAACTCGAGACGCTGATGAAGTACGAGCAAGGCGAGCGGGACCTCGTCATGCTTCAGCATAAGTTCGTGGTCGAGTGGGCTGACGGCAGCGAGGTATGTATTCGCTACAGGTATATCAGACAAATTTGTTAATCACCTTCTAGCAAACGCTTACCTCGACTCTCGAGCAATATGGAAGCCCGTCTGGACATTCCGCAATGGCACTGACTGTCGGTGTTCCTTGTGGTATTGCGACCCAACTTGTGTTGGATGGCGTTTTTAAAAACCCCGGAGTTCACGCCCCATACACAAAGGAGATTTGTGACCCCATCCGTGAAATCTTGGAAAGCGAAGGGTTGGGTCTGGTGGAGAGGGTGCTGTGAGGTTACACATATCACAGATATCTTGCTTGTTGTATAAATGAAAAGGATGTACTAGAGATAGACGCACGTACATCATGTTTCCTCGCGTTTCATGATCACGCGATCAGTTACTCTGTTATTGTAGGGTTTGAGTCGGGTTTGACTTTTGTTATTGTCTTTGACCATATGATACTGCGCGAGCAGCCACTGCACTCGTTATTACATCTAACCACCATCTATTGCAAGGATGTCGCAACCGCGAAGGTCACCTCATGATTCGTACGAAACTGAGACAACAGATCACCAAACAGAAACAGAAACTATACTGCTCAAGCACCTCCCACTTAACCCAGACTTGCCTTCCCCGTTGCAAAAGGATGCACACTTACAGTTCTTGGTTCGAAATCTGATACAAGGCTTTCCATCCCGCTATATTAGTCAAGATGCAAGCCAACCATGGCTGCTCTACTGGACGCTCCAAAGCTTCAGCGTCATGGGCGTAGCGCTGGATCCCAACAATAAACAAAAGTGCGTGGTACAGCTAGTGCCATGATATCATCGGGATGAACTCAAGATGTGCTTCTTTTGCAGGGCCATCGACACTATTATGGCATGGCAGCATCCAGATGGTGGTTTCGGAGGTGGGCCGGGGCAGGCTGCGCATTTGTTGCCGACATATGCAGCGGTCTGCGCGCTAGCGATCGTTGGAAGGCCTGGTCCAGGAGGAGGATGGGATCAGATCGATCGGTGAGTGCCAAACTATTACCCATATGGAAGTGTTGTTAATACTTCAGCCAGGGAGAAGATGTATAAGTTCTTCTTGTCCCTCAAGCAATCAGATGGGGCGTTCCTTGTAGCACACCATGCAGAAGTGGATGTTCGGTTTGTGAAGTTCTGATCAGTTTTCTGTCGATGTTCGCTGAAGCAGGCATCGTATAGTGGTACATATTGCCTCCTCGTGACGGTACATTTACTGAACATGCTGACGCCGGAACTTT